CGAGTCCAAAAAGCCAAAAGTTTCTGCAAGTGTCCACGGCTGAATAAAAAAATATCCCCAACTAGTATTAGATTAGTACAAGGTTTATTCATGAAGGTTTAACGAACCTTTTTCTTCCGGAACCAATTGCAGTTGAAAAAGTCATATTGATGTCATCAGATGTTACTACATACTTGTGCAAAGCTTCATCCGACTTAAAAATATTTTTCATTTACCCGTTTCATTCTTAATTTTGTCAGTCCTTATTTTGGTACTGACGAATGAACTTCGAGTCCAAAATGCCAAAAGTTTCTGCAAGCGCCCACGGCTAAATAAAAAAATATCCCCAACTAGTATTAGATTAGTACAAGGTTTCTTCATGAAGGTTTAACCAACTTTTTTTTTCCGGAGCCAATTCCAGTTGAAAAAATCATATTGATGTCATCAGATGTTACTACATACTTGTGCAAAGCTTCATCCGACTTAAAAATATTTTTCATTTACCCGTTTCATTCTTAGTTTTGTCAGTCCTTATTTTGGTACTGACGAATGAACTTCGAGTCCAAAATGCCAAAAGTTTCTGCAAGCGTCCACGGCTAAATAAAAAAATATCCCCAACTAGTATTAGATTAGTACAAGTTTTATTCATGAAGGTTTAACGAACTCTTTTCTTCCGGAACCAATTCCAGTTGAAAAAGTCATATTGATGTCATCAGATGTTACTACATACTTGTGCAAAGCTTCATCCAACTTAAAAATATTTTTCCCGGTTTAATCCCTGTTAGCTCATGATATAAATAAAGTGTCTGGGGAAGTTAGAAATTTATTTCCAATTGTAAATTATTTAGTCAATTATGTTAGAAAAAATGTTTGTTAAATCACCTTTGAGAGTACAGTTTTTGCGAAATGCATTGACCAATTTACCATTACCTTCACAACTTGTTGTCCCTAGATGGAGAACATGGTTAACTGCAGTTGTCCTTTATACCAAAAACTACAATGCAATAAGAATTTTGTTAATGACCTGTCAAATGATGCTACCTCTATTAAAGAATCTAAAATAATTTTTGCTAAAACAGAACTGCCATCTCAATTAGCATTTGTTTCTGATACAATGTTTATACTTGAACGACCACAATTTAGCATTGGTAGATTGTATTCTGCCCGGAACAAATTGTTTTCAAAAACTATCCAATGTTCAAGGTAAAATAGGTGAAAAAGCTTTTAGAAAAAAATGTAGGTACCTACTTTGTCACTTTGTGAGTAATATATTGATCCAAATATAATAGAGAATTTAAAGTTTGTTCTAAAAACCTCATTTGGATGTTGAAAGATCGTTTTCACTGTTGAAACATGTGTTGCGTGACAAGCGTGAATCATTTCTAATGGAAAACTTTGAAAAACATTTAATAATCAATTGGTTTAATAAAAATTATAGCGATAATACAAACACTGCGTAAACGGTATTTTCTTACATACTTAGTTATAATTTGAATTCTTATACACCAAATAAACGTTATTAGACCTGTACTTTAACAATAAGTACTTAATCAAAAATGCCATTTTGTTTTATTACCTACACGTATTCAAATTCAGTATTTGCATATGCATGTCTTGCCTGTTTAACTGCATATTTAATAAAGTGATGTATATTTTGACCAAAAATGTGTGCATATTATGCACATACACATTTCTTCAATATTTTAATGCATACAATCCGAGCCTTATTAATGAATCACTCTGTGTGTGAATTAAAGTTGAAAACAACAAAAAAAATTAACGACATAAACAATAACACAGAGATGTTGAAGTATGTGATCCATGGAGTTAAAATTCGCACTTAAATATTTTATTAAAATCTTTTTAAAAAGTGTCGGCCATTTTTGCTTTTACATTGGTCATTTGTTGACATTTATCAGTATGGTTTAATAACCTGCTAATCTCTTGTGAAGGGTGACTCGACTACAAATTATGTTGTTCGCTTGATATAATCTTCCAACATTTAGGCTATGATTTAGGCGTCATAACTTCTAACCAAACTTTTAAGCAAATTTGATTGAATAAATAAATAACAAAACTTCAAGGAAAATAAAAACCAGAAATAATCAGAATTTCGTTGTAAATGCTAATCTACAAATAATTACAATTGCAAAAACAGAAATAATTGTAAAAAAACGCATTAAAATTCAGCCTGAGGGGTTTAGTAATTCATTCACACATTTTGTATTATTACCTAAGAATTTAAATTTCCAAGTTTTACCATAGTATGTATTAATATAAATATAGCAAAATTAACTTTATTATGGTTATGAAACCACACAATTAATTTTGCTATATCCTTATTCTTTGTCTTTTTTACGACATTTTCCTGATTTTGTTGTCAATTACACATTGTCTTTTTTTTCGTGTTTTTGCGTGTTCTACGTTTAAATGTATGTATTTCATGTACGCAACACGTAACTTTAAGGTGAATTTAATTCCAATTACTTTCTGCGCCGTAGTTTGTTTTAAATTCGTTATTACTTTTATTTCTGTTTTTCACTCCACACAATGTATTTATATTCTTCTGTGTTTCTGTTCATATTTTAGTACTAATTGTGACACTGATGCACTTACTGCAATGTAATGACTGTTTTTAATCTCTGAGGAGTTAAACAAATTTAAAAAAGAAGGTAGCAACTTAAACAACGGGTATTTAATTCCTTACTACATTACATACTATTAATACTACATATTTTTGCTAACGTTACAATTTTGGAAGGGACTCATATTGATTCGATCGTTACACTCCAAATCATTCAATTTTGGGAGGTTGGTGTTACTAGCAGTGTTGGGGACAGATACTTTTAAAAGTATCTAGATACAGATATAGATATGTGGAAGATAAAAGTATCTAGATACAGATTGTTGTCGATTTTTTAGAAATGTATCTAGATACAGATACAAAAAAACAGATACTTTTTGAAGCTTTGGCGTATAAAATAACTAAACATATGTTTATGTATTTTTTTATGTATTGTTTAATGAATTTTTTAAAATTAACAACATTTCGAACGTATTGTCACCTAAATTATTTCTTCTTGGTGTCAGAATTTGGTTTCCGCTACTAAACACCCGTTCCACAGGTGCAGAAGAAGGGATTGTGGTATTAAATTTAAAAAATAAACATTTTATCGTAGCATAGTTATTCAAGACTGAAGAATCTTTTCTTTTTTCCCGCAAATAGGCCATCGCTTCGCTGTTTGATGTGTCGCAAATTGTGCAATATTTATTACGTACGCTTAAAAAGAATATTTTTTTGTTTTTATTCCCATACTACAGTGTCCAAATTGTGTTTGAGTAGATCTAATAACTATCTCTAGCATTAAAATTAATATTTCAAAAGAATACGGGATATGATTATTCTGTGCTGAAGGTCTGTTGTCGCCAACCTGTCATCAATTATTATTCCTCAATATCGGCTTAACGATGTTTTTATGACCATGTCTGGTAATCGTCCATCCCGGTGCGGCAGGTATATATATTTTAGGAAGAATTGCTGGTTCCGTTTAAGGCAAAATAAGTACAATTTCTTAGAAAGATATTTAAACCCCTTATAGGATCAAAGGCTGCCTGGCAGGCCGGAATCAGCAGAGTGCAACTTTAAATTTTCAGATTTTTGTTGAAACTCATTTTATTTTAATCTCGTTTCACGATTTCTGAGAATATATCACGATAAATTATTATACCGAGGGTTAAACTTAAACATAATCGGCACATTCTAGGGCAAAACTGACCTACCAAGCCCGCCTCGCGTTAGGTCCAACAATGAAAAAGTGAAGAAATGACACATGTGGCAACAAGAAAAGATGCTACATTTGTCTGAAAAATAAAGGTATAAAACAGTAACAAATATGCGATTTATGCGAGAGAAATGTATGTATTGAACATTCGATTAGTCGATTACAGAACTAATTTGTGCTAATTGAAAAAATTAATCATTATGTAACACGCAATTATTATTTTCTAAAAATATTAATATACCTTAAACAAATATTTTTACTATTAAAATTACTCTTATTTAATAACACAAATCAAACCAGGTACACAGATAAAATGCATTGCCCCGATAAACGTAAAACGCAGTGAATAGTGAATTGTGGTTTAAGGTTTTTAAAATAACATCTTACCATGGCTTAGATTTATTACCCCTCAGGATTATATTTAAAGATGTATAAGTACTGAAGGCTACAGTGTAGGAAATGATGGTATTTAAAATATGAAAATTTCCGTGACACAACACTATTAGTGGACCTCTTACCTCTATTTTTGTTTATGTGACCAAAATCACCATCATGAAGTATCAAAAATTACTACTAGTATAACTCAACTAATAACTACTGAAAAAAAGTGAAATAAAAAAATGTATATGTATCTGCGCCATTAATTTTATATCTAGATACACATATTTTGTGCTTAAATTCGATTTTATCTAGATACAGATACTAGATACCCAAAAATGTATCTAGATACTTTATTTAGAAACAAGTATCTAGATACTGCCCAACACTGGTCATGAGCAGAAAATCACGCGGTATAACATGTAAATATAAATTACCAACAAGACATGAACCGGATCATTATGTACAGAGAATATCTGTCAACGGAAAATAACAGTAAATTAACGACGTAGATAATAATGTGACATGTTAAGCGATGGAGCTAACCGAAGAGCTCATTTCTGCTTACAAAAAAATAAATCATTTCCAAAATTTACTGATAATTTTATTTATTTAATAAATAATTTAATAAATTATTCAATCTTGTACCAAATTTCCTTATAATTTCATACATTTTTACTTTTATATTTGCTATTTTTGACTATCATGTAGTTTAATCACCGACATATTAAATCCTTTCCCAGAATGACTCGATTACAAATTATGTTAATATCGTTGTAGATCCAGAAAATTAGTGTTCTGTCGAACATAAAATATTGTGTCTTTAATTATAATTGATTAACACTTAACTGTTAATTTCAGGAGACTCATTAAATGGAATAGTAACAAGAAACAATGGCCCCACGTCAAACAACAAAATTAAAACACACTATCTTAACTTTGGCGAAGAAGATCAGATGGTTAGTATTTTACCACATTTAAAACAATATAGTTTAAAATATTTTAGGAAATATGTGGTTATACGGCAAATAACTTAAGGAAGTATATGACATGGGCAGCCTACGTAGCTACTTTTGGAATTTTACGACTGATATTCCACTGGTTCCCTCAGTGGAAATTATACGGAAGTCATTCAAAATGTCCCTTGAATCAAGCAGAGAAAGTCCTAATCGTGGTAAGTACTACGTTGTCAAATTACACAAATTGTGACGCAGTAACCCATCAAGGATAAATACAAAGAAAAATTCGAGACATGCTTTGTGGAGGATGTAAAAATCTTGACCGCCAACCAACCAGAAGCCGTCATCAGTATTAACAACACAAATTTTAAAAACGAAACAAACAAAAAATTGCTCACTGTATATTTGAACGATGGTACCAAAAAGGGTAAGAAAACTGTGACTTACAATCATCGAGTACTACATTTCGTTGCAGATGTTAAAGAAATGCGTATCATACATTGCAAAAAATTGACGTACGTTTGGGACGAAGATAAATATAAATTTATAAAACTAATCGGTTTGGAAAAAGGGATAACGAATTCAGAGTTTCACACACAAAAGGGCAACAACAAGGATGAACAGCGTTTGAGAAGAATTACTTATGGTATTAACGAAATCAATGTGCCAGTTCAAAGTATCCTAACACTCCTGATACTGGAAGCTTTAACTCCGTTCTACATTTTCCAACTTTTCAGTCTTATAGTTTGGTTCGCTGAATCTTACTACTATTACACCATTGCGATTGTTATAATGTCAGTATTTGGAATTTCGACTTCAATCATTCAAACTCGAAAAGTACTAACTCAATTTTTGCAACGCGCAGTACTTACGATTTTTTTCAGAACCAGAAAAACTTAAAAGGAACTGTTCTTTCTGCCGACAAAGTACTGGTGAAATACGGTGACGACACCTTTGAAGAAATACCAACGACTAAATTAGTACCAGGTGATATGATTGTAATTCCATCGCACGGCTGTGATATGCAGTGTGACGCCGTTTTACTTAATGGCAACTGCATAGTTAACGAAAGTATGCTCACAGGTACGTTTTACCTACAACAATGTAGTTCTTATGATGAAGTAGTACTCTATTCTAGGGGAGTCAGTACCAGTAACAAAAACTGCGCTTCCAAATAACGATAAGTTCTACGATTTTAAAGAACACAGCAATCATACGCTTTTTTGTGGTACCAAAGTTATTCAAACTCGGTATTACAGTAACGAAGTTGTGCTCGCAGTGGTCACCCGAACTGGGTATTTAACCACTAAAGGACAACTAGTAAGAAGTATTATTTATCCACCTCCGGCCGATTTTAAATTTGACCAAGACAGCTACAAGTTTATTATGATTTTGTCAGTGATAGCTCTAGGTGGATTTATCTACACAATTTTTTCAAAGGTACACAGTTCATTTCAATGAAATTATGCTTTACATTTTTTATAGTATTCCAGGCATATAGCGGCGTTAGATGTTTTGATTAAAGCTTTAGATCTAGTCACGATCGCCATTCCACCGGCGCTACCAGCCGCAATGACCGTAGGAAAATTATATGCTTTAAATAGACTAAAAAAGAAAAAAATCTGTTGCATTAATTCCAGAGTTATTAATGTTTCCGGTTCAGTCGACTGTGTTTGCTTCGATAAAGTAAGTAATAAACAAATTGCATAAGTATTATTTTAATAAAGATTTTATTTAGACGGGGACTTTAACTGAGGATGGTTTAGACATGTGGGGAGTGGTACCAGTCGTAAACAAACAAATTGAAAAACCTATTAAGGATATTCACAATCAGACGAAAGATTTTTTGATATGTAGAGGAATGCTTACCTGCCATTCTCTGACTCTTATTGACAGTAAACTCAGCGGTGATCCATTAGATATCAAAGTAAGTTTAGCAAAAAATCATAGTCTTTTCATAACAACTACGTGCTTTAGATGTTTGAATCCACGGGCTGGACGATGGAAGAACCAATGATCTCAGACACGTCAAAGTACGATCTTCTAGTACCAACAATAATCAGAGAAACAAAATTAGACCAAACAGTAAGTATTTCACACAGTAATTACATTTCTAAAGTCGAATTGGTTTAGAATGCAGAAGAAATAGGAGTTATACAGCAGTACCACTTTTCATCGACTCTTCAGTGCATGAGTGTGATTTGTAGAAGACTCGGCTGCGAATACTTTGAGGCCTTTACTAAAGGCGCCCCTGAAAAAATAATTTCATTATCTAAACCTGAAACAGTTCCTACAGATATATTGAATGTTTTGAAAGAATACACTGAAAAAGGGTACCGCGTTATTGGGGTAGCTACCAAAACAATCACCGGTGTACCTTTTCATAGAATTCCAAAACTCCAACGAGAAGAAATCGAATGTGATTTGGAGTTTCTGGGTTTTATAGTATTAGAGAACCGTTTAAAACCTCAAACTTCGTCTGCCATAACGACACTGAAAAACGCCGGCATGAAAATTGTAATGCTAACAGGTGACAACATCCAAACAGCCGTGAGTGTAGCTCGCGAATGTGGAATCATCTACCCAGGACACAGCGTAATTGATGTTATAACAATAAAACCTACGAAAACTGATGTAGCTAAAGTTAGATACCAAGATTTGGGGGCAGTTTTGTCGTACTCGAATCTAACAGATGTAGAGAAATTCCCAGAACGAAAGTATCAGCTTATTCTTAGCGGAACTGCATGGAGTGACATCAATCGATATTTTCCACAACTCATTCCAAAAATCGTGGCTAAAGGTGTCGTATTCGCTCGAATGTCTGGACTACAAAAGCAACAATTAGTAGAGGAATTGCAAAATTTGGGGTACTATGTGGGTAAGTCTCTTCGTACCATGGTTAATAAACCATTGATATTTACATTTATTGCAGCGATGTGTGGTGACGGTGCTAACGACTGTGGTGCTTTAAAAGCAGCAAATGTGGGAATCTCTCTATCAGAAGCGGAATCTAGTGTGGCGTCACCTTTCACCTCTCAAGAATCTAACATATCTTGCACAATTGACGTAATCAAAGAAGGCCGGGCAGCACTGGTCACTTCTTTCGGCGTTTTCAAGCTGATGTTGTGCTACAGTTTAACAGAATTCGCTTCAGTTATTATTTTATACGCCATAGATACAAATCTGACTTCACTACAATTTCTCTTTATAGACATTTGCCTCATTCTTAACTTTGCGTCGTTTTTTGGGAAAACTGAAGCTTATAACAAATTAGAGAAAGGCCCACCGATGACTTCCCTTCTGAGTTTCCTTCCACTAGCGTCAATTATTTTGTTCATGCTGGTTGTCGTCGTGGTTCAAATTTTCGCCTATTACTTTATTCAAACCTACGATTGGTTTGTTCCCTTTGTTTTTAACCCCGACAACACCATCTATTACAGCTGTTACGAAAACTACGCAGTTTATTGTGTCTCGATGTTTCAGTACATCATTATGGCCGTGATTTTTTCTAAAGGCAAACCATATCGAAAAGCGATTTACACCAACTACATCTTCCTCTTTACAATTATGTTAATGATTGCTGTTTGCTCTTATATTACGCTGGAACCAGCTCACTGGATTGTAGAAGCTCTAGAGTTAAAAATGCCCCCATTATATGACGGCCGAATCTTCGTACTAATTATAGCTTTAGCGAATTTTGTAATTTGCATGTTTATGGAGGAAATTGTCGTCGATTATTTCCTTAGAAAATTTGTTAGACCACGATTCCAAAATATAGATAAGTCTAGAAAAAAATATTTGACTGTAGAAAAAGAAATTACGGAACAAGCATGGCCAAATACGAGATCGCATAGTGGTACTTTTGAAATTATCAAAGAAGGATGTGAAAACAATACTACTACTTCTAACGTTGTAGAAATCACCAAGTTCTAAATTAAATAAATAAAACTGTCGATAGTTTAAACTCATTGTATTTAGTGAATTGTTTGTAAATGATATCTAGTATTTATTAAAACTAAATATAAGTACGGAAAACCTGCTGCATGATTGTACACCTTCTGCAGAATATCCCTTAACCTAAAAACTGACCGCTTCCGACGGTGGTCTTTATTTAAACTCACATTTTTCTTTCTCTGAAGTTGGCCGTTACCGCTTTAAGCTCATTCTGGAGCCCTCCGCTGAGACTTTCGCAGAACCGCTTCTAGGCTCTTCTTTAATCGAACGCCACCGACGATGACTCACGCATCGTACATACTAGAAATCCCTCGGGAAAACACATAGGCGTCGTTCCGGGGCGGCGTATGGGTTTATTTCGTAACAATACAATTAATTTAACTGGTCCTAGTATCAGACAACAGTTAACTATCTGATACTAGGGGGATAAATGTCAGGGGGGGTGATGTAGAAGAACTTAATTTTTTGATGCTGGAGTAACCCTACCATGTGCACCTAAAATCAATAACGAAGACGATGCACAAACTATTGAAATGACAGAAAATATTTTCTGACCACAGCTGTTGAAGCAAAAATTGGTAGAGGTGAAGTGTCAAATGTGGGTGAAATGCCACCTACATAAATAGGGAACGTCAACCTCTTACTGATCGCGAAGTAGCAGAATGTTTTCGAAATTCAACGCCAAGAAGTAATTTCTATTAATAAAACAGTCGTACCCTCAAACGACAGTAAGGTATCGAAAAAATGTTTGCCAGTGTCAAGATGAGTTTTTTCTCCGAATAAAACATGCTATTATGGTGACCAGATTTGAATTAAAATTTCGCGCTGAAAAAAAAACAGCGAAGTAGGATTTAAATAATTTGAATTTGAAAATCGTTAAACATAGGCAACCAGGTGCACGTTTACTTTTTTTCTGGTAGTTCGTAACTCTGCTAAAGAATTTTAGTTAGAGGGTTGGTAGCGAGGTGTGCTGGGTTGCTAGAAGGTCGCGACCATTGTTGTTTTGTTTGTTGGTGAGTGTAGCACGCGGTGAGTTAGCTAGGTTAAGTTTAGTTGGTTTGGTAGTTAATAAAAGGGAGGAAGCCTTTGTTTAACGACAATTAATCGTAACGACGACGACGCAAAAGTTTCCCCAACACGCGTAGCTAATTCTTGCGGCTGGAAATGAGTGAATTTTCGACCAACACTAACACGTGTTGTAAATTTATTTTATTGTTTGTAAACTCACAGACCATGTTAGGATTTTAATCGTTAACCGGTTCCAACACAATTTAACAGTCAGGAATTTGTTTTGATAAGCACTTGCTAGGAAATTTCATGAGATTCACTTAGTCAGGACTCGCCCTTTGTTTACAGAGTAATGAATAAGTCTCTGGATGCTTATACTTAAGTCTTAAGTGTTACATTATAACACTTCCTAATTTCTCACACAAGATTGCTAATAGTTCATTTACGGTAGTTAAAATTAACCTAACGTTATCCCACTCTGGAAAAAGGACCGTGAAAGTACGATATAATTCATAATGTTGTGGACTGAGGTACGGCAGGATGATAAATTTTTCCCTTTAGGCAGTTATCATCGTTATTATCATCAGATCATCACCACATTACCGAGGAGTTTTTCTCGCAACGCCTGATGATGCATTTTGTGTTTATTTATCATGTGTTAATAATATTAATAAAATTACCTACTGATTTAAAGTAACTTTTTTGTTAAATCCCGCCAGCTCGACTAGGAACCGCGCTCTCCGCTTCTGCCACGTATTTCGGTGTTATTTAACCTCAATTTCATTTAAATGTTCAATTCTTGTAACTCTGATATTAATGACAACGGAACAAGTGTTAAAGTTTCAAAAGGAGCAATAAACAACATTTAAATTCGCCATACATTCTCCTGAAGTTTTAAACAGCAAAGAATTCTTATCTGAGATTAAGATTGGACATCAGACAATTTATATAATGCAAACATTAATCAACAAAATATTTGCAGGACAAAAAACTAACAAAGAATAATAAAAACAAAAGGATCTGGTGTAAAATAAAACTAGTGCAGATAAAAAGTTACGTTAGATTAGGAACTGTAGAGCATCAAAATTTACAAACAATTTAAATTATACAACAAAATATTACTGATGTTAAAATTGTGAGGTTGAGAAAAATTATATGAGGTGAAAAATTGCAAAGCTAACACAATTAATATTAAACTCATGTAATTGTGTGAACGTAAAAACGTTCATTCGAGTTATGGGTTAATTTTTAAAAGTGAAGAAATTCAGCTGCATTGTGGGCCATCGTTTTACATTCCCCCAAACAAACACAAAAAGAACATAGCAGGCAATCTGGACGTTCAAAATGGCGTTGGACGAATGCGTCGTTCCAAAAAATTAGCGTCTCCCAGAAATATGATTCCTCCTGTGGACCTGTGGCGTTGTGCAAATAATAGTCTAAATCAAAGTAATAAAATGCACGTCCCACAATGTTGTTAATTTGTTCAATTAGATTTTACAGTTCAAACATGTGCTCGGTTGGAAAATACCCTTTCAACATGGCCGCTGCTAGAACAAAGAATTTACCTGATGTTAAATTATGCCACACTTTATCAACGATTCAAACAAACAATTTACATTCTTATGTTAAATTATGCCTTGATCAGATGACTGGTTACTTAAAACAATTAGCTTTGAGAGTTTATATCGTGGACTGTCTCCAGCTTATCCCAAACAAAACACGTGATAAATAAACAACATAAAATGTATCAGGCATTGCGAGGAAAGCTCCTCGGTGATGTAATTTTCAACGTTGCGAGAAAATAAATGTCTCGATGATGTGATGACGATAACGATGATAACTGTCTAAAGGGAAAAATGTATAATCCCTCCCGTACCTCAGTCTACGATATTATTAATTCTACCGTACTTTCACGGTCCTTTTCCCAGAGTGTGATAACGTTAGGTTAATTGTAACTGCCATAATCTTGTGTGAAGCATTAAGAAGTGATATAATGTAACACTTAAGCATAAGCATCCACAAACTTATTCCTGATTTAACAAACAAAGGACGAGTCCTGATAAGTGAACCACCTGAAATCTCCTAGCAAGTACTTTATCTAAACAAATCAGGACCGTTAAATTGTGTTAGACTTAGTTAACGATTAAAATCCTAACATGAACTGTGAATTTACAAACAATAAAACAAATTTAAAACACGTGTTTGCGTCGACAGAAAATTCACATGTTTCCGAGTAGAAAGCCGCAAGAATTAGCTACGCGTGTTTGGAAAACTGTGGCCTCATCGTCGTTAGGATTAATTGTCGTTAAACAAAGGCTTCCTCCCTTTTATTAACTACCAAACCAACTAAACTTAACCTAGCTTACTGACCACGTGGTTACACTCACAACAAACGCACCAAAAGTGACGCTTCTCGCCCCTCTGGCCTCCAAAATGAAGTTCTACCAATCCTCTCAACAGAAAATCCCCAAGGGGAGCTACCAACTACCAGAAAAGATCTAAACATGCACCTGGCTGCCTATGTCTAACAAGTTTCTTGATTGAATTTTTTTCAAATTCAAATTATTTAAATGTGATTTCGCGCCATTGTTAATTTTGTTTCAGCGCGAAATTTTAATTTAAATTCAGTCACCACAATATGTTTATAGACTATCTTAGAGCATTGTTTTGAGGATTGGTATTCCTGACTTCATCATGTGTCATAATTCAAATTTGACAGATAATAATAATTATTATCTAGTGGATTTTAGCCGGGAAATTTTAGATGATGATCAATTCGTGGGCTAATGGTAGGAACATGGGTTTGAATGTATGTAAATTATGATTTGTTATCATTCAATGACAATATAACCCAAAAAACAAAAAATAATTGATCAATTGTGTCGGGTATGCAACCAATTTTACACATTGACATTGACAGGTGGTTGAATGCAGTGGCGTAACCACTATCATGTCAAAGTCTTTTACATATCTCTGGGCGTAACGTACAACAACAATAGGGGACAGAAGTAAGTGATGTAATGACAATTTGGATATATGCAAAATGCAGATTTTTGTCTACTCTGCGTATTTAACTATTTTTTTGCATTTATTGTATATTTTAAATTTTTGCTGCATTTTTCGTGGTAATTGGTGAAAATCTTAATTTCAATACAGTTGGTTATTGACAGTATGCAGGTAAATAAGTACCGACCTTTTCTAGTAATGCGGACGGGTTTTTCCAAGACTTCATTTATAGGCACCCCCAATTAGGCGTATTACTGGAATTCTTGGCCTCAGAATTACGTCCTTCTGTCGAGTGTAAGGGGAAAGTATTTAAAGCACTTACAGTATTTTTTTTTTATATTATTTGCTATATAACGTGTCCTGTCCTGTCCTGACTTCTCTATTGTCCCAAATAAACGAATTTAAAACATTTCTGTGAATATATAAAAACCACGAAGTACCTACGTACATGTTTAAAAAAATTCTATTTTGTGAAACAAAAATTAATAATAATTTAATTTTTTAATGTACGTACAAAATTTGAATACCGAGCTATTTTGACGAAACTGTAAAAACTGCTATTTTTCAATCAGCAATTTTAGTAAAACGGTAGGGAATTTCTGAAGAAACGAAGCCGAAAATGACTTTTGGATATCGAAATTTACAAGAAAATGTTTTCAATTAATTTTCGGATTTAGTTGAAAAATGGTCCAAATGTCAAAGGTGCTAAACTCAGAATTATCTTATCAAATACTAGGCCCGCCCACCCACCCTCTATTTTCTTGGAAGGTGTATCATTTGCCAAAATTAGTCTTGTCTTAGCAGAAACTTCTAGCCCCCACCCCACCCCCTCTTCTCATCTAACGACTAATTTTATTTCCGTTCAGTATAAAATCATTCATTTTATTCAGATCGGATATAATCAATCACTGAAAAGGAGACCGGGTAGGTGGGCGGGGCTAATTATATCCTTGTGTCGAGTGGAAGTGGAAAGTAATTATAGAATCTAGGATGAAAAAAAGTAAAAAAAAAGCGCCAGTCGTAACTTTTTTTTGTTATACTATATATATTTGCTATAAAATTTATTTCTTATTTCATGCACCTGACCTGACTTGTCCTGACGTCTCTATTGTCCCAAATAATAGTTGAAAAATTGTGTTATCTTAACAAATACTAGTAATTTAATTTGTATAAGGAAATATGGATTTTACAATTAAGCTCCGCCCCTCAGTTCACGATGAATAAAAAAATCATCAGAATTGAGATAGGGCGGGTGGGTGGGGCTTATAATTTGCATTTTTTGTATTAATATACATAGCCATCTTTTCACAACAAGAAACTTAAAATATAGTTAAAATGGTACATTTTTGCAAGGAAATATAGATTTTGCCGGTCTAGGACAATTCGGCGCGGCCGACTTGGCGCGGCCAACTTGGCGCGGCCGACTTGGCGCGAGCCATTTTGGCGCAAGGCCAACTTGGCGCAGGGACACTTTGGCGCAAGCAATCTTGGCGCGAGCCATCTTGGCGCGAGTACGTCGGTATATAATATAAAAAATATTTATTTTTTGTATCGTGGTTTGCACCCTGTTATTTATGCTAAGTGTAGGCAACCAAATACACAGTTTCATTCGCACAAATTCCAATAACTAAATGATCCACGGAGCAAGAAGTTCCACGTTTAGGAGTATGTTTATAATGGGGTGCAGGGCGCGAAGCGCCCGTGTGTCCATTAAAAAGTCGACATTACCCCTCCACGCATTGGAGACCATAAAAATTAGGTTATGCTAACAATGGGTACAATTTTTGTACGGTCTAGGACAATTCGGCGCGGCCGACTTGGCGCGGCCAACTTGGCGCGGCCGACTTGGCGCGAGACATTTTGGCGCAAGGACACTTTGGCGCAGGGACACTTTGGCGCAAGCCATCTTGGCGCGAGCCATCTTGGCGCGAATGAACTCGCACCAAGAAAAATAGATAGAAATATACAAAAATTGCACCCGTTGTTAGCATAAGCTAATTTTTATAGTCTCCAACGCGGGGAGGGGTAATGTCGACTTTTTAATGGACACACGGGCGCTTCGCGCCCTGCACCCCATTATAAACATACTCCTAAACGTGGAACTTGTTGCTCCGTGGATCATTTAGTTATTGCAATTTGTGCGAATGAAAATGTGTATTTTGTTGCCTACACTTAGCATAAATAACAGGGTGCCAACCAAAGTACGAACGATAAATATTTTTTATATTATGTACCGACGTACTCGCGCCAAGATGGCTCGCGCCAAGATGGCTTGCGCCAAAGTGTCCCTGCGCCAAGTTGGCTTTGCGCCAAAATGGCTCGCGCCAAGTCGGCCGCGCCAAGTTGGCCGCGCCAAGTCGGCCGCGCCAAATAGTCCCATTCCGTATTTCTGCAGAGTTAGGATATCCTGAATCCCTAATTGGACCAAACCTGTAACTACGGTGGTAGAAGTAAGGTGGAAAAACAAGTCGTTTCAAGTTGTTGAACAAAACACGCATCGCAGCAGGCTATATTTACTACCATAGTACCCAGCAGAGTATGGCTATCTACTTATATAAAATTCAACTTAGTCCGTGTTGTAAGGATCCAATTCGAATTTTTAAATTTCAAATGAATTCCGCGCGCACAAGAAACGGTTAGTGAGAAGAAGGAGAGGTTGGCAACCAACCACCCCAAGGAAACAGACGTGCGCAAAGCGGGTGGTTTTGTCTCGTGTAAAATCGGGCACTTCGCTTTGACCGCTTGGAACAAACGGTCGAGTTCTTTTCGAGCGCTTCGAGCAACAGGTTGTATTTTTGATTGTGAATTATTCTGTGCCTTTTGCTGTTGTTTTTGCGTTTCCAGTGTTGGTCCGTTCCATTGGAAAACCTAGCAGCCACCGTTGAGCCATTGGGTGTTCCTGATTTCTCACCGTTCTTACGACGAGGTTTTTGTGTTCCTTTTGGCGGTAAGCCGTGTCGAAATCTTCGCATCTTTGGAGAGGTATGTTTTGAACACCTGTTTCGCGGCGAGATTCAAGCCCCGACGATGCTTCTGACCTCGTGACGCAGCGACGCGTGCGCTTGTTTTTCCACTAATCTCGTTTTTTTATCTTTCATTTAAAATCCATCGCAGTAGGGCTTTACAGGAAGTGATTTCTAGTTCGGGCCATGCTTTATTTAGCTATATTTGTGAAATCTGTATTTTGGATGGCGGCAAACGAGTTGTTATTCTCACCGTTCTTTGTTCAGGCAGCGGCCATTTTGAAGCGTCCATTTGTTTCCTTTAATCGAGCACATGTTTTAACTGAATCTATTGAACAAATTAACAACATTGTGGGTCATGGGGGGACGTGCTTTTATTCTTTGGATTTAGCACATCGTTTATACAACGCCACAGGATTCATCGTATTTTTGCATCGCATATTTTCGACGCCTATTATTTGGAATGACGAATTCGTCCAACGCCATTTTGCAACTGCAGATTGTCTGCCATGTTTGTTTATGTGTTTTGTTTGGGGAAATGTATGTGTAATAATGGCCCACAATGCAGCTAAATAATTTCACGTTTGAATTTTAACCAATAACTTGACTGGACACTAATTAATATTAATCACATGTAAATCTGTTAACTTTACAATCTTTCACCTCATGCAATTTGTCTTTGTCTCATAATTTTAGCTTCAGTAATTTTCTTTGCTGTATAATTTGAATTGAACGTAACTTTCCATGCTCTACAGTTTTGACCTAACATGATATTTAATTTGTACAAGCTTATTTCACACCAGATCTTTATTTTATAAATCTTTGCTAAGTTTTGCTCATGTAAATATTTTGTTGATGAATATTGCTATCATGTAAATTATCTGATATCCAAATTTGATCTCAATTAAGAATTATTTGTTGACTGAATTTCCGTAAGAGAGTATGGCGAATTTAAATGTTGTTTATTGCTCTTTGTTGAAACTTTAACACTTGTTCGGTTGTCATTTAATATTAGAGTCATAGAGTTTGAACATTTAAATAGAATTGAAGGTAAATAACACAATAACACGTAGTGTCGGCGATGGGCGCAGTTCCTAGTTGCGGTAGCGGAATGTGTCGCGCTCTCTGCACATATGTGCAGGCTTTGAACTAGATTTCAGTGGGAACGGTCTTGACGACGAGGTAGTAGTTGACCAGACTTCACCGCTAGTTTTAGGCCGAAACGGCCTGCTTGGACGGCATGTTCGTCATGGAGGGGTGCTGTCTGGCAGGCTTGGTGTAGATAGAATCACCGTCGCGGGGGAAACCAGCCCAGACCGGGAGCTCCAAACTTCGCTCACGCTACGACACCCCCTCTGGGTATTTTGCTGTGCTCATAAATGAAATTGTTATATTTTGTTCTATATTTTGTTCGATCGCCACACTCTTATAATGATTCGGGTTCTGCCATCCAATTTACATATGTGTAGGGGTTTGTATTTGTTCGGTTTTCGTATGTGTATGTCTGTCAATTCGCGAGTGTTTTTCTTTCAAATATCTTAAGGTGCCTGACATGTAATATGTCGGTGAATAAAACCCCAGGGGGTTTTGGGGAATGAAGACCGATGACACCTTGGCCCTGCGGACTCGCCAGGAGGGCAAATCGAGCGTCTGTCGTTCTTCGTTTCTTTTTCCTCCTTAGGAAGGCTCCTAATTTTGTCTATTATTTCTTGCGCTCTCGACAGTGTATGCACTTGTATGAAAGAACTTCTTCCCGCCATTTTTCAAAACCAAAAAAAAAAAAAAAAAACACACAACGTAGGTTCTCATTTGTTAGACGATCACAGCCAAGGCCAAACTTTGAATTTTTGAATTTTTCGCGGGCCTTTCAAACTGTTTCAAGGTCAAATTTTAAGGCGGGAAGTTTGGGTTATCACAGTGTATAAAACATGTTTTTTAATATACCACTATTCAGTATTAGTTTTTTTATTGATTATTTTTCAATAAATAAGGGTATTGTGCTAAATTCCTGTGAAAAAGGTAGTGCTTTCACATTTATTTAATGTGCTGTGTAATACTAATGGTCAACAGATATGCATCTATTTTAATTTATGAATGATAGTCACAGTCGAACAAACCACTATAAAAACTTTATCCACATTTTAGAAAGCATTTATTACAAAAATAAACTAAAATACATACAGATCACAGAAAATAAAATAATCTTAATAAAAATGTATACTGATACGTATATGAAGTTTCTAAGTAAGTCGAGCGCATATTCACACTTGTTCAGGTTCCTTCAACAACGAATTTCTCTTAACCCTCTTTCTGCCAAAGTATTCTTCGATCTCTTGTAACGATTTCCCTCTAGTCTCCGGCAGAAGTGTTACTACAAATATAGTGCCAGCTAAACTCATTGCGCCATAGAAGAAAAACACTCCGTGTCGATCCATACTCTCTATCATATCAGGATAAATCTTGACTGCAATGAAATTGAAAAAGTATCCAAGTCCCGATGCCAAACCTGACGCCGTTCCTCGAATTTTCGCCGGGAAAACCTCAGCCGACATAGCAAAAGGCATCGGCAGAAATCCTATAGTGCTTATAAAGAAATAAACCAGTAAAAGTAACACTGGCAGAAACAGGAGGGAGTCTTGAGTAGAATCCGAAACTTTTCCTTGATTAATAGCCAAAATATACCCTGCTAAAGCCATCATACAAATGGTCATTCCTGAACCGGATATCATTGACAATGGTCTTCGTCCGTAGAGTTTGCTGATGTAACTCGCCAATATGGCGGCGAATAGACGAACTATACCGATTAAAACTATTGTGAGATAGGCGTCTAATTGGACACCAGCGTCTTTGACGATATCTATGGCGTAGAAAACTATAGCGAAGGTTCCAGCAAACTGTTGGAAAAAAAAGAACGTCCCTACTACAGCTAATGGTTTCAGGGCAGTGGGTTTCATGAGGTGTTTCCACTTGTTGACAAATTGTTCTATGAGGGTTTTTTGTTTGGGTATGGATTTGATCCCTCTATTCTTTATTAGATTCTCGATTTCTTGTTCTACTTCTGGTACGAATTCTTTGGTTCCAAAAATTGTACACATATTGGCTTTAGCTTCATCGTAACGGTTCTTGCGGATCAGCCAAGCGGGAGATTCAGGAATTAAAAAGGAGATGAAAACCATTCCAACGCATGGAAGGACGGCAGAAATAAGGCATATAACACCCCAGTTATCCTAAAAAATTATTATACGTTTTAGTATGTTCAAGATTTGCAAAACGCTTACTTACTTTTAAAACTAAACCTAATAAATATACAATTAAGACCCCCACGGCAAAAAAAATGCTATTCCAAGTACAAATCACACTCCGCAGTTTGTTGCTTGAAACCTCAGCCATATAAATCGTAGCTGGAATACTCGACAGTCCTGTAGACAATCCAGTTAACAGTCGACCAATTAACAAAATAGTGTACTGATTTTCAGGAAAATAATAGGCTGCCGCTACGATCAACCACCCAATAAAACAAGTAATGTTTATACAATACATAGCGCTCCTTCTCCCATACCTATCGGCAATGGGTCCCGAAAAAATGCAACCGAAGGGAGTTGCCAAGGATGCAATACTAGCTACAAAAAAAAAAATTAAAACTGATCCCTAACGCTCAGGTCGCTTCATACCAAACCAGGAAGCTTCATCAGCGTTTAAAAAATGTGTATTCGAAGTATCTTTTAGGGCAGGTAAAGCTACAGCTGAGAATCCTAAACTCATACTAGGTGCTATGCTGGAGAAGTTTGCCAGTAAGCCTAAGATTATCTAGAAATTAAAAAATTAAATAAGTAGAAGAATATGAACACGCATGAGATGAAATCGTGTCGTTTAAAATTTAAGATTAGAATCATTATCTTTGATTTCATTGTTTTATAAGAGATCTGAAAACCAGATCTAGCAAGTTAAGTGTGCTTTAATAATGGCAAAAAATTTTTAAGATGAAAACTGATAGAAAATATGTAAGTCATGATATAAACTGCATGCTTGTTGATGATTAGGACTGATAATAATTAAAAGTTCATTGTCGCGTTTATTTATAATACAGACGTCGTAAAAACCTGAAAATGTTTTTTCTGATTAATTAAACAACCGGTAATTATAGGAGTTTTATAATTATAATAAATATCTGTTTTACGCAAGTTATCACATTATTCATACTTCATGACTTCTCACTCGAGATTTTAAAGTAATTCATTTATGTCATTTCAACTATTCTTAAACGTTGATCCATTTTGAGAGAAAGGACCTTGAAAATTATCATCAGTTAAATTAATATCATCATAGTGTTACGAAATAAACCCATACACCGCCCCGGTACGACGCCTATGGGTTTTCTAGTATGTGCGGCGAAGATGAGTAACTCATCGTCGGTGACGGCGGCCGGGCGGCGTTCGCTAAAGAAAAGTTTGGAAGCGGAAGTCACGATGGGTGCTCCAGAACAAGCCTAGAAGCAGTCGCGGCGACCTTTCGAGAAGGACCGCGTGCTGTTTAAATGGGAACCACCATCCGGAGCAGTCAGAGTAGTCCAGACAATGAAACAAGTAGAGTCTAATCAAATCCACTCCAGTCAAGTCGAAATTATTCTGTACATATTCGTTGTGTGATTGGTTGTGTAAATTTGAGTTACTAAGAAATAAATTGCCGCCGATTTTAATCACCGATCATCCTAACAATAGACTCGAATTGTTTGAAATTCTTGATAAAGTGTTTGTTTCCGTACCTTTAATATGGATACTTATTTTGCGACAAATTGAGAGCTTTTTTCTCCTCGTCAGTTTCACGTTAATATTGGATTTCCGACCCCAGTGGACTAGGAGACGCCTTTCGCGCCGCTGTCGCTATGCATCCTCTCGTCGCGTAGTTTGTTTCCACTTAATTTCGCTTTTTTGCTCTACTGTCATAATTTAGAGTTGTCGCCACACCATCGTAATAACTTGTACATTTGCATCCAGTTAATTTAGGGACTTTAAAATTGTGACGCTTCAAGATTTATATCAGTGATATTTGATTTAATTTTTTAATGGATTTGTTGACCATCACAAGACCAAATTTTGAATTTTACTAAGGGTTCATGCTAACAGTTACATGGTTTTACAACTGTAATTGGAAAAATACATTACTTTATTTTTCAACCGAGAGTTACACAGATACTCATTGTGCATCTGAAAATTTAAAAATAGGTAGTTTTTTCAAAAGGACTTAACGCCACTTGTTATTTGTTGTGTATGAAAATACGTGTTAAAATTGGTAAATGGACAACTGCATTCGACGCTAAGTCCTCATCAATGAGCGTAATTAGTGTAATATCAGTTTGTTAATGATTTTCTAATTTGTAATGTGCAAAAGTTTCCACTATTTCATCAACACGTGTAATTTTTGTTTGCATTTTATCGACAATAATGGAAAATGGTTCTGTAAAACACGTGGCGGAAATTCACTTATTCGGGTTCACATGATTTTTTATAACAATGACATCAAAAGTTCCGAACGTTTTTACTTAAGTGATTACATTATCTAAACTTTGTAACTCCTCACTCGAGATTTAAAATAGTTCATTTATGGCATTTAAACTAAAGTTAATCCATTATGAGAGAAAGGACCTTGCACATTATAATCAGTCGTGGACTCGAAATAGGAAGTCAAATTTATGTTTATTTTGTATTATGTATATGAATGTGTTATGTTCGTACATCCAAATTATTATCTCACAACTTGAATTTGAACATTTATTCTCGGACTATTAGTTTAATTTTGCCTTCTTATGTTGACTTCACATGTGCTTTGCTTTTATGATATGTGAATTCTTTGAATCCATGATGTAATCTTGATGAGCTCGTTTGTGATTTAACTATTCACTTGAATGTAAATTCTTTGTCGCTACAGTGTAGAGTAACAAAGATCTGTTTGCTTTGCAGAACTTAGGAATCTGGTCACCTGCATAAAAGGGATGTCGGGGACAGTTTTCAGATTTAACACGTTTCAGACTTTTTTTAATTAACAATAACGTTGAACGTTTTGGCGCCCGAATTTGAATCAAAAGTTCGAGTAGTCACATTTGAATAATTTGAATTTGAAAAAAAAATTCAATAACAAAAATCGGTAAACATAGACAACCATGTGCACGTTAGCGCTTGGGAGTAGTGTGTAGTTCTGCTTGAAATTTTAGTTAGAGGGTTGTTAGAAGAGGGCGACTTGGTGGCGAAAGTATAGCTGTTTGGTGGATGGATGGTGAAAAGACGCGGTGAGTTAGGTTAAGTTTAGTTGGCTTGGTAGTTAATAAAAGGGAGGAAGCTATCGAAGCGGAAAAATGTGAATTTGTGACCCACGCTAACCACGTGTAAATTTGATTCATTGTTTGTAAATTCACAGTTCGTGTTAGGATTTTGATCGTTAACCGGTGCTCACACAATTTAACAGACATGAGAGTTATTTAGATAAACACTCACTAGGAAATTTCATGGAATTCACTTAGTCAGGATTCAGTCTTTTGTTTAACAAAGTTATGAATAAGTTTCTGTGTGCTAATACTTAAGTGTTACATTATTCTTAATGCTTCACACAAGATTGCTAATAGTTCATTTACGGCAGTTAAATTAACCTAACGTTGCCCCACTGTCGAAAAAGATCGTAGAAATACCGTCATTATATCGTGGACTGACGGGGAGGGGATTAAAGATTTCTCTCCTATGCAGTTATCATCGTTATCAGCGCATCACCGAAACGCATTTTTCTCGCAACGCATTTTGTGTTTATTTATCATGTGTTTTGTTTGGGATAAACAGTCCACGATATAAACCCTCAAAACAAATTGTTTTAAGTAATTAATCACTTGGATCATGGCATAATGTAACATCATATAAATTTGTTAGCTCTGCAACTTTCACCTCATATAATATTTCTCTAGTGGCAGCTTGTTTTTTTTTCTTTTTTTTTTTGACAGTGGAAAAATAAATAATTTTGTGTCCTCCATAAATTTGGTATTCTATTTAGCGGTACTTTTCCAACCTTGGGGTCCACCATTTGCATTTGAACGCATCCCGCCATTTTTCAAAAACACAATGTAGGGTTCCATTTGTCAATCGATCACAGCCAACGCCAAATTTGAATTTTTGAATTTTTCGCATGTCAGTTTAAGGCGGGATGTTTGGGTTATCACAACGTGTTGAAGTTCATCAGTCAATTCCAAGTGGTATCAGTTTTTTAGCACAAGTTGTCTCGTAAACCTTTTTTTCTGTTCCAACTGGCGTACCTACCCCTCGTGTCGACGTAAATGGCCTTGCTCAGTGTATCGCTGCAACCCGAGGAGAGCTCGATCGCCTTGATCAGAGCCGTCGATCACGATACAGTTTTTGGAGTTTGTTTACATTTAAATTTACCGCCACACCACCGCAATGCCTTGAGCATTATCATCCAGTTATTTTATTGACGATTGCTTTTTTGTTTGTGCATTTAATGTGATATTCAAATATTTGTTTTAATTGCATTTTTGAAAGTTGGAGAAGGTTTTTGATTTAATGTTTTCGTATTTCTACTATTCTGCTATAAATACTCGTTCAAACGACGTCATTAATCTTCTAAGGGGAATGATTAAGTTAATTTTAATTAATCTTCTGCATTTCTGAATCAGTGCTAATGTATTATTAATTACATAATCTCTGAGATAAACTATTAAAACAGGATGATCGTTAAGTATACCGAGATTAAAGATGCAGTGAGAAGACTTATCCAACGATGGACCGAAGGTAGGGAAAACTGCATTAATAAAATTAATAATAAGAGCAAAAAAATCTGTGTGGATTCCAATAGCCGAAATAGCGTAAATATTTGTATAAATTTCTAAAAGCCAGTGTACCGTTAATAATCATAAGTGCGATAAGCCTATTTCGGGAATTACACAATTTGACACTTTTTCCATATCCGAATAAGCTCCAAGCCAAATTTGAGAAACATCAATTATTTACAGAATAAAATTTGTCAAAATGGAGTACCACAAAAATGATTACCGTCAGTTTAAAATTAAGTTTTTGTACTTTACTAACTTATTAAATTTAAAAATACGATATAAAAAAAATCGTCGATCTATTATATAACACTTGTCAATTAAATGTCAAAATGATGATTAATTGTGTCATCATTTTTAAAAGATAAATATGCCCACTTTCGAGTGACTGCAAAAAGTGTGCTTTAAACTTAAATCAGAACAACGATGAAATTAAGAGGTTATTTGATGACGTCACATTAAGTAATAAAATTAACGCTTTTATGTTTTATTTTGGTAAACTTAAATACATATCAACAATACACACTATCCAAAAAAATAAGCTCATAAAATGGATTTAAATGCTTCAAAGAATTTTATTTTACCAAATATTTCTTCAAATTAAGTATAACATAAAACGTTTACCATAATCACGTGACTCCAATAAAATAATATAATATAGCTCGTTGTGACAAAATAAAAAACGAAAAATGTTGGGCCCACTTTATGGTAATGGTAAAAATGGTAAAATTATCAAGTTTGAATTAACTACTTAAATTGATATTTAAGTTAAAAAATTACCCCTAAAGATTTCAAAAAAAGTAATCATTAGTTTTTGAAGCTTAACTTGCCAGATCGAAAAATAGCACATAAAACCAAACTAATTGCTTTCAATTTTTTATTTTAGTTTAAAATTATGACAAAAACTCACCTGTTTGGATACAGATCTCTTAAATCCAGTCGATCCATTACTCTCATTTTTCACGTCGTGACCACTATCAACCATTTCCGCAAAAATTTAAACTGTAGATACTATTAAGATGAACACATCGAAAATGTTACACTTTTTCAAGAGGAATCGCTTTATATGTAGATTGATAATCTTTCCACTTATCTGTGAAAAAACAAACTATCATCTGTTTCACTCATTTCATAAGTATTCGTTTTGGAAACTGCGCAAACAACTTTAATAAAATTATTGCCAAAGTCGATGGCCACTGTACTCCTCATAAAAGGAATAAGCCTAAATATACTTTTCCAAATCATGTGTGAAATAAACAACATTGATTTTTATCATGTGTTGCAACTGCAAATACACTTCATCGTTTATCCGTAATGGATTAAAAATTTCGCAATTCCGTCAAGGTACTCGTGAAAAATATAAACAATCATGGGAATTCTTTAAATCGGCTGTGATCAAACGTTACCAAAAAATCATTAATAACCTACGCACGTTTCGCTGATTTATAGAACTATAGAACATCACCCGCAGCTGCTTATATCTTTTGGATTTATCATCCATAAATATAAACCCATTCGCAATTGTGGGGTAATTAAACACTGTCGCTGCCACTGCAAACAGCAGGAAAAGTCAACACAATAAAAGAAAATGTTTCATGGAATTTACTACGCGAAAACAAGCGAAGGATTCCTCAAATAAATTAACTTTTTGAAGATTTTATTCCAAAATACATAAAAAAGGTTATCTGGGCCGGCGATAACCTCCACTAGGCGTCTTTTTGTGGTACGGGAATAAATTTTGCTAGAATTCGGAGTCGCTGCACTTTGTTCTAAAAACTTTTTGAAAAACATCTTTCTCCGAAACACGTGTCGGGTTTTAAGCATTGTTGTAACATAAATAAGACGTCATTACCAATCACAATTAAAGACAGTCATATAGTTTATTAAACAAAAAGACTCATCATCAATAAAGAGAACTATAAATAAATTGCGACTCGTCTGTTCGCATAAAAACCTCATAGTTCGGGAAGTCTCACAAAATATCAACAAATTGAGTAATTGTGATAGTAAGACAACTAACTCATGGTCAACGTTTATAATTAAAAGACGCATGATTTGAGTTAATTGCGGTTGGTAACCGATGAATGAAGTAATTTTCAAGTTCAAAAACATTTTTTTAATTTTATTTATATAAAAAAATACCATCTATAAATATAAAGAATATTATCTTACAACCAGGGATGCCATGCAGGATCCATCCTGCACAGATTATCGTGACTAATTGCAGCATTTACGAGGGTTGAGACCTAGAAACAAAAAACATGGTTAATTATGCAATAAGTTATCGTAAAAAGTGTTACTACGGTAGATATAAAAATATATTTGTTGAATAAGCAATGAAAAGAAAAACGATCTCGCTATATCGCTGATAAATTTATAAAAACATTTTTTTTTTTCATAATTTAATAATTTTTTCAAACACACATCTTTTTGCAGACAGCAAAGAAATCCTTATAACTTGGCATTATTAAGCTCTTAATGTTTAGCATTTTAATAATGTAACGACGGAAGATTATTCTTATTTTTCGTTACTTAAAAATTAAAATATTTAAATACGTAAAAAAATAAATTTAATTTTAAATCAAATACATTAAGCGCTCACTACACTCAAAACAATAATCTGACACAATGAGCAAGTTCTCTAATAGAATTAAACTAACATTATTATTTAATCTTCTTAAATCTAAATTTACAATTGAAGCAATGTTATTACAAATTTTTATAACATATTTTTATATTATGTATGAATCAAATCCATCAAAAATAAAGTAGTATTTAAAAATATCCACCTGAGATAACGTTTTACTAAATGTTATCAACTTTTTACTGAGAAAAAGTATCGGTGAGCAAGATTGATAAAATAATCGGTTGTAAGAAGTTCTAAAAAAAATAGAAAAATAAAGGATCATTATAAATGTTTGTTACACATAAAAATAAAAAGTTTAGACGTAAATTTGACGTTCAACAATTGACCTCCCAGTGTGGCGATTATTAGTTGCTAACCCGTTCGGTTTTAGTTTACTTTATTACTGTTTTTGCCCATTAATATACCGCGTGATCAGAGTCAATCTGTTAGTAACCCTGGACTTTTAGTTAAAATAGGGATCATACTGTTTTCTACATATAACTTCCCGTTGTCAGCTGTCAAGATTGACAGATTTTTGACATTTTTTATTTGCAAAAGATATCTAAAACATAACCTAAATTTATCGCTTGTCACGATTGGCATATCTGTCGTACAATTGCTTCCATTATGCTTATGCCAATATAAACGCAAGAAAAGTTCACATTTTTGTTTAAAAAGTACTGCCAACAGACTCAGTCATTTCTAATCACGCGATACATCATTATGTAATCATAACGTTCTGAGTTAGCTAAACAAATTCTTACTCAAGACCTTTGCAAAAGGAGTATTCTTGAAAGTATATCCGCATTCATTATATTACAGTACGAAATAAACAAACACGATAAAATTGTTTATTCCATGGGATACATAGGTACACTGTAATCTCTTAAGAACAGTGACAAGTGGGAAATACTCAGTTACACACATTTAAATTTGTTGAAAAGTTTTATAAAAATCCAAACAAACGGCAGACAAACAGGCAGACGAACAGATAAACAGAAATCCCAACATGTGATAATCATATATCTAATAATAAAAAATGTTTCTGTTCATTAAATAATGCTAAAAATATTTACAATTGGCTGTATTCTATATTTCCTCAATAAATAATATAACATTAATATGTGTTTTATTCAAACGCAAAAAAAACCTGTCAGGTGTGGGATTCGAACCCACGCTCCCTTTCGAGAATCAGACCTTAAATCTAACGTCTTAGAGCGCTCGGTCAGCCTGACTACACTTAAATGTTTTATTTATAAATTTGTAAAAAAGCTGCAAAAGGGATAGTCAGAATAGCACTCGAGGTTGCGCAGGACCCTCCTCGGGGCCACGTGCCGACCTCAGAAGTCAATTATGGATCGACGAAAAATAATCAGGCTCCAGTTCGACCTCATTTGACCTGGCCTAGAAGCCCCACCATATAACTACTCGTACTTGTATCAGAAAGACCTATGTTACTCAATTTTGCCAACAATCGGCATTACGTCCACTTGGAGCTTGGCATCAAGTGAATCGGCTATAAACTGAGTACATGAGTGATCCACAGCGAACAAGATAAAGTGATTCTGGCGGAGGTTCACCAACACCTATTTGTTCGAGGTGTCGCCTTGCTAGACAAAATCTGGAACCTCGAGATGGGCCTCCAAACCTCATCCTCCGGTGTTGGCCCACAATAATGTTGGAGTCAAGGAAGTAGTGAAAAGCTTCTTAGTAATGGTCGTCCATTTGACTCCACGGATTTTCATGCAAATGAAAATGCAGAAAGAATCAGGAATCTGCACACTACCTGTGCGAATGGCGGCCATTCGTGACGTAACACACATTCTCCTAATTAGTGACACAGGTGGGATAGTCTACGAGATCAAAAGAATGGAAAACCAGCCGAGCCGAGCCGAGCCATAAGAGTGACGATCTGATAGAAGAAGATGACGGAAAAGCCCGAAACGATAGAGGAATCGAAGCTGGAGGTTAAGGCAGTATCACTCAGAATTTCGACACAACAGTCGAGTATAATAACTCTACACGTAGTCCTCTCTAGTTATTTTTAGTTTCTGTTGGTACCCCTGTGTCCTGTGTATGGCAACAGATCAAAGACTTCAAATATGTATAGACTGGATGTCACCTAAAATTTTATTGTATTTTCTGTCAACGGAAATCGATGCCCTTTCTGGTACTTTTCTGTTACCAACATAAACATAACACATAACCTCTAAGACCTATAGCTTTCTGGTGTTCGTTGTTGGAGTGTTCGTATATCGCTTACAGTTCCTTGGATTGCTACTATATAAAATATATTTTTTGAATTTTTTAAAAAGTATAATCACTTTTCTGACTTAAATAAGATTACATCAGATATCAATGAATCTCATTTCAATTTGTTAATTAAAACTGTTTAAAAAAAAATATTTAGCTGTATGGTTACACCACTCATATTTTTTAGAAACAGAAAGAGAAAGGGGTGTAAACGTGAGGCAGAAATTTCATAAACTAGTTTTATTTAAGAGACAATAAAATATTTGTCTTTCTTTTCTTTAATCCTATATAGATTTTCAGTGTTTTTTTTTTACTTGTACATGCTGTGGTGACCGAATTTGAATCAAATCTTCGCACTGAAATTAATCAATAGCGGCACAAAATCACATTCGAATAATTTGAATTTAAAAAAAAATCAATTAAAAAAATCGTTGAACATAGGCAAACATGTGCACGTTAATGCTTTGGGAGTAGTTGGTAGCTCGCTAGGGGATTTTTAGTTATAAGGTTGGTTGGTAGGCAAGATGGCGGCATGGCGAAAACATGGTGAAAGCGTCATTATTGTTTTGGTTTCTTGTGTGTGAGCATGGTGAAAAGTTGCTGTAAGTTAGCTAGGTTAAATTAGTTGCTTTGGTAGTTAATAAAAGGACGAAGGCTTTGTTTAATCAAAATTAATCGTAACGATGGCGCCCAGTTTTCCCCAACACGCGCAACTAATTCTTGCGGCTTTCTAATCGAAAACGGCAAATTTTTTAACGACGTTAACCCGTGTAAATTGAATTCATTGTTTGTAAATTCACAGTTCATCTTAAGATTTTGATCGTTAACTGGTTCTAACACAATGTAACAGACATTTGCTAGGAGTTTTCATGTAATTCACTTAGTCAGAACTCGTTTTATTTTGTTTGTCTAATTTATGAATAAGTTTCTGGATGCTAATACGTAAGTGTTACATTATAACCCTTCTTAATTCTTCACACACCATTGCCAATAGTTCAATAACGGCAGTTAAATTAAAGGGGGGGATTCCTTAGACAGTTATCATCGTTGTCATCATTATATCACCGAGACCTATTCTCTCGCAACGTGGAAAATTTCATCACCGAGGCATTTCCTCGCAACATTAAAAATTACATCACCGAGGCATTTCCTTGCGATGCTAAAAATTACATCACCGAGACGCTTATTCCTCGCAACACTGACTGGATATCTTTGTGTTTATTTTTTATGTGTTTTGTTAGGGGTAAGCAGCTAATTGTTTTAAGTAACCAATCACTTGGATCAAGGCAGCATTTACCGTAATGTAAATTCTTTGCTTGAATCGTTGATAAATTGTGGCATAATTGAACATAATATAAATTCTTTGTTTGAATCGTTGATAAAGTGTGGCAAATATTAATCTCATGTAAATCTGCTAGCTTTGCAATTCTCGCCTCATACAATATTTCTCTATCTCACAATTTTAACTGCAGCAGTTTTCTTTGTTGTATAATTTAAATTGAGCGTAAACTTTCATGCTCCGCAGTTTTAATGTCACGTAATATTTGTATTTATAGAAGTTTATTTCACACCAGATCTTTTGTTTTTATAAAACTTTGCTAGTTTTTTGTTCTGTAAATATTTTGTTGATGAATGTTTCCATCGTATAAATTATCTGATGTCCAATTTTAATTTCACATAAGCATTATTTGTTGTTTAAAATTTCACAAGATTGTATGGCGAATTTAAATGTTGTTTATTGCTCGTTTTGAAACTTTGACACTTGTTCAGTTGTAGTTTAATGTCAGAGTTAAAAATTAAACATTTAAATGGAATTGAGGTTAAATAACACCGAAACACGTGGTGGAAGCGGAGTGCGCGGTTCATAGTCGAGCTGGCGGGATTTATCGCGCCACCTGCACAAAAGATGCAGGTTAGAATAGAATTCAGGGGCGGTCGAGATGACGTAACGCTGTCGGCTTCGTGATAGCCGGGACCCAACTGTGAGTTTGCGACCGTAACGGCCTGCACGTACGGCTTGTCCGGAATAGAAAATTGCTTTGCGGCAGGCTTGCGATAGATAGAATCACCGTCGTGGGTAGGAGAACAGCCTCGACCGGGGGCCCCAAACTCCGTTCGCGCTACAACGCTCCTATGGGATTTTTTTTTCTGCTCTAGACTGAAACTGACATAGTCAACCGCCACACTCTTATAGCGCTCTGATGCCGCTGCCACTGCATATTTTGTTTATTAAAAATTGTGTGCTCTTGTTGCTGCCATAATTTTAAATTTGCCGCCACACGTCTGTAATAACTTGAATATTTGCATCCAGTTACTTTGCTTCAGATTTTGCTTTGTTTTTTATTAAATTTGTTTTCACATGTCAATTTAAGGCGGGATGTTTGGGTTAACACATCGCCATCGTTATTACAATTCTTTAACTCCAAATGACGTTCTGCAAACCATCATAAAGTCGATTGTATGTGATTTTAAACTTCCTGCGGTTTCGGTACCATCCAAGATGGCGACTGTTCAGCTCCAACTTTTGCGCTGTATCGCCAGTCTAACATATTTGAAGTCTTTGCAACAGATGTTGCCCTTTTGCATCTGACCGCATGAAATAACAGAGGACTCTTAGCGACGTTGTAATGAATATTGGTCTGGGCCACCGTAAGAAGGTGGGTATTAGTGCATGTTGCATTTCGAACTCACACCGAGATTCACAATACTACTACAAAAGTGAATACAAAATTGAGATAAAATCTTCGCATTAGGTGTTTTAACAAAATATCCGAATTTATCGACGTTCAAAATGATCTGCACAGGATCGCTTATAAGACAATTATCCGCCAATTAACAACTCTGACTACGACAACTGTATATGAGATTATCCTTTCAAATTATATGCCAATCTTTCTGACCGCTGAGCGCAACTGTCACTTATCTCTCAAGTAGTTTCCACGCGGCTCTGCGGTTGAATTTGAAGACCAAATCATAAATTATTGCTATTCCATTCATATTTTTAATGTTTGTGCAAGTAACTAAATGGTTTCATTCAGGTTAACACAATCATTTTCAAAATTAACATAATCAAAATGTATTCAATAATTTCGTGGTTTACGTTAGTGAAATTATTTATTCTCCAACCATTTGCAACGATCGCACTACGTAACGATTGAAAACTTCGAGCAATTTTTACATGTGCAGCGTTTCCTTTTTGCTCGTCTACTATCAATTGTGCAATATTTATTAAAACCCAGTTTTATCCAATCTGTTAAGAAAGTTCATTATACGTCCCTCTTTTTTTAATTTTGTTCGTATTACAATGTTAACTGTAAGCGCAATGTAAATATCGTCAATTTTTTCACGTTTCGATTTTTTTCCCACAGAAAATAAGAATTTCAAATCAAATTTTCCTAAAAGAGGGACAAAATATGTCTAGTAGGAATCCTTGAGAAAAAAACTATCACTAAAATTGGGAAGAAAATTGTTCCGAACTAACCCGAGCGATACGGCCTTAAGAAACTTTTAGTTACCCCTGACTCGAGGGGGAGTGTTGGAAATGCACAGCTAATGCGAGTCACGGTGTCATTGCCGTCGATGGAACTTTTAGCGGTTCCATAAGCAACTGTGACTTGAGAACTAATTATGTTGCTTGCCCGCATAATAACGAAGAGAAAGATTGATTGGTTCTTAAAATTTTTACAATAACTAGTCTGCAGATATTAAACAAATCAATCCCACGATAATGGACTAAATAAAAATATTAAAGCAGATTACAACAATATAAGCGAGATCGTAATACAGGGTTATTTTCTATAATCACCAATTTATGTTTTCTTAATATGACATCATTAAATTTCTGTAGAAAATAAACTAACAAAAGTTTGTTAATGTTCTGTCTAAATAATACCAACGTTAGTGCCTTACCAAAATTTCAGAGAGAAGATTAAGTAGCAGAAGTGGGAATTTTATAAAACTCGTAAAAGGGAGAAAAACTGATAAGTTTAAAAAATTCTATAAAACAGCTTCTGCACATTAATTGTATTTAAAAGTAATTTAGTGATTCAGAAATTAAAAAATGACATTTGGATAAAGTTAACACATCGAAAATAGAAACAAAAAAACTTACATAGTCAAATTTTTATTAGACACTACCTTATATTTAACCATTTTTATCCCACTAAGGTTTGTTTAACAACTAGCCTCAGTAAGTCGCTGTATTTTCAAATTTCACCTGTCAATTTCTCCTTATCTTACTTAAATCCCTATTATCATTTTTATAACTTTTCGGATTAAAGTGCATTTACTTTAAATAACTCCAAATTTTTAAAGACTAAAAATAATATACTAAACTAATGGATATGTAGAATAGATTTGTTAAAATTTCTGTAACAATGCGCATATAATAATTAACTGATAATACAAAAATTTTCAGAAAGCCTGCATTTGTTAAAAAACAAGACAATAAAAACAATGAACCCGAAGAATAACATCTATCTGTTGACCTACAGCTTTCAGGCCACGATTTTTGATTAGAAGAAAAAGGACGTAATTACTTTTAAAGCGAACCGTTCATTAATTTTCTTTTTCATTGTTTCATCGTTTGCATAACAAAATGAAATGAACCAATCGTACATGATTTCATTTCTGGTTAATCACCTTTAATTCAAAGTGTATTAAACCTACACTCTGTTCATTTTTTTTGTTTCTGCAATTCCTATAACTTATCATTTATTTAAACTTTTGCTGTACTTGTACTTATCGCACGATTAAAGGTCAACAGAATCACTTTAAGTATAGACATTCTGCGTAATTACGTCAAAAATCTTACCTTGCTATCTGCTCCGTCAAAATGTGCAAGACTGTTCAACCTGTTGGATATGGACGTAACAGCCTTATTAACCATATTTATTATCTGTTCACTGTCCGTGAGTTTCTCAAGGTTGTTCCCAACCGACTCATCAGGCTTTTTCATCCTAGACAACACCATTTCATCTCGAAGAATAGGTTTAAGGATTGCTTGTACTTTAAAATTTGGATATACGAAACACCTAGCTGTAGCTATCATAGAAGCTGTAAGGGGTCCGCTAATTCCTATAGACGATAGATACTCAACAACGTTGGGGGTCAAACGGAATGGTACAGGTCGAGTGGCCCCAAATTCACCTGCAATATAACAACATTGGTTTTAAATAAGCAATAAATAAAAATCGTACTCCGAAGAAAAGACAGGATTATACGATAAACTATTTCAAGTAGTAGTCAACGTAATCCAGTTTTCTCCAGTACTAATTTTCAAGCAATCTTGCGACGTCAACGTCAAACTACTCAAGCCAATAATAAATCACTACAGATACTTCTGAATTATAAAAATCTTTACCTGTTCCATCATCCACGTCAAATTTAAAATAAGAAACATTCATCAACCCCGAATCCTGATGCAAATACATCATATCGGGATTCAATCTCGTCAAATGTAGAACATGTTCAGCAAAACAAGCCAACGCTAACTGTAGAGTGAACATTTTTCTAAACTGCCAATAATCCGTAGCCGATGGGAAAGTTTGCACCGCCCATTGCTTTAGCAGCGTCCTGGGAACCATATTCGTCTGCACCCCTTTTAAAATATCTCGGGACAACTGATGGCTCGCTTTAATCCCCCGACTTTGTACTCCTCCTAGCCTCTCGTAATAGTAATGGATAGGATCATCATGCTCAATGCTCAATTTCGAACATCCTTTTTTGAAAATGTCCAACAACGAAATAGATGCGGGATTATCTTCCACTAGTCGGATTTGTTGCGACACAGCCACAACTCTCGGAACCGTATAATGCAAGAACCTTCTCGCAGTCTCTTTCTGTTTGCCCAAACAATGGTTCAACATTCTCAAAAGCTGAAGAACTCTTTCTTCGCGTCGAGCGTCCGCAAGCCCGGAATCGTTAACAACTAGATAAGGGTAGATTTTTCCGTTATGACCACGAATATAGAGACGTCTAGCTGCGGCATTGTGCTTTTGGACGACGTCAACTCGGGGCATGAAACGCGTAATTCTCACATAGTAGTGGTTGTGTTTAGGGAGAAGAAATTCCCCAGGTATTTCTACCTCGGCCGTTTTGAGGGTGAAGTTTGACAAAAATCGGCATTTTTCTTCGATCAGGAAGGACCTTAAAAGAGGAAAATAAAAGTGAAGTGCGCAATTTGCTGCGATTAATCATATTTATGGGTGTATACAAGTGCTCAGACAAGATTAATGTTTGCAATAAATCTAAAAGCTTAAGTTGTTTGAATTACGTGGAATAAAGGGCTTCAAGCATCTGTTTATCAACGATTCGAAATGGTAAATGTCGCAATAAAAAAATACACATAATATTTCACAAAATTATTGCGCAAGTAATATGTTATGCAATATTTTCCAAACGCGACTTGCCATTACGATTTAGTTAAATAAGGAATGCTAAGTTGGATATGATTAAGGCAGACTATTATATCGAATTAATTAACGGATAAATCAGGTAATAATGTATCATCTTAAATTGTAATTTTATTGTAGATAATAGATATTTATTTTATTAGGCGTATTAGTGGCATTTTATCTGACCGAGTACGGATGCTTACATACCGAGCGATAGCGAGTCATTTATAGTCTGAATTCTATTTTCAAGCGATTGTGGTTTTTATGACTGATAATTATTACAATTAAATAAACAAAGCATATTTTTTTATTTTAACCACAGATTTTGACGGTTTTTGAGCTTTTCACAGATTTTGTGAACTTATAAGTTCGTAAATTATTACTAAGATGTTCAACAACCACCCACTTCGCCGGCCTTGGAAAATTCATTATTTTCTAAAGACCATTTTACGAAGTTTTTAAAATAATGCAAAGAAAAATATACCAAAGTGTCTTTCTGAAAAAGTACGAACGAGAAAATTATCTAAGCTGTTTTGACAAATGATCAATTTCTTTCATTTTTTCCAAAGCCACCGAATGAAAAATGTCTGGCAACTAAACTAAGAAGTGTATTTTATTCAGCTGAAGAAAAAAAAATTCTTCTTCGTTGTCCTATTATTTGGAATTTCGGGAGTTTCTAGATGTAATAAACTAGTAAAAATGAAACAAAAAGATATCGAGCATCACAGTTCCCTAATTTACGTCAAGACTCCTGATAGTAAAAAGACGTGGAAAATATTGCAGACATTTTTTTTTTTTGTAAAGTAATTGTGAAAAAAATCAAGGTGGATTCATAAACCGCGAGTACAAGAGTATATTATTTTATAAAATTTAGATAAAATTGTTGGTGAGGATGATTACACAAATTTTAGTAAACGTTCAACTATCTACACGATATTCTTAAATCATATATAAAATTTTATAACAATCGGTCCAATAGTTACGGAGATTATATGTCTAAGGTGAGTCGACGCTATTGTTTCGTACTGTAGGGGTCATGAAACGTCGAGAAAACAAGTAGTTGTACCTTCGATGAATTTTATTACGATACTTCCTTAACTTACGTTCGGGAACTAAAAAGTAATACAAATATATCACTAACATTTCCCATTTTTTCGCATCTAACTGTACATGTAAAGAAGCATTATATGCGTATGTTTCAAGTTAATTTTAACACTATTTGAGATGACGTTATCAACTTTTTAAGACACGTATATCAATTTGAACATAGTCTTTGCCAAAATTAAAAAACTACCAACACTGCATTCTACCTTGAAAATACAACTGACAACGCCATAATATTAAATCTGAAGTTTGACCTAGCAGGAAAACAAAGATAGGTTACAACTAATTTACACTTAACTGCAGATTTTGGAAGGGTTTTGACGTTTCAAAACGTCTTAAAGAGAGGTAGTAAATTTAAATTTTACACGTTATAAAGACGACCTCTATCGTTTATGAAGTATGGCGTTTAACATTTTTAAAGTACAGCATTTAAAATTCGTAAAATATGTGGTGACCACATCTGAATTAAAATTTCGCGCTGAAAAAAAAACAACGACGCGAAATCGTATTTCAATAATTTGAATTTGAAAAAAAAATTTACTAAGAAAATCGTTAAACATAAGCAACCCTGTGCAAGTTTAGTTCTTTTCTGGTAGTTGGTAGTTTTCCTAGGGGAATTTGTGTGTAGTATCTGGTGAGAGGGTTGGTAGTGAAGTTTACTTGTTTGGTAGAGGGTAGGTAGGTCACTGTTGTTTTGTTTTGGTGAGTAAAAAGACACGGTAAGGAAGCTAGATTAAGTTTAGTTGGTTTGATGGTTAATAAAAATGGGGAGCCTTTGTTTTCTCCACACGCGTAGCTAATTCTTGCGGTTTTTCGAAGCGGAAATAGGCGAATTCTCGAACGATGCTAACACATGGTGTAAATTTGTTGTATTTGTAAATTCACAGTTCATGTTAGGTTTTTAATCGTTAACTGGTTCTAACACAATTTAACGGTCCTGAGGTTGTTTAGATAAAACACTTGCTAGGAGATTTCATGAGATCACTTATCAGGACACATTCTTTGTTAATAAATTATGAATAAGGTTTCTGGATGCTCATACTTCAGTGTTACATTATAACACTTCTTAATTTCTCACACAAGATTGCTAATAGTTCATTTAGTTAGGCAGTTAAATTAACCTAACGTTGTCCTACTCTGGGAAAAGGACCGTGAAAGTGCGGTACAATTCATAATATCGTGAACGGAGGTACGGGGGGATTAAACAGTTTTCCCCTTAGGCAGTTATCATCAGCTCATCGAGACATTTTTCTCGCAACGTGGAAAACTATATCACCGAGACGCATATTTCTCGCAACACGGGATGCATTTTGTGTTTATTTATCATGTGTTTTGTTTGGGATAGGCTGGGGACAGTCCACGATAAACTCTCAAAGCTAATTATTTTAAGTAGAGATGTACCGACTATAGTCGGCCAACTAGTCGGCTTTGTCAAAACCGGTTAAAATTGGTTTAATCGACCGAAAATTGGTGTCAAAGTGTAGATAATCTTCCGCTAGTTACGATTCTGAAATGGACGATATCTGGTCCAATAAACACGCAAAGCGAATTCAAAATTTCCAAAAATTTTCCAAAAAGTGGTTAAAATTGGTTAAGTATTATATAAACTGCCCTAAATTGTGTTATTCTTTATTTTTGTACTGAGTTACTACAAAAAATTAAATGTTAAAATTATCCAAACAAATTTAACACATTTTTTGGAAAACAAAGAAACTTTAGTTATTCATTTTATTAAAATAAAACAAGTTTTTAAGGTAGTCAGAGAAATAGAAAAAAAAACACACTGTATGTTGCATTTATAAACCGGTTTTAGCAAAGCGGAACAGTCATCTCTAATTTTAAGTAACCAGTCACTTGGATCAAAGCATAATTTAACATCCTCGAAATTCTTTGTTTTAACCGTTGATAAAGTGTGGCATAATTTAACATCCTGTAAATTCTTTGTTTGAACCGTTGATAAAGTGTGGCAAATATTAGTCTAATATAATTTTGTTAGCTTTGCCGTTTTTCACCTCATGTAATTTTTTTTTCTATCTCACAATTTTAGCTCAGTAATTTTCTTTGCTGTATAATTTAAGTTGAACATAAATTTTCATACTCTGCAGTTCCTAACCTCACGCAATATTTTTGTCTACACAAGTTTTATTTCACACTAGATCTTTGTTGTTTTATAAATTGTCTTATAAATCTTTGCTAGGTTTTTTGCATGTAAATATTTGTTGGTTAATGCTTCCATTATACCAAAATTAGTCTTATCTTACCAAGAAAAGTATGTCATTTGTCAAAATCTGTTTTATCTTAACAAATTCTAGCCCCGCCCACCCTTCCTCTTCTCATTTTGGCAAATGACAGCCTCTAAGAAAGTAAAGGATTCTGTCAAATGATATTCCAATTCCTACTTCGAGTGATTTTTCAACTGAACACCAGCTAGTTGCAACGTGTAGTACAATCGTTTCCAAAAAATTTCGGGCAAGATCAATGAAAAGCAATGGGAATATGACTTTCATGTCAATGTCATTTGTCCGAAATTTTTTGGAAAGGACGTCAAATATCTGCTGTTGTCGTTTCTAGAATCCCTTCTCCTTCTCACCTTTTTACCTGAAGCCCCAAGGACAGGTTTGTATTAGTTATACAATGTAAAATCTAATTTTAAGAGCAAAAAATTTCGAATTTTTAATAGAAAATGAATGAAAATCCGAAAAAATTATTATTGCCTATTTTAATAATAAAAAAATTGAGATCGGCAAAAATAAATGGGTAAACATTTTAGCTTTTAGTGTTAAAAACAAATTCCAAAAGGTTGAACAAAAATCCGTTCAGTGGAACCAGGTTCCGGGGTATAAACCTTACAGCACTCCACTATAGGGGCAAAATCAGTTTTATCTTAACAAGTACTAGAACCGCCCATCCGCCCTGTATTTTCTCAGAGGAGATGTCATTTGCCAAAATAAGACTTACGTTAGCAAGTACTAGCCCCGCCCCACCGCCCGTTATTTTCTCAGAGGGTAGTACTTTCTAGTACCTGCTAAGATAAATCTTATTTTGGCAAATGACATCCTCTGAGAAAATAGGTGTGGGTGGGCGGGGCTAGTACTTGCTCAGATAAGATTGATTTTGGCGAACGTCATACCGTCTGAGAAAATAGAGGGCCGGTGGTCGGGGCGAGCATTGGCTAAGATAAGACTGATTTCGCCCCTATTAAACTTGTAAAAACGTGTTAAATTTAAAAGGTTTTAAATTGCACATTTCCATCGTAACGAGTTAAATTCCTAAATCTGATTGGATGTTTATTTTTTAACAATTCAGTCATTAATTTTTTGAGTCACGCTATTTAAGCATATCTAAAAAATATGAATGCAGTGATAAATCACACGTATAGACTGATCATATTTTGCATATTTTAGATAGTATTTACCCGGCAAAATTTTGATATGACGTCATCAATTTATTGGAGGGGACAAGCGAATATATTTTGATAAAAAAATTATTATGTTTACTATAAATTTAAAACATCTGCAAGATTTCAAATTATTCAGTTTGGCAGATTCAAAAAAGTAAAAAGTGAACTCTTTCGGTAATTTTTGAAGATGCTTGAAGAAACAAAAATTTCATACTCGAGAATATTGAAAAAGTGTGAGAGAGAGAGAGGGAATATAAAAGGAAGGCAAAGTGGAATAATAAATTTTTAGCTGTCTGTTTTACAACGGACTAAATTTAAACTATGCAACCTCATTTTCCACCAGTGCCATAATGGATTTTGTCTTTTGTAAGTATCAAATAAGATCAAATTCACTCCGGCACTATGGCGGCAAATGTGGTTCTAAACTTCAAATTTAGTCTAATTTGTTCCTTACGATTATTACTATTGTTATGGAAAAATACATTATACCGGGTGTCTGAGAGCCTATGGAGACTTTGTAAACAATTTAAATAAATTTTGGGGGAATTTGATGTTCTATTTTTTGAAAATTCCGACCTACCTGTTTTTGAGTTAATTTTGGGACCCCTTTTTTTTATTTATACAATCTTGAGGTTCTAGGTATTCCTGTTTGGAAAGAATTTGCAAGTGCTTTGGAGCCTCTGGTGTCTTTCCTTATAACAATTTTTTAAATTTCTTAGAGGATACGTCATTTGCTAACATCAGTCTTATCTTAACAGGTACTAGCCCCAACCACCCACCCGCCCGCTCTTTTCTCAAAGAATATGTCATTTGCCAAAATCAGCCTGAACAGGTAGTAGCCCCACCCACCCGCCTTCATGTATGTCATTTACCAAAATCGATATTAGATTAGCAAGTACTAACCCCGCCCACCCGCCCTCTATTTTCTTAGAGGGATTTCATTTGCCAAAACCAATCGTATCCTAGCTGGTAGCTGCTATGATAAAACTGATTTTGGCAAATGGCATACCTTCAAAGAAAACTGAGGGTGGGCGGGTGGTACTAGTACCTGTTAAGAAAAGACTGATATTGGCAAATGACATATACTAAACTCACTTGATATACACCTTGTAAAACTTTCATGACTTATGATTATTATTGTCCATTGTTGCCATAATGGAGCTGTAAAGTTTTACTAGCTATATGTGAACTGAGTTAAGTTATACAGTAGTATAGTATGACTTATAAGCCGCTTAAGTCATTTGGTCAGATAAAAATTCTTTGCTGTTTCAAATTTCACGAGAGTGTACGGCGAATTTAAATGTTGTTTATTGCTCTTTTTGAAACTTTAACACTTGTTCAGTTGTCGTTTAATATCAGAGTTATATGTAGAAAGCGAACATTTAAATATAATTGAGGTAAGCCACAGAAGCACGTGGCGGAAGCGGAGTGCGCGGTTCCTTGTCGAGCTGGCGGTCGCGCCATCTGCACAAAGGATGCAGGCTTTGAATAGTTTGCGACCGTAACGACCTACTCGTACGGCATGTTCGTAATTTAGGGGTGCTGTGCGGCAGTGCTTGCCGATAGAATAGAATCACCGTCGTGGGTAGGAGAACAGCCACAACCAGGAGCCCCAAACTCCGCTCGTGCTACAACGCCCCCTATGGGTAATTTTGCTGTGTTCTACAATGAAATTTGATATAGTTCATCGCCACACTCTTATAGCGACCCTTTTGGAATCATAAGCATTCACGAGGAGGCGCTCTGGTGCCGCTGATGGGTTTTAAAATGACAAAAGCTTAAGTTACTTATTGTTTTGTGACAGCTGTCAGTTTATAAGTAACACTTGAATTACAATGTTGAAAACACCACCAAAATGTAAGAAACAGAACACTAGAAAGTATATCGAAAAATAAAGATCAAGAAGTTATTTATTAGTGGAATCTGAATCTTCAGCCAAATTTATAATTACTGGTAAAATGCCCTGACACTAAAATTTTTTCGATGTGTAATATTGAACTGTCATATCTCTGGAGTGAAGGTGGATATAGTTTCAGCCCACAAGTTTGCTGTTCTCTCCTTATAATCTTATTAATGCATTATTTAATTTCTTGCTTAATAAATTTCGTTTTTTGCGAGCCATGTTAAAATTTTGAATTTTCTTGGTCCTTACATAAAATTTTGTTTTAATTTGACAGAGATGTCACCAGCAATGTGTAAGTTCTGCCACTACCACTGTACAAAAATTACTAAATGCATATAAAAAAGAAAAACGTACTTTAGATTTCTAATAATACTCGAATAAAATATAATTTCAAATACGTTGCCTTAAATAATTTATGAATGTATCTTCAAATAAACACTTGACTGAATGACATGGCCTTTCAGCATTTATCTCATAAACATACAGATTAAATCGCTGATATACTATCCATCTGATGAGGATTGTACGCAAAATGCATATTCTTTAAAATGCGGCATATTCAGAAAGATATTTTCTGGTTATATAACTTATTTTTTGAAACAATGGGCTCTAAAAAATTTATGTTTTACACATTTTTTAAATCTTACTGCATATTTACCGATTAAGTGCATATTTATACATATTTATGTAAAATTTTAAATTGTATCTTTATTCAGCAAATACCAAGACATTTCAGTAGAATTTTTACCTGCAAAAACCAATAACTAAGACATCCTAATCGGAACTGGCGACATTCCGTTTATTGGTATATTGAATAGACTGCATCCGACTTAAAATTCAGTTTGCTACACTTTTTTTTGTGAAATTTAAACAAAACTACAAAATATCCCACTTCAAATAAAGAGCATTTTAACAAATTTCTAAAAACAATTTAACCATCAATGAACTTCGAATGAATCATATAATAACTCGTGAAAAAGACACGTTAAAAGCATAATCATGTCAGAATTGTGATGAATGTTTTATCACAAACGGAACACACTTGACTTCACGATAAAAATCCTAAATAACTATAGGTTATTCAACCCACATAACACGAATTGATAAAATTAACTATGTACTTACTGCAAAAGCATTTTCGACCGATTGTCTAAAATCTTAATCCACTTCTTCAATTTGAATATCAAAGTGTGCAACCTCATGGAATTAGTTTGCGAAAAATCAAAATCTTTAGTGAAATCTTGCTTCATCTCTTTAAAAACGGGATCCTGATAAGTCGCTTCTGCCCTCCTTGCTAGACTTTCAGACGCAGCCGAATTGAAAGTAACATTCACTGAACCAATATTTTCTGTAAAACCGGTTACAATCATTTTTAAAATTCTAGCTCCAGAGTGACTTATCTTACCGACACCGATTCCAAACGTCGACATCAATTTCTTCACGAAATTGAGAATATGAGGAGTGATTTTGGCTTCATTCACACTCTCGCGGTTCTCGAATGCGATAGCGTAACATTTGGTTAGACCTTGTCTCAGCTGTCTCAGTACTTCTTCATACCAGTTTTCTCTAAACCACTCCATCTGGTTGGCGATACCTTCCAAACTTGACAATGCGGTAGTGTGAATGTCTCTTTGCATTTTCATGATTTTTGAGCATCTTATCATCGCGGGTGTCGCTTTAATTGACGACGTTTCGCTGGTGGTAATTGTGGTTGTATTTGTACTTTCTTGGTTTTGATTCGTGGAACCACTTTGGTTGTTGTCGTTCTGTGAATCTTGAGGCGGTTGTTGGACTGTATTAGTTTTTCGGGCGGTGGCTGTTCGTAGTGTCAAGTAAAGGGTACGAATTGGGAAGTACACAGCCTGTGGGAACATTCTGCCGACCTAGAATAATAAAAAAGGAGGTAAAATTAATATGCAATACGCACGCAAAAGTATTGTCCGTTCCCGGCAGCGAGAGCTATTGGTCTTCTCCGCCTCCTCCCTGCGGATTGCTATAATTTCATAAACGCTTAAGCAGTATAAAGTCGACAAGGACCAAAATTTCTTGGTCTGATTACAGAAATTTTTTAACTTGAAACGAGAATTTTTTGAGGTAATATTTTAAACCATACACTAGGGTGATTTTTTAACAAAAATTAATCTTTATTTAAAAAATGTATTATACACAGGTATTGACAATTAGAAAACATATAGAAGTTAACATAACGTTAGTGTTTGTTCAAATTATTTAATTGTTCACTTCAGTTGTTTTTTATCCTCTTTTTTACACCCATTTCCTTCTTCATTACCTTCATATTAATATTAATTTGTTAGATATTAGTCTTTTCCCACATATCTGACATTATTTCGTAGTAAATTCAGCTGTATACTGCAACATTATACTTGTTTGCAGCAAAAAGTTGAACACAATCATAAAAAAAAAATTGGTCGAAGCTTATTTCGACAAAATTTCCCTTGTCTCTGAAGTGGGGCTAGTACTTGCTAAGATATGACTGATTTTGGCAAATAACATACCTTCTAAGAAAATAGAGGGCGAGTGGGCGGGGCTAGTACTTGCTGAGATAAGACTTATTTTGCCAAATAACATATCCTCTGAAAAAAGAGGGGGCGGGTGGGCGGGGCTAGTATTTTCTAAGATAGGTCTTATTTTGGCAAATGACATATCCTCTGAGAAATCCTGCTTATTTGAAAAATTATAAAAAAATTTGGCGTTTGTTGTTTTCTTTAACATTTATAAAATTAAAATCAGTGGTGTAAATAACACTGCAGCAGCTTTTTTGGCTTGAACTTTTCAATTCTTCAATTTTTCACTTCTTTCGCTCCTTCAGTTTTTCGATTTACAATTTTTCCAATTTTCAAGTTTAAACTTATCAGTTTTCAGTTTATCAACTTTTGAATTTTTCAATTCTTAGAATTTGCAATTTTTCGATTCTTTATTTTGTATTTTCTAAATTCGCTTTTCTAATATATTTAATTTTTCAATTTTTCGATCTTTCAATGTTGCAGTTTCTTTACTTTACAATTTTGTCGATTCGATAATTTTTCGATTTTACAATTTTTGGGTTTTCGTTTCGATCCATTTATTCTCCTCTCTAATTTTTCAATTTCTTAATTTTTCGATTTTTCAACTTTTCGAATAAAAAAAATTGCAAAATTGTAAAATAAAAAAATTGGAAGTTTAAAAATTGAGAAACTTATAAAACGAGAAAGTGCAAAATCGAAAAAACGAAATATTGTAAAATCGAAATATTGAAATATTGAATTTTCCAATTATCAGGTTTTGCAATTTTTCATTTTAAATATATATTGATTAAAAAAAATCACTTTTTGAATTTTACGATTTTACAATTTATCCAGTTTTCAGTCATTGGATTATAAAACTTTTTCATTAAATAGTTTTTGTAGTTTTTGTTTTCTCAATTTCTAATATATTTAATTTTTCAATTTTTCGATTGTACAATTTTTGGGTTTTCCAATTTTTCGATTCAATCCATTTTTTCTTCTTTCCAATTTTTCGATTCATTAATTTTTTCGATTTTTCAGTTTGCAATTTTTGGATTTCCCTATTTTTGATTTTGCAATTTCTCGTTTCTTCAGTTTTTCATTTTTTCCGATTTTTTAATTTTTCGATTTTTCAACTTTTCGAATAACAAAAAATGCAAAATTACAAAATTGTAAAATTAAATAATAAAAAATGAAAAACGAAACAGTATAAAATGAAAACTTTAATAATTTTTCGAAACACGGAAAAAACTAAAAACTGGAAATAAAGAACTTGAAAAATTAAAAAACCGAAGATTAAAAAATCGAAGATTAAAAATTAAGATACTTATAAAATGAGAAAGTGCAAAATCGAAAAAACGAAATATTGTAAAACCGAATTATTGAAATATTGAATTTTTTAATCTTAGATTTTGCAATTTTTCAATTTAAAATTTCTCGACTGTTCAATATTTAATTTTTCCATTTTTCGATTCTTTATTTTCTTTATTTTTAGAATTTTTCGGATTTTCAATAGTCAAATTTATAAATTTTTTGTTTTTTCAATTTCAACTTCTTCAATATTTTGTTTTTTCAATTTGCAATGTTTCAATTTTTATTTGTTTTTTGATTATCCCATTTTATGATAAACTCTTCAAGTTTTCATTTTTAGGGTTTTCAGTTTTTCGATTTGTAATTTCACGAATTTTCAATTTTTTTCAATTTTTCGTTTCTTCAATTTTTGATTTGTAATTTTTCCAGTTTTAATTTTAAATATATAATGATTATATGTAATTAAAAAAAATGATCACTTTTTGAATTCTACTATTTTACAATTTATCCAGTTTTCAGTCATTGGATTTTAAAAGTTTTTCATTAATTAATTTTTGCAGTTTTAATTTTTTCAATTTCTACCATATTTAATTTTTCAATTTTTCGACTTTTTAATGTTACAGTTTCTTTACTTTACAATTTTGCCGATTCTAAAATTTAGGGTTTTCCAATTTTTCAATTCAATCCATTTTTTCTTCTTTCCGATTTTGTGATGCATTAATTTTTTCGATTTTTCAGTTTGCAAGTTTTCGATTTCCCTATTTTTTATTTTGCAATTTCTCATTTCTTCAGTTTTTCCTTAAGTTTTCAATTTTTCAACATTTCGAATAAAAAAAATGAAAAAATGGTAAAATTGAAAAATCAAAAATGAAAAAACGAAACAGTATAAAATCAAAACTTTAATAATTTTTCGAAACTTTGAGAAATCTAAAAATTGAAAATGAAGAACTTGAAAAATTGGAAAACGAAAAATTTAAAAATCTGAAAATTAAAAATTAAGAAACTTATAAAACGAGAAAGTGCAAAATCGAATTATTGAAATATTGAATTTTTTAATTCTTAGATTTTGCAATTTTTCGATTTAAAATTTGTTCAATTTTTAATTTGTGGTTTCGATTTTTTTTCTTTATTTTTAGAATTTTTCGAATTTTCAATATTCAAATTAAAAAAATTTTTGTTTTTCCAATTTCAACTTTTTCAATATTTTGTTTTTTCAATTTGCAATGTTTCAATTTTTATTTGTTTTTTGATTATTCAATTTTATGATATGTAACTCTTCGAGTTTTCATTTTTAGGGTTTTCAGTTTTTCGATTTGTAATTTCACGAATTTTCAATTTTTTTCAATTTTTCGTTTCTTCATTTTTTTTCCAGTTCTAATTTTAAATATTTAATGATTATATGTATGTAATTAAATAAAAGTGCACTTTTTGAATTCTACTATTTTACAATTTATCCAGTTTTCAGTAATTGGATTTTAAAACTTTTTCATTAATTAATTTTTGCAGTGTTTATTTTCTCAATTTCTACCATATTTAATTTTTCGATTTTTTAATGTTACAGTTTCTTTACTTTACAATTTTGCCGATTCTAAAATTTAGGGTTTTCCAATTTTTCGATTCAATCCATTTTTTCTTCTTTCCAATGTTTCGATTCATTAGTTTTTTCGATTTTTCAGTTTGCAACTTTTCGGTTTCCCTATTTTTGATTTTGCAATTCTTTTTCATTTTTTCCGATTCCTTCATTTTTCGATTTTTCAACATTTCGAATAAAAAAAAAATGGAAAAATGGTAAAATTGAAAAATCAAAAATGAAAAAACGAAACAGTATAAAATGAAAACTTTAATAATTTTTCGAAACTTTGAGAAATCTAAAAATTGAAAATGAAGAACTTGAAAAATTGGAAAACGAAAAATTTAAAAATCTGAATGTAAAAATTGAGAAACTTAAAAAACGAACAAGTGTAAAATCGAAAAAATGGAAAATTGAGAAATCCAAAAATTTCAAAATTGAAAAATTAAAAAATTGAAATCAAAGAATAAACATTTGAAAAACTGAATAAACAAAAAATTACAGATTCGAAAGAAAGATTGAAAAAATCAAGGAAATGACAAAACGAAAAATTGTGATATAAAATCGAGAAAATGAAAAATAAAAATTAAACTTGAAAAAATGAGTAAATAAAAAATTGCAAAACTAAAAAAATTAAAATTGAAATAGGAACCGAAACATTAGAGAATGGCAAAATTAAATAAATAAAGAAACTGAAAAAACGAAAAATGGTTACAACAAAAAAATGTTACTTCAACAAATTGGTCGAAAGTAAATAAATCCAGATTTTTCGAAAAATTATAAGATTTGATTTTGCGACTTTCATTTTTTATGATAACCCTTGTAAGTTAAAATAAAAATATATATGTAATGTTAAAGTACATGTAAAGAATGCGTTTGTTTTAAGTGAGTTTTTCCATTACAATAACAATAACAATATTGTTTTCGGAGAATTTCTAGTTTTACCAGCTAGACGGTATTCCGAACATACACATAAAATTTCACAGTAATCGGTCTTAATAACTGTAGACCAATTTTTGTTAGTAGTAGTACGATAGTTTAAAACATCTCAAAAGTTCTCGTTTCGAATTCAAAACTCTGTAATCAAACCAAAAATTTTTATCAACTATCCTCCTTAAGCGTTTATGGGATTATGGAGACCCGGAGCGAGGAGGCGGAGCTGCTTGGTACCGCCAAAACATAAAGGTAGACAAAAAAATTCTTACAACCCAATGAACTTATCAAATTCTTACCTGGCACAACAAATTCAAAATTACGTGTCCTTCATACTGCACCAAGCAATTCAGCAGCTGCGGCGTCCACGGTAGCCACAAAATAGGTGGCACACCAACCGAATATTTATCCAAAGCGTCCATTAAACTCGAATTCTCGTCATCATAACTCAGAAGCCACAACACTTTAGCCAGGTATTTTCTAGCCTTTGACTCGTTCTGATGGCGACAGGCGTGCAAGAAGCAGGCCATTGCGTTCACCCCCAGATTAATCTGACGGGCATCTCTGGTGAAAACTTGCTCTAGATAATCCCCATACAACGCCCAAGCCTTGATAGAAGTATCGTGCATCTGTACAGCCGCAGAAAACGCCTTATTGGCTTCGTCGGATTTATCTAAAAACAACAATATAAAAAAAATTGATATTCTTCTAGAAAAACTTACTGCTCAAGTGGTAGATCATTCCCTTGAGGGCGTATATTTCGGCTGTCAAATCTTTGGCAAAGTACTTGACATTCGTGTTATTGATAACTTCCAAGCCCTCCTGCAACTCGTTCTTGTTGTTCATGGACGCCAACTGCAAGTAACACTTGACTTGCTGTCTGATCTTTTGGTAGCAGTCGACAATTGGCACGCTCTTTATTGTATAGATCCTATTCAAGGATTCTAAACACACATTGACTAGTTTGTGTTTTCTGGCAATCTTTCCAAAGTGGATGATTGACTGAGCTGACGCGTGGATCCCCAACATGGAATTAGTATGGGCTGACTCTCGTATGCTTTCGTAGTGGTTGACAATGACTTGATAGTGATGTTGGCGCCAGGTGAAAATGTCATTCCAGTGGGTTAAATCATCGGCTATCACCGGTAACCGATTGCGCCAGGTTTTCACTATAGCTTTCATATCGTGTAAGGAATTCTGGTGGCCTTGCAGTAAACCCTTATGGATTTGATATGCTTCTTGCAATTCCATGATTTGTTGGGCTGCTTGGAGATAGGGTAGGTGTATGTGACTAACAATATGTGGTAAACGACGCCACTCGTTCAAACAGAGGGCGCTTGCGCTTTCGACGTAACGTTCCACAAATTTTAAAGGTTTACTCTCGTCGGGTTGACAAATCAATAAAAATCCACCATACATGGTTATCTAAAAGGTGTTACATCGTTAAAATTAAAACTTTAGAATGAAGTAAACTCTTACCTTCCACCCCAGCTCCTTGGGACAGTTATACTCGACGTTGGATAAAGCCTCCTTCATGATGTCCCAATTCGGTATCCTCCACGCACTCTCCAGTAACAAATACGGATCGTAAACACCGTTCTTGGCATATTCAGTAAGAACGTTCCACTCATTTAATTCTTTGGCACACCGAATCCAGTGTTCGGTCCACAGTAGCACTTCCCTCTGAGTGTGCGTAGGTACAGGTCCCATGGAATTATCTTGCTTATGCTTAGCCATCGCTGAGTCATAAGCGGCTTGAGCTTGTTCGAAAAAGCCGTGTTGTTCATATGCTATAGCAATACTGGTTTCTTTGTAGTGGGCGTGCTTTTGCCACAACCCCGCCCACAAATCTTCCTCACAAAGAAGCGAATATAACTCTCCTAAAGAATCAAGCAACTCGTTCTTGGATTGGTCGGTTTCGAAATCGTAACAACTAGCAGCGTTGCTAGCTTTTGAGGCAGAAGATGGGTCAAAAGCGATTTGTTCTAAACCCAGAGCCATGCGGTGCCACAAGTTATGAGATTTACCCAAATACTTCATTAAAGGCCTAAACATTCATAATCAATCAACAGCAACTAAACATTATCCATTCAGGATCTTTATATAGTAAAATAGGCTTTAATATTTTTTCTTTAAGTTGGATAAACTGATTTGATGATTTAGTTTTTAGTCTGTCAGTAGTCTGATTGACATTTGCTTTGAGCTGGATTGCCACTTTTCTACTTCATTTCTTAGATCAGAATTATTAGACGCAATTTTTTAATTAAGTAAACAAATGTTTTAATTTTGTCAGCATAGATAATTTGTTATTGTGACAGATTCACAGATCATTGCGACATTATTTAAAAAGAAAATGCCTAAAATAGTTTTACTGCAACAAAAAATTGCAATATAAGATGTTTTTTGCAGTTTCGAAAAGACAGACCCGATTTTTCTTTCGAAGAAGTAACTACGAAGGTCTCGAACATATTTTCTATAATGTAAAAATACGCTGTAAAATGTTTTTTAATTTTTTTTTTCATAGCTGGGAAAACTGTGGCGAAAATTTTATCAACAGGGGACCAAAATTTAAAAACATCACTATCTGGCAAGCGAAAACCAACGGATTCATTTACAAATTATATGTTTCGGAAAGACCTGCAACGACAAATTTGGCAACTTAATGAAAAAAAAAACGAATATTTCACTGTAGATACACTTGGGTTCTTGGATGGTTGTAACAATTTTTTAAATTAAAAAAATAACGTTAGAGACTATCATAAAACGATGGACGGGACAATTTTTCAAAATTGGGTGGTTAATCAGCTCATTCTTGCTTTGGCCAAGTTGAACCAAAAATATGTGGTGGTTTTAGACAATGCACCGTATTATTCGGTTCAACTGGATAAACCACCCACTTTTTCTAGTAAAAAATGTGAAATGCAGGAATGACTCTTTAAACATAGTGTTGTATTTGACAAAAAAAATCGAAGAAACAGTTGTGGGATTTAATTAAACCCTTCAGAAACAATCGAAAAAAAAAAGATATTTGGTAGACGAGTCATTAACAGAAAGTGGCCATGAAGTTCTTAGATTACCTCCGTACCACTCAATATAATCCAAGTGAAATGGCGTGGGGATTTTGTAAGAACTATTACAACAAGCATATAAATTCTCAACCTTCATTAAAAAATAGGGTGGAGAATTTATGGATTGAGACGCTTTCTAAATGTACTCCAAGCAAGTGGCAAAATTTTTGTAAACATTGTGAAAAACTTATTTTGGCAGATTGGGAAAAAAATATGGGAAATCTTTAGTACGAATCTATACCTCCTTTCCTTATTTCGCTAGGTGAGTCTGATTCAAAATCTGAATTTGAAAATGACGACGATGATACAGATTTTCATAGCGAAATAATGGAAATGGAGTGAATTGTAGGTTGTCGGGGGGTGATATTTTTACGCATCTTTCGTTCTAAGTTTACCAAGGTAGTATGTGAAAAACTACCTGATGTACAACAAAATAAGTATAATTTTAGTTAGATCATCCACGTTGTTACTTTGTAACCAAATTTTAAGCATTTTCATTTTTTTTTTTTTTTGTAACTCTTCATGGACCTGGAGAAGGCGTATAGTAACGTTCTTATTAATAAGCGTTTGGAAGTACTTGGTAAAAGCAAATAAAGAGCACTTACGTAAGCATTAGTAATAGCATTGTTTAAGTATATTATAGTTGGGCAACATATACGGAGAATCACTTTCCCATGTAGAAAAGAATGAACATATATTTTACATCTCACTCGCTTCACTGTGAAGTGGCGGTACCTTACGAAAGGAGATAAAAATAGTCTGTAAGCACGTGATGTCGATAAGGTAGTAAACGGACGTATTAGTCAGTACGTTGTCACAAAATAAGCGAACGTACGTGTTGAAGACTTTACATATATGTAATATATTTATATGTAGTGCATACCTGTTTCATGTGTGTGGTAGCACGTATATTTGCACAAAACCAAATAAAGGTTAAGGTAACAAAAATTTAATATTATCGCAGTATATTGTCCATGAACTGCATAGCTAACATATATGCGTCCCTTCGTCCACCACTTTAAAGGCACAAAATTACACGACCACTGCTTTAATTAATAAGTAACAAGTCATCTAGTTTGCCTCCAGAATAACTATGGGTTATCATCAAACTATGAACACCAAATTAATTCAGTATGAACATCTTACGTATTTTTTTTTTTTTTTATTAACAGTAGTCAAATCACTAAATACATATTATCTTTGAAACTAAAATGCATTTTATCACAAAATATTTACCACCATTTAAATATATACGATTTAGATATCAAGAAATAAATTTAAAATCGCAAAAATTAAACGTAGCAGACTTAAAACAGCCTTAAATGCGTCTTGTATGTACGTGCTTATCAGTATGTCGGCATTTGAACGCACAGCAATAATCGTTCTTGATGAGTACTGACTGATGACTACTGTAACACAGTAAATCCTCGAAATCGAAAATTTAAAACATTGAAAAATTCAAATGTGGGAAAATTGTAAAATCGAGAAATCGAAACATAAAAAAATCAAAACAATAAAAATTGGAAAGTCTAAAATTTAAAAATCGAGAAATTGAACAATCGGTTAATTCAAAAATCGAAACATCGAACAATTGGAAAATCGAAAAATAAAAAAAATTGGAAAATCGAAAAAAACTAATAATTTAAAAATTGAAAAGTTAAAATTGTGAAATCGAAAAACTGAAAAATCACAAAATTGAACGAAATATCCAAAAATTAGGAAATTAAAAAATTGAGAAACAGAAAAGTCAAAAAAGCAGAGTCGAAAAATCGCAAACTTAAAAAATCGAAAAATTGAAAAATCAAAAACCTGAATAATCCAAAAATTGAAGAACTGAAGAACTGAAAAATCGAGAAACCGAAAAATCTAGAAATTTAAAAATTAAAATATGGAAAAGTTGAAAAATTGAGAAATTGAAATATAAAACAATCGAAAAATTGAAAAATTTAATGTATAAAAATTAAAAAACGAAAATCCAAAAATAAAAAATCGAAAAATCTAGAGGTCGAAAAATCAAAGAATCGAAGTATTGAAAAATATCAAAACTGAATGAAATATCCAAAAATTGAGAAATCGAAAAACCAATAAAGCGAAGTCGAAAAATTGAAGAACTCAAGAACTGAAAAATCGAAACTTTGAGAAGTGGGAAAATCAAAAATAGATTAATTGAGAAATCAGAAAACTGAAAATTTAAAGTCAAAATTTTTTCATTGAAAAATTTAAATACTGAAGAACTGAGAAGTCAAAAAATCGAGAAATCGAAAAATCTAAGATTTAAAACATTGAACAATTAAAATATCGCAAAATTTAAGAATCGAGAAATCCAATTCAATTTAAAAATTGAAAAATTGAAAAATCGGAACATTAAAAAATAGGAAAATCCAGAAATTGAAAAGCTCAAAAGAAAAAAATCGAGAAATCGAGAAATCCAAAAATCGAAACATCGAAAAATTCAAAAACTGAGACATCGAGAAATGGAAAAATCGAAGGATCGAGAAATTGAGGAGTCGTAAGTCGAAAAGGAAAGTTAAAAATTGAAAAATTGATAAATTGAACAATCAAAACAACGAAACATCTGAATTCGATAAATTGAGAAATTAAAAAATTGAATAATCGAAAAATTTTAAAAAAAGAAAAACTGTAAAATCGAAAATTAAAATTAAAAAATCTGAAAAATTGAAATATAGAAGTATTGAAAACTCGAGATATCCAAAAACCTAGAATTTTAAAAAATGAAATATTAAAACATCGAAAAAAAAAATCGAAGTATAAAACAGTCGAAGAATTGAAAAATCTAAAGTTTAACAATAAATTGAAAATCCAAAAAGTAAAAATCGAGAAATGGAAAATTTGAAGAATGGAAGAATTGGAAAAGCCCAAAATTGAAATATTGAAAAATTCAGACATTTAAAGTTGAAAAATCGAGAAATCGAAAAGCCGAAAAATCTCAATAGCGTATTTATAAATCACAAGATCAGGACTATGCTATCTTTTTAAATTTAAATAACATTATAAATTGCAAAATGTTCATTTTTTTCCAAAAATCTTGACGTCCAAGGTGAAAACTCAACACGGATGCATAAACCGTAAACGGAGGATATAGTATTGTAAAATTTGGAGATTGCGTCATTTCATTGTTGCTGACAAATTTTGGTGAGTGTTTTACCATTTGATAATACAATTTGAAATGTAAATTTTGTCATTCGGAAACATTATGTGTTAAATCGTTAAGATTGTCAAGAACTTTGTTCACTTATTCGTTGTAAAGTCCAGTGGTCGAAACGGGTTAGTTCTTCGTAGTGGATGTGTATCAGATCAACTCTAACGAATGTCGACTTACAAATAAATCGCTTAAAGCCGATATTGGCCTGAGTGTGGTTTGGTCTGTAGATCAAACAAGTTCTCAGGCGACGAAAAATTGCATGTGGAGGGAGACTTCGGATTACAAATCGTGCCAAGAAAGTAATAAATTTATATCGGTGTAATAAAATATTTGGGAGATGGATTTTCATTCAGATGGATTAAAATTATCATAATCACTATTGATATTAATTAACACAAAATGGCGCGCAAATTATCAGTTGATTTCATTAATAAATTCATAGAAACCTATATGGGATTTTTTCATGCCTTAGAAAATTAAAAAGTAAAAAATACAATAACAAAAATTTTAAAATGCGATTTACGAAAAACTAGTTGACCTGTGCAAAGAGGAAAATTTTGGCAACGCTGACAAATATTACATCTTAAAAAAATTAACACTTGAAGAAGTGCTTTCGGCGTAGTATTTTTGATGCTGGCGTGAACAAAATACTCTGTGTCTGTGTCCGTGTGCAGTGCGCAAAGAGTACGCACATGTATCGCCCTGCTCTTCAACTGTTAAAATAAAGGCGCAAAATGGGTTGGCGTTTGCCTTATTTTGGCATCTTTTAATGACTGTGTGGCGGAGCCTTAACTGTGCAGATCTAGCCGAAAATCCGAAAACCAGATCACTGTGTGTAGGGCTAGCATAACGGAAGTAATAAATCATCCCATCGGTTGAAGAACGTTGGGTCGGTGCACTGATGTCGGTGTTATATCCCGAGAGGGGCCCAGTACAGAGTACACCCAATAAAATGGAACAGACAAAATAAAGCTTCAAACATGATTATTTTTATACTAAAATTCTGAAGTTTATAAACTGCACATTTTATTTATTTATTTATTTATCTTGTTTTCGAAATATAGTAAACATTTCAAACAACGTCTGTAACTTATTTTAATGTAAATTATATTAATGTGGTTGACAAAATCAGATGTAATATTAGTGTGATTTTGACCTTATTCTAGATTTTATTACAGCAGAATGGCGTATCATTTTTAAATTTTAAAAGTTACGGAAACTAGTTCAAGAAACAATTAGTTATCTCGTATTTTTGGAACAAAATCTACCAAAACATCGGATTTCATCAATTGTTTTTCATAGAAACAAACTGTCTTCAAAGCAGCCTTTAACAACCCGATATTACAAACATGCGTTTTTTTTCTGTCTTGTAATTATTTGTAATGTCAACGCCGAAAGTTTATGTCATTCTATTATTTACTTTGAATATGTATTTTCATTTTGTGTTAATATTTTTGTAACACCACGAATCAAAATTTTACTAAATCTTGTAAAACTAAACAATTATACCAGTTTAAAAACCCTTGGAAAGTTTCTGTCAGTCTTCAGATATAGTCAAATAAAAATAGGCTTGACGCCTATTTGAATTTGACATTCATTTAAATACAATTCTTTCGTATCACGTTACAACGCGTTGCTTCATATTTTTTATGTCAAGTATATTTTCATATTTTGTACATACATGTCTATACACATTACTCCTTACGGAACAACGTTAATTATGGATTTATGGATAACTCCTCGTATAAGAGCAGAGTGAAGGGTGTTTGCCTTTGCTAATGTTTGATGGCGCCATCTGAAGTAGAGTAAAATAAACCTAATACGTTCCGCTCACTGTAGTGAAAATGCGCGTTGACGAAAAATTTGTCCCACGCCCCCTGGATTCCTTGTCCTAACTGCCCATTCACAATGGACATAAGGCATAACAAGTACATAAGCTTACATAAATACGTAAAATTGAAACTATGGAAAACGTGTACCCCTGTTCACAGTGGACGAACGTAATTCTTATGCTTATGACCGTTTTACGTAATCCTTGTGTGCGTACACAAAGTTGAAATAAATTCAACTTTGTGCACGAATTATGTCAAAATTATGTTAAAATCTAGGGACTTTTGAATGCTGCTATTGAATTCCCTTTGACAGTTGGCACTTGGCACTTCACACCTTTGATTATATTATATAAATTATAATCAAAGCTTCACACTGCGAGTCTGTTCTGTATTGCGAGTTGTCAAGTTCGAATATCGTATGAAATTGTAGGTTAGATATTTTGATTGACTCAGTTTGAGGTTAGCCGTTTCTATGCTTAGCTGGGAGTTATTCCGTTCTGCGTTTGCGCAGTTTAACAATTCTTACAGAATTCACTGTGTCCACTGTGAACGTAGATAAGCATAAGCCAGACACAAACCAAAAACGTAAATTATGTTATGCGCTCGTTCTTATGTCTTATGTCCATTGTGAATGGGCAGTAAAGCTCACTATTTAGGCGAAGTAAAATTTGTATTAGGTTGTCCAACTATAATATACTTAAACAATTGTAATATCTATATAGATAAATCATTCAATTTAAGGCTGGAAAATGTTTCAGAAGCGTTAAACCCATCAAAGCACTAGAGCAAGGTTATTGTCTTTTACCAACCCTTTTAGTAATCTTAGAAAAGTGAAAAAAGAAGTTGGAAGATATGGAAATAGGCTGTTCACAAAAGTCGAAATTTCCATTTCTAAGAAGAGTAGGCGAGCAGAACGAACTGATGATTGAGAATTAAAGATGAGATGCTAGATGTGGCATGCGACAATAGTCGTATGTATAACCCCCATTCATATAAAAACAATGTTTAAGTGAAATTTTAGTGTTTGTTCCTTACATATGAAATAAACACTTACAAAAAGCCGAATAACGGTTTTAAATAGCGTAAAGTTTTATGCTTTCTAAGAAATGGAGACCGTTAATTTGATCATTGCTACTGAAAACTGAAAGTATCGGCAACAATGTTTATATTTCTGGCATTTTTTAACCTTTAATTCAATAAAACATAACCTAACGAAAAAAGTTCAGGTAATTTTTATTCTTCTGCATCGAATACCAACAAACTCACTAGCAGTGTTGGGCAGTATCTATATACTTGTATCTAGATAAAATCGAATTTAAGCACAAAATTAATGGTGTAGATACAGATACATTTTTTATTTCACTTTTTTTTTCAGTAGTTATTAGTTGAGTCATACTAGTAGTAATTTTTGACACTTCATGTTGGTGATTTTGGTCACATAAACAAAAATAGAGGTAAGAGGTCCACTAATAGTGTTCTGTCACGGAAATTTTCATATTTTAAATACCATCATTTCCTACATTGTAGCCTTCAGTATTTATACATCTTTAAATATAATCCTGAGGGGTAATAAATCTAAGCCATGGTAAGATGGTATTTTAAAAATCATAAACCACAATTCACTATTCATTGCGTTTTACTCTTGTCGGGGTAATGCATTTTATCTGTGTACCTGCGCAAGCCGGGTCCGGTAGGCCCGCTGGTTGTATTTGTGTTATTAAATAAGAGTAATTTTAATAGTAAAAATATTTGTTTAAGGTATGTTATTATTTTTAGAAAATAATAATTGCGTGTTACATAAGGATTAATTTTTTCAATTAGCACAAATTAGTTTTGTAATCGACTAATTGAATGTTCAATACATACATTTCTCTCGCATAAATCGCATATTTGTTACTGTTTTATATCTTTATTTTTCAGACAAATGTAGCATCTTTTCCTGTTGCCACATGTGTCATTTCTTCACTTTTTCATTGTTGGACCTAACGCGAGGCGGGCTTGGCAGGTCCGTTTTGCCCTAGAATGTGCCGATTATGTTTAAGTGTAAATCTTGGGCAACAAAATTAATATTTTTACAACCCTCGGTAGAATAATTTATCGTGATATATTCTCAGAAATCGTGAAACGAGATTAAAATAAAATGAGTTTCAACAAAAATCTGAAAGTTTAAAGTTGCACTCTGGTGATTCCGGCCTGCCAGGTAGCCTTTGATCCTATAAGGGGTTTAAATACCTTTCTAAGAAATTGTACTTATTTTGCCTTAAACGGAACCAGCAATTCTTCCTAAAATATATATACCAGCCGCACCGGAATAGACGATTACCAGACATGGTCATAAAAACATCGTTAAGCCCATATTGAGGAATAATAATTGATGACAGGTTGCCGACAACAGATCTTCAGCACAGAATATTCAATTCCCGTATTCTTTTGAAATATTAATTTTAATGCTGGAGATAATTATTAGATATACTCGAACACAATTTGGACACTGTAGTATGGGAATAAAAACAAAAAAAATATTCTTTTTAAGCGCACGTAATAAATATTGCACAATTTGCGACACATCAAATAGCGAAACGATGGCCTATTTGCACGAAAAAAGAAAAGATTTTTCAGTCTTGAACAACTATGCTACAATAAAATGTTTATTTTTTAAATTTAATACCACGGGTGTTTAGTAGCGGAAATCAAATTCTGACACCAAGAAGAAATAATTTAGGTGACAATACGTTCGAAATGTTGTTGATTTAAAAAAAAATCATTAAACAATACATAAAAAAATACATAAACATGTTTTCAGTTATTTTATTCGCCAAAGCTTCAAAAAGTATCTGTTTTCTTGTATCTGTATCTAGATACTTTTATCTTCCATATATCTATATCTGTATCTAGATACTTTTAAAAGTATCTGTCCCCAACACTGCTCACTAGATTTTCATGGCCAACCCTACTATATAAAGATCGTGAACGGATAATAGAAATACTTACGGTGCTATTTGAATGGGGGGATTACACCGACACAGAGCCTCCACGAAGGTGTTAATAGCGCTTGGGTGACAATCCTTTTGTATAATGTGGGTACCAGAAGTAATAAATGGTAAAATTTCTTGCACCAGTATGTTCCTCTGGTCCTCTTCCAAAATTTCCCATATTCGTGGAAAAAATTGCAGCCACACCTGCTCCGCTAAACTAGTATCCATATGACACAACTGAGCCGCAGCAACCAAAAACTGATCCGTCGTCACATTTCGTGAAACCTCGATAAACTCGTAGTGTTTTTTGATCATTTTGGAAATAGTCTCGGCGCGATCAATCGGTTTCTCCTCAATCGTGGGATTCGATTCGACGTTCGACAAATCCAAATCCAGTACTTCCTCTTTGATTTCCGTTGACGTGTAAAATTCAGGATTGTCAACCTGCATCGAATTAAATTCTTCTCTTTTCTCGGCCGAATTAATCACAGATGTAATACTCGGTAGAATGCTACTTTCGTGTGCCATTTGTATACTAGAGTCAGCCGAAGCGGTAACCAGAAGTAACTCTATACACTGCTTGATCCAGTAATGCTGACCTATAGCTTCCCAGTTTTGCGAACACACGATGTACAGAAGTCGATCATGAAGCCGACAACGCATGGATTCGTCGAAGACTTTGAAAAATTTGGAGCGTATGTGAGGCTGATTGCACCGCAAACCGGCTAGAAAAGCCGGTTCTAATTTTGACGTCAGTTCGGTGGTTTTAAGATTGACGTCCCTAAAACGAAATTCTCAAACCTGAAAGTCGGTAACAAAATCGTGTCTTACGTGTAGACGTAGTTGACGAGTTCGAGAAACTGGGCGTTCAGGTCGGCATCTTCGGGGAATCGTTTTTCAACGTACTGCATCATTTTCCCCAACAGGATTGATTTTTCTCTCAAGCTTGGTGCCTGATTTAGAGTGACTACGTTTTTGCACTTCATCCATTCCTCGAGCATTTTGGTGATGGCTTTCATCACTTTTATGTCTTGAGTTTTCTCGATTAAACCGACTAGAATGGTACCGATGAAGGTCTTGCGCATTTCAACGCCCATTACTACGACTCTGGTCTTGACGAGATCCAAGCTCAAGATTAAGAGTTCGCTGTTGACTGAAATTGTACCTTTAGTAAGAATAATAGCACACTCGAAATAAAAACGTACTTGCTGCGTAATCTGTGGAGGTTGGTTGGAGGTGTTCTTTGGCTAATCGATGCAACACTCTCATGAAAGGGGTGATTAGTAAATCAATATAGGAATGATTGTTGGCACAAGCAGCCTTGAGGATCATCATTGTTCCAAATAAGGTTGAAGAGTTGGCTTGGGCGTTCTTTTCAAAATTGTTCAAACCCTCGAAAATCACTTTACCCACGGTTGAGTATAGAATCTCTAATTCCTCGTATTTACATGAAACTGAGGTGTTTGAACGTTCCGTGGGAAATAGTGACATGAGTTTTGTGAGCAAGCCGTGCACCAGTTTAATAATTTTATTATTCGTGGAAGTTATGCAAGCACCTGGAAGTAGCCGGTAACAAATGAACTGACAAATCGTCGTCTGAGAAAGTATTTGATCCGCAGACCAGAGCGCTCGAGATAAATATTTTGTGTTTTTGCAACGATTTGTTTAAATGGTAGCCCCAACTTTTCTCTACTAGGAAGTTCGCCCAGGAATCCGATGAAATTTCTGTAGCGTTACAACTAGTTCGATGTTTAAGTGAAAATACATGTTAAAATTGGTACGTAATTGTAATTGCAATTTCACAAAAGGATAAATATTTAAACAAAAATGAATCACATTCGACGCCATAGTGTAATCAGTAAAATGTGTAAAACTTCAACTATGCGTCAACACGTATTATTTTTGTTTTATTGCATGTAAACCCAACACTTGAAAAATGATCTATGGTACTCTGACCTACTGGTGCTAACCTTCGCAATTCACCAAGAAATAGAGACCAAATAAATTAAGCAAGTGAAGCTTAAGTACTGCAAGAACAAAAAAACCTCGTAGGAATATAAAATAGATGGAGGAAAAAATAGAGACGAGAATTCATCAAGTCATAAAAGAGCTAGGATCGGTGAAAAAAGAAAACTGGCAGCTACGCAAAATGGTTGGTAGAAAGACAAGAAAAAAATCGAATCATTGGAACGAGAGATAAGGGAAAACAATCTACTCATCAAAAGCGTAACAGATGAAGAAGGAGAAAGAGAAGACGGAACGAGAGGCAATGAGTTAAGAGTAGTTGAGAAAATGAGAATGGTAATAGACCCTGCTATACATCAAATATAAATGAAGTTAGAAAAATGGGGAGGTATAATACCGAAGAAGTAAGAACCTACAGTAGCTTACGACGACAAAACGACGAAAAGATACAACTGTGGATAAACAAAGATTTTAAAAGAGGCTAGAGAAAAGGGTCATAACTCTACCCTAAGATAGAACAAGCTAGACAACAAGCTAGTAGTTAACAATGAAGTATATGAAACACGGGACCTTCAACAGGAGGAGAAACGAGAAAATAAAATAGAAATAGACAGAAGCAGGAAGATAAAAATTGATCGAAGGCTTTTTGACAGAACTTCTATCGCCCCAATAAATCTCGCGTCTTTGAAAAATTTAAAAAAATATTTTCGGTTTTGTTTTCTGATAACTTCTCCAAAGTAAAAACCAGTGGCGTAAATAGCACTTCCGCAGCTTTTGTGACTTGAATTCTTCAGTTTTTCGATTTGCAATTTTTCAAGTTTTCAAGTAAAAATTTTTCAGTTTTTCAGTTTTATAACTTTTGAATTTTTCGATTTGAGTTTCTCGAGTTTTCGATTTTTAATTTTTCAATCTCTCGATATTTAATTTTCAATTTTTTGATGTTTCAATTTTACAGTTTTTCGACTTTATATTTTTGACGATTCTATAATTTTTCGATTTTACAATTTTTGGATTTTCCAATTTTTGGATTCATTATTTTAAGTTTCAATTTCTCGTTTCTTCAGTTGTAAATCGAAATTCTTCGTTTTTCCACTTTTCGATTTTGCAATTTTTCGTTTTGTTAGCTTTTTGTTTTTTCCGATTTTTTAATTTTTCGATTTATCAACTTTCCGAGTCAAAAATTGCAGATCTGTAAAATTGAAAAATCGAAAATGAAAAAAACGAAAAGGTATAAAATGAAAACTGAAAAATCTAAAATTTGGGAAACAAAAATTTGAAAAACTGAAGAAACGAAAAATTGAAAAATCGAAAGATTAAAAGTTGAGAAACTTCAAGATCGAAAAAGTGCAAAATCAAAAAATCGAAAAAGTGCAAAATCAAAAAATCGAAATATTGTAAAATCGAAATGTTGAAAATTAAAGAAATCGGAAAATATGAGAATTGAGAAATCCAAAAATTGCAAAATTTAAAAATCGGGGAACTGAAAAATCAAAGATTGAAAATTGCAAAAACTGAAAAATGAAAAAATTGTGATATCAAAAAACTGTAAAATCGAAGAGAAAGGAAAAACGAAAAATTGTGATATCAAAAAATTAGTCGAAGATAAATAAATCCAGATTTCTCTAAAAATTATAAGATTTGATTTTCTGAATTATATTTTATGATGATAACCCTTTTAAGTTAAAATAGAGATATGCACGTAACGTTAAAGTAAATGTAAAGAAGCCTGTTATGCATTTATTTCAAGTAAATATTTCCATTATAAAATGTTGTGATGACGTCATCAACATTTTTGCAAGGACACATATCAATTGGGATAGATCTAGTCTCATACTGATAATAATAATGTACTCCCAAATTTTCAAACTATAAAGTGCATTGATAAACTACAAATGTAGTCATAATATTTTGCATGTTTCAGAGGGGATTTAGTCGCTAAAATTTTGAGATTACGTCATCAATTTTTTGGGAGGGTATGAACGAATAAATTTTGATTAACGATTTACCACGCCTACGATAACCTTAAAACGTTTGGAAGATTTCAGAGCATTCGGTTTTGCAGTTTCAAAGTGAAATTGCAAAATATTGTTATACAATTTTGATTTTTTTTTACAAAAATCTGGATGTCTAGGATGAAAACTCAATACGGATTTACACCCCGTAAGCGCGGGAGTATTTTATTTTATATAAATATAAACAAATTTACTATTGTCAATTTTGGAAATAACGCCATCAAATTGTTGGTTGGGATGATTCGCCAATTTTTGGTTGGCATTTTACCATCTACATGATAGTCCCATTATACATGCAAAATTTGACCGAATCAGTAATTTCCTGGTTTCGAAGATTATCTGTATAAGAAAAATTCGGACAGACGGCAGACAGACAGACAGACAAACAGAAACGGAAAACCTATTTCTTTATACTCTAAGGGTCATGAAGTCGGAAAAACACAAGAGTAGGGAGCCGGCGATGGACTCGATTACCATACTTCCTTAGCTTATACTCGAAAAATAAAAAGAACTGTAAACCAAAGATCACTCGGTGAAGACATGCTAGGAAAACAGCTCAGAAAAATAAAAAAGACGAACTATAAACCAAAGAAAGACTATTAGTCATAGAAGCGAAGTGGGACAAAAATAACACCTGGACTATAACATACGCACCAAATAATAACGCAAAAAAAAAGAAAAGGAGGAATTGTTCCAATTACTACAAACCGAAATCGAGGAATAGCGAACACCGTAATAATTGGAGACCTCAATGGGGGAGTGGACAACAAGAACGAAGATATCCAAAGATACATGGAAAAAAACGGAGAACAGACAAAAAACGACAATGGAGCTTAAACAATACATCTATGTGTAGAAAACGACCAAATAGCACCAAACACAAAATTTATACACAAAGCCATACACAAGTACACACAAAAAATCTCCACAACAAACAAAAAAATCCATAATAGATTCCTTCATAGAATACAGAGAGAGTTGGAAAACGATGTAAAAGCCAAAACACCGACAGAAATAGAAAACGACCAGTATCTGCTGTACATGGAAGTGATTATATGTAAAAACTGAAAATCGAAAACAAACAAACGAAACGAAGAAAAATACTAAAAGAAAAGACCAAGAGTTATAGATTGCAAGAAGACGAAATAAGACAGGCAGATCAAAATAAACTAAATACATACCAGATCAAGCAAAGTCGACAATAAATTGGATTTAGTAGACAAATGGACCTATAAAAAGACAATATAAAACCAGCAGCCAAAAAAAGCTGTGAACGCCAGAAGTGCATGATAAAAGAAAAGAAACAAAAATGGAACAAATATCTAGCGAAGAAAGAAAAGGAAAACTATATCTTATAAAACAATCAACAAATACGTAGTCAAATATGCGAAGAAACAGGCATGGAGAGAATGTGGAACTAAAGTGAAAGAAAACTGGGTATGTAAAAACAGCAAATGGGAGTTTTGTACAAGATTTTGCACAGATCTATTCGGTAGAGGCCGAGAGTACGATAAAGAGGCAAGAAACTAGTGATATGGCAGGTCTGGTGGAAAGGAAATACTTAAACAAAACATAAGGTTAGAAGGTAAGGCCAAGATAAGAGTTTTTCTGTTTCTAACGGTCGATGTGACGGGAACTCTTTGTCCTTAGGCAACCAAAAGACAGTCCAGATAAACGCAGGAAACAGAAAGATGATAGAAAAACTAAAGGAGACTTTGAAAGCAATAAAGAAGGAAGAAAAACCAGAATGGGATATACTGAGAAGATAAACCAAATATGTGAGGTACTAAAAGAACTCCTAAAAGAAGTCAGACTCATAAGGAAGGGCCAAAAAAATACATGGAAGATATAAACAACTAAAAAGAAAAAATTAAAGAATGTCCGATAGGCTTGAGAAAGTAGAAAGTAAACTAGAAAATGGAAAGGAAGGATAGAAGAAATAACACAGTAAAAAAGAGTAAATTTCGAAGAGCAAAACCTCAAGGAAGGCGTAACAGCGTTTCTACATAACAAAATAAAGTCAAGGCGAACATAATAGAAGCTGCTCAGATCAAAACGAAAAGAGAGCAAAAGACAATAATGGTGAAACTGGAAAACGGAGAAGTTAAAATGAATTCATGGATGCAATATCCCAAATGAAAGACACTAACAAATATTTCGAAGACGATATGACCAAAGAAGAGAAGAAAAAACAAGCAAGACTCAGAGAAACAACAAAAAAGCGAAAGAAAACTAGGAAAAATGGTAAAAGTAGGATATCAGAAGCTGACGATAAACGGAAAGATCTGGTTGTGGTACATAAAAACAGGAAATTAGTCGCAAAGAACTGAAACCAATGATTAACAATAAAATTAATAGGAGTAACGAAGAAACACTGATGACGAACTGGGCAAAGAGTGTGGAATAGGGTATTAAGGGTAAGAATAGGAGGAAAAACGTGAAAATTAGTACGTGCAACATAAAAACATTGAATGGAGAAGAACTAGAATTGGTAAAAGAAGATATGATAAAAATACGACAAACTCTTTATTAAAACGACGTAAACAAAATATGAACATACAACGACGAATCCACTGAATTTACAACGAAAGGACTAAAACAATAGTGAACTAAGTACAATACTTAGACCACTATTGTTTTCAATTGTCTTAGATGACACTGTAGAAAAAAGCAGAGGAAAAATCGAGAGTTTGAAAGTGGAATTCTGAAAGATGGGGAATATAAAACTCCTAGAACTGTTATTTGCCGATGATACAGTGATTGTGGCCAAATCAGAAAAAGATTTACAACAAAATGTAATCGAAAGCCAAAAAGAGCTAGAAAAAATAAACATGGAAATAAATGTAGACAGACAAAGGCGGCGAAATGAATTGAATAAGTCAAAAGCTACAACTATCTGGGAACATCAATAGAATACAATGGGACAATCAACAAAGAAATAACAGAGAGAACAGAAAAAATGAGAAGATTATATAACAGCATCAAGAAACTATTAATTGGGAAAAATAAATACCGGAAGAAATAAAGAAAGAATCAGTGCTAAGCCGTCACTATTTTACAACGAGAAAGAAAAGCAAAGTCCAGGCAACCGAAATGAGAGAGAGTCACCAGTAGGCAACGAACAAAGTCCTTTCGACAAAAAACATAGCCATGACAAGAATTCACCGCTTGTTCATTTAATTTTCGATTTTGCTTGAATCTTAAACTGTAACTAACACCACAGATTGATGTAAAATCTTTCTTCACTTGGTGGCGACCGTGGTGTCCTGAATTAGAAATTTAAATTTCGCGCCAAAAAAAACACAAAATCACATTTGAAAAATAAGAAAAATTCAATCCACAACGTAGGTAACAAACCAAGTTTTAAAATTTTAAACCTTCAGCTTAGTGTAGGGGGATTTGAATGCAAAGGCAGTGTAGATAGAAAAAAAGATCACGCGTCAGCTCACTGCTTGTTTGATGTGAGTGAAAACACTGGTTAAAATTAGTACCCAATTGTAATTGTAATTTCACAAAAGGGGAATTGTTTAAACAACAATGAATATCATTCGACATCACAGTCCGGTCCAACGAGTGTAATAATTAGTGTAATATCAGTTTATTAATGATTTTCTAATCCAAAAAGTATTAGAAGTTTGAAATTTTGACGGCTTTTAAAATTCTATGAACATGTCTAATTTTGGCGTAATGTTTGGGTTACCACAATACACAGAAAAGATGACAATGTTGCTCGAAACGGCTACATCGTTGCGATAGATGCGGAACGCTTAAAGTCGAGATTGGCCTAAACTGGTCTATAGATCAACCAAGTTCTCAGACGACGAAATTCTAACTTACCTAATCCTCGTTGTAAAGGTTTAAAACTGGCCAAAATCTGATCCTTCTTCAACACCGTTAACAAGTAAGTCAACAACTCCAACGCCGTGCAAACGTTCCCGATATTAGGATTAGGAGCTTCAACGGTCAGAAGAATCTTATCGAAAAAGGCTAGTTTCAAATCCACCGGTTGGGGCCAAATATCCGGTTTTAAAGCAGTTTTCAAAAGAATAACACACCGCCGGGATAATAATTCACCGGGACTACTAGCCGTAGGATTCGCCGGATTTTGCGGAGTCGAATCGTTAACTTGACACGCTAGTCGCAACAAGAAATTTAACACAGTGTCAGTGTGCGCCCGATCAATCGGTTTATTTACTCCGGGTTCTTGTTTGATCACCGGCGTTGGCGAGTAAGAAGTGGACGGCTGCATCATAGCCAACCTAAAGATTTTTTTAGTCAACTTAAACTAAATAGGTGTCAATTTTGGCCTACCTTTTTCGCTGTCCTTCCATTGGATCATCAAAACTCATGCGCTTCGTTGGAACATTATCCACAACCTCGGTCGTATCAGCGTCTTCTTTAATCCCATACAATTCCCACTTTATTATAACTTCGGCAAGCTCCACAGCCAATTTCCTGTGTTCTAAAGTAGCCGTGGGGCTAAACCCTAACCTTTGAATCGAATTCACCATGTGCTGCACCAAATGGTGTCTCACCGGATAATACACTTTATAATGTTTGACCACCAGTTGCAAAATGTGGAAAAGCTGTTGCATCGAATGTCCTTCATCCACGATAATCTTCTTGGTCCAATGAGTCAACATAGTGTTACCCTCGTCCATCCTCAAAGGCATCGACGGAGTCAGAATCTCCAAAGCTTGTCTCACGACATTCCTAGCTTCCAAAGCGTGTGCTTTCAATAAACTGTGAAACACTTGAAGCACGATTTTCCGGTGTATGGCAAACTTGTCGATGATATGTGAAAGCAGCAAATGGCCATGGTAACGTGTTGCTGGGTCCACACAATTTTCAACCAACAAACAAGGCCAGGCGAAAGTCATCAGACGACGAAGTTTGAAACCTTGCGTTTTATTATTAGCGTCATGGTCGTGTATGTGTGGACTTGCTTGTTCTACGAGAAGACAAGAGAACTGGAGCAGGGCGATCCTGACACAATCGGCTGAAGGGAATGGGTTATCTGGGTCTATTAGTTTGTTTATGAATACTGAAACGACGTTATCTGGGTTGTCTTGATATGGCATTGGAGGACCTCCCACTAGTTTGTTGGTTTCTCCTTTTTCAAAACTGACCGCGAAACACGGAATTAAAATTAGTTGCAGAACTTTGGACTTGAGCTCTTGTGACATGGTGTTTGTAGGGAAAAGTTTGACGAAGCGGAAGAACGCAGTCCGCTTCCATTCAACTGTGTAGTTTTGGGCGACGGTGTTAGCAAGGAAATCTTTCAAAAACTAAACAACACAGTTAAAACGCTATTCAACATCCACGACAGTCACTTACCTGAAATTCTGGTATAAACCTGTGACACATACACCGTAATAATTGAAACAACAAATCCACGTTGTTCGGGTGGTAGCAAAAATAGTGTAGTAGAATTTTCACCAATAACTTCGGTTCTTTCCAGTGAGGATACTCCAAGTTGTCAACATTTTTGTGTCTTTCTTGGTATGCATCATCACACCAAATTTGTCTAAAAGCTTCCACTAACTCCGCCTGTTCTGATAACCACTGATCGTCAAATTTGATCAACAAGGATATAATCCTAATACTTTGATATTGTAGTTCGTTTCGATCGGGCGCCGTTAGAGTGTAATTTACGTGAACATTAGCCAACGCCATGGCAATCAACCTCTTCACCATACTATTCTGAATGTGATCTCTAAAGGGCTTACCATCTTTGTGTTTGATTAAATACTCCAAATACCGACTAAACTGCTTATCTTTGATGTAATTATCATCCAAAAACATTTCAAGCGTTTCTGCGGGGTAACGCAGCAGAAACTTCATCAAAATATCTCTAAATGGAGAACTAGCTTCAATCAACATCGCCTGTTCCGTTTGGAGAATCAACTGACACAACTGACCAATAAATTTCGAAGAAGCTGCCGGCGTTTGGTGGAAAATTCCAATAATAGTAACAATCTTTTGCTCTTCGTCTCCTTTCTTAGAAACTCCAGTTGACACCTTATGCGTATTAGTCAAATTCTCCAGAAGCTGTTTCAACAACTCGAGCAACTGTTCGCATAAGTTTTCGTTGAAAGTCAGTGGGAACAACTGAGTTAGATACGACAACATTTTCACGCCGTTTAGGGTCAAGTTTTTAGCGTCTCCCAAGGTCAGTAGGAGCGGTTTAACCGTTTGGTAAACCAGGTCTTTATTAACTTGATACCCGGCGATGAAATCTCGCATGCACTCGAATGCGGTCTGTTGTAATTCCGCGTTCGGTTTTTCTAAAGCTTTATACAAGACTTGGAAAATTTGTTCTCGTACTTCTTCTAAGTAATGGCAAGCTGCCAAAACGCGAAGGGCGCTTTTGCGTAATGGGATGAAGTTCGTTATGTTTTTGTAGCAAGAAAATGTGTTTAGTTTGGAATCTTCGGTGTTGCATAGGGAAAGTAAATCCACGATGAATAAGTTGTGTTCTTTGATGGATAAGTCTGTTAAAGAATTAATCGACGTTAGCAAACAATGTTTTATTGAGAGGGAGTTCAATTTTCCGATTGAGTGTCGAAAAAGGCTGACAAAATTTATTGCTAGTTTTAAATAAAAAATTGGTGAAGCTTCCTCATATAGAGTTTACTGTTTGCACGACTAATAACCTAATTTGAGGTAAATTTACAGTTTTTGATAGTAGATTATTTTATTGTAAACGTCTTTCGCATCATAAGTGGCCTAAAAAAATTAATCTTAAAAAAATTACTTATTAATCAAATATTTGTATATTACAGTGACACTTATAATTTTGCAGAATTAACAGTCTGCATTGACATTAAACTCGCGAATATTTTTCCTCTATTGTTATATTCGTATTTTTTCTTTATATGATTTTTGAATATTTTCTATTTTCTTTGCGATTTTTATTTTCTGATAACCTCTATAAAGTAAAAACCAGTGACGTAAATAACGCTCCCACAGCTTATTTGACTTGAATTTTTATTTCAATTTTTCATTTTTTGTTGCTTCATTTTTTCGATTTGCATGTTTTTTAGTTTTCAAGTTTAAAATCTTCAATTTTCAACTTTTCAATTCAATTTCTACATTTTGCAATTTTTCGATTTGAGTTTCTGAAGTTTTCAATTTTTAATTTTTCCATTTCGTTCCAGTTTTTTATTTTCTTTATTTTTACCATTTTTCAATGTTCCGATTTTACAATTTTTTGTTTTTTCAATTTAAATTTTTTCAATTTTTCGGTTTGCAATTTTTCAAGTTTTCTTTTTTCTTTCTTCAATTTTCCTATATGTAACTCATTGAATTTTTAGATTTTGCAGTTTTTCGATTTAAAGTTTTACGAGTTTTCTTTTCATTTTCAACTTTTAGATTTTTCGGAGAAAGTACGAGTTATTCTACGTACAGTCCAAAATTATTGAATAATAGATTGACTTTATGTTTTTTTATTATAATATCTCGTTCTTTGCGCCAAAAAATGTTTGAAAGAAAACTACGTATATAAAGAAAAAAACAAAGATTAAGCCCCACCCACCCGTCCCGATCTCAATTGTGATGAATTTTTTCAATATTTCTCTAAAAAATTCTACCAGTTTAAAAACATATTCCATATGGCAATTTCTTGTAGAGAAATGAGGATGTTGCAAACTAAGCTTCGCCCTTCAGCTCATAATGAATATAATATTCATCACAATTGAGAAGGGGTGGGTGGGCGGGGCTTATATTTTATCCATTTTTTCTTAATATGCGAAGTCTTCTTTTTCCAACAAGAAACTGAAAACATGTTTAACTTTCCTGTTGAAAGAAAACTCTATAGGTATATTAAAAGAAAAAAACATATACAAAAACGAGATAAAAAAAATAAGTAAAATATGCCGCAAGTTTTTAGTGCACGTGTCGCTGTAACATTAAATATAGCTGGAAAATTTGGTAAGATTATAAACCTTATACGATAATTTTTTCCCATTATATCGTCACTTTTTTATTTACAGATGCATTAAACACACTTGGTGGAGGCGTGGAGGATACTGCCAGATTTTGTTATTTTTTGACCAACTATTCGACTCTGTCAATGGTAGCACAAAAAATCCAACTGAAAGGAAGAACTTGCGTTGTGGAATTACAGACAAGAGCGGGCACATTCAGTTTTGGCGTGAGAAAGCACTCCCCCTACAATTCTAATAGAATTTCAAACTAGGAGTCGACATGATAAAGAGAAACCTCCAACCTTAAAAAACTGGATATTTACTTTGACAAATATTATTAGACTGTGGGACATTTTAAAACACAATGGATTTTAATACCTTTTGGGGCGTCTCAATCAGGACCCTATTGAAAATTTTTTTGGTAAAGTTCGTAGCCATGGAATCCAAACGGTAAATCGACTGTTATCCAAATGAAAATTTTAAGGTGTTATTTAAAAAGGTGTACTAACGAAAAATACGTATATTCTTTAAAAGAATTTTGTACATTAAAAAATTTACAAACACAATCCTTCCACCATTTAGCAGAAATAGACCCCCAAGCGTTTTGTGAGGAACAAAAAGCGGGGAGTTTTTAAATGATGTACAAAATAATTTTTAAAATAATTGTACATAACTGGTGTAAAAATATTAATAAATTATTACGTGACAGCGAGACAAGAACAACATCAAGCGACACCATTATCGAAAAAGCCGTAGAAATTTTCAAGCAGCGCCGAAATCGATGAATTAAAAAAAAATTATTGTAAAAAATTAGCGTTTTTAAAATTATTATTAAATAGGCAATATGTTTGGTGATTAATTTCTATTTACTTCTTCCTTTTACCACATCGATAATGACTGACAGCGAATGAAAAATTCATCAAAATTAAGATGGAGGCGACTATGGGTGGAGCTTAATCTTTGGGTTTATTATTATTTTTTTTTTTTTTAATATATATCGTATTATTTGAACACGATATTCAAAAAGATGTTTTTAATTTTTTATAGAGAAATAAGGATTTCGCAGTTGTGCTCCGCCCTCTTGGCTCCTGACGAATAAAAAGATCATCACAATTGAAATAGGGCGGGTGGGCGGGGCTTACACTTTGCCTTTTTTCTTAATATGTGTAGTTTTCTTTTCCTAACAAGAAACTTAAAAACATGTTTAAAATGGTAAATTTGTATAGGGAATATCGATTTTGCAATTACGCTCCGCCCCTCAGTGTGTCAACGTATATAATATACTAAAAATGTAGTTAAAACCAAGACAACCAGCTGACGAATTTCACGAACTTAAAAGGGAAAAAAAACTAAAATACTCAAAACCGTAATAATCCAGTCAGTAGCGACAAAAAACACCTTTATTTTACAAAAGGTGGGGTAGTAATAATTTAGATATATGTTGTTTTAGTGAGGACTATGATGAAAAATACAAGTTTTTAACATTTGGGGATGGAAACACGAGTCGACATCTTAACGTTAAGGGACAAAACTTGTTTGTTTTAATAACTCCGCAATGGTTAATTCTACAGAAAAAAGTATTACACAAAGTTAAAGCTAACAAAATTTGACACATTTTTTTGTATAATTTTACATCACACACACTATTTTACTTTATTTATTCCTAAAATGAGATATACTACGTTTTCCAACAGTTATCTTAAATTGAGTATTGTGGTGTCCTGAATCGAAATTTAAATTTCGCGCTGACAAAAAAAAAACAATACCGCAAAACCGCATTTGAAAATACATATAAAAGAATTAGAAAAAAAAGTGATTAGGTTGTCGGCAATGAGTCACTGGTTGAAGTTGTTTACATATGTTTGTAATTATATGTATCTGAACATATGTTAACTGTAAAGTGTTGTTTAATCCTTTGTGGACTATCGGTCTGTTGGATTCAATATATTATTATTAAGACCCACCACTGACCCGGAAATGACCGGCATTCAGGCAAGACTTCTATCATTACGGGTATTAAGACCAAGTAATGATATGCACTGATTAGATTAACAAAACAACTTTCGAGATTCTAGAATTACAGCATACAAATTAGTCTGCTATTATTCTCTAATCTCACCCCATCCCCAAAAGTCTAGCGTAACTACCGACCATTTATCCGCGCATCACTTGGAGAGTGACCTACTGGTGCTAATCTAATCTGACTGACATGATCAGACTGTTCGAAAAACTTACGAACAATATGACAACAGCTTTTTGAATTTTGACAATTATTGAATCATTCAAATGCAAAGACTTTAAATTTTCAACTAAGCTATTTGGGACTACACCTACATTAGAGATAACTAAGGGTAGAATTGAAATTTTTTTAAGATTCAACATGGATTTCATTTCTATCGATAATTGTAGATATTTTGAAATCTTGGTGTGGTATGTTTGAATAATGTTGTTCGTGTGTTTTTTGATAAGTATGATGTCTGGTCTGTTAGCTGTAATGTTTAAGTCTCTAAGTATTGTGCGATCCCAGTATAATTTGTATTTGTTATTTTCAAGGAACGGAGATGGAATGTAAGTGTAATAGGGTGTAGTATCTTCGATTAAGTTCATAAGTGTTGCTAATAATTCTTTGTAAATGATTTTGGCTGCGTTGTCGTGTCTAGCTTTGTAGTCAGTTTGTGCCAGGATGCTGCAGGAGGAGATTATGTGCTGGATCGTTTCAGGTTTTGCTTTGCAGAGACGGCAGCAGTCGTTCCTTATATTCGGATATTTGATGATGTATGTTCTGTAATTCTTGGTATTGATTACTCAATGAAATCTTCTTGTTGACATGAGTTTCTTCTAAGTCTTTGTAGAATTTTCCATGTAGTTGTTTTTGTTTTATCCCACTTATTATTTTCTCTATTGTGTGGGGGGTGTGTATTTCTTCGGTGTTCGACAGATTTAAGTGTGTGTGGTTCAAATCTGCTCTTGTGATGGTGCAAAACATTTCATTTCTTTCTGCTCGTTTCAAGAAATACTTCTTCAGATCTGAGATTTGTCTCTGATATAAGTTTTCTAAGTTCTGGAAACCCCTTCCTCCATTCTGTCTTGGTAATGAGAATCGTTCAATGGATGATTTTGGATGATGCCTTCTATACTGTGTGAAGATTTTCCTTGTTACGATGTTTAAATTTTCAAGATCAGTTTTGGACCATTTAATGACTCCAAAAGAATATGTTAGCAGTGGAACGCAGAATGTATTTACTGCTTTCATTAATTTTTTTCCATTTAACTGTGTCTTCAATATTAATTTTAATCTCGCTAGGTATTGATCTTTCAACTGTGTTTTCGTTTTGGTATGATTGATGTGGGAGGATTGACAGAAACCCAGATATTTGTATGTATCATTTCGTTCTTGGGCTTCGATTATTTCGTTATTCTGGGTTATATGTGGTATTTGGTGTTGGATGCCTTTTCTGATTGCTTGGGTCTTACACTTCTCAATACCAAAACACATACCAATATCACCGGAAAACTGTTCAGTCAGATTTAATAGGTTTGTTAACTGATTTTGTGTACTTGCATATATTTTTATGTCATCCATATACAGCAAGTGACTTATTCTGTTTTCTCTTTGTTTGTTAATTCTTATATTGAACCCATAATTGCAGCTGTTCAAAATATCGGAGAGGGGATTTATTGCTAGCAGAACCATAACGGGTTAAGAGAATCGCCTTGAAAAATTCCTCTTCGGATCATTATTGGATCTGAATGAATTGTTTGTTCATTTAAGGTTATTTGGAGGGTGGTCTTCCAAAATTCCATGGAACATTTGAGAAAAGTGCAGATTTTAGTATCAATTTTGTATAATTCCAGAATTTTGCATAGCCAGGAATGAGGGACAGAATCGTAAGCTTTCTTATAATCAATAAAAGCAGTATATATATGTTTCTGTTTTCTTTTCTAGCTTGTTCACAGATGACGGAATCTATGATTAATTGCTCTTTGCAACCAAAGGATCCTTTAATACATCCTTTCTGTCCTTCATTAATGATGTCAGAGTTAAAACAGTGTTGATAGATTTTTTGAGGTTAATATTTTATAGATTGTCGGTAAACATGTGATAGGTCTGTATTTTGATGGATTTTTTGTGTCGTTATCTTTAAGTTTTAGGTATGTTACACCATGACATAAGAATGTTGGAAAGGAGGATGGGTCAAGAAGGAACTGATTTAAGTGATGTAGTAAATGAATATGTACATAATTTAATTTTTTTATCCAAAAATTATGGATTTTGTCTGATCCTGGTGATTTCCAGTTGTGTGTCTTATGGTATTTATTAATTCGGCAAGTGTTATCTGATGATCATTCATTGGTGTAACTGTGGATAGTTTATGGGATATATGAGCAATCTATTTGGCAGATTGGTTAAATTCAAATTCTTGAGACCAAAGTTTTGACCAAAATGTTGTTACATCCTGTGAACTTGGTAGTTCACCGGATAATTGAGTTTTGCTTGAATTAGTTAAATGTCGATAGAATCGTTTTTCGATGTTTAAAAATTTAGTGTTATGAATTTTTCTGAGATGTGATTGTTTGTATCTTTTGCTATATAAGGAAAGCTTTTGTAATAGGGTATCTTTAAGTTGGGATAGTGTTGTGTTGTACTCATCGTAATCAGTTTGATGAAAATTATTGTTGGTTAGTATCGAATGCACACATGTCATGATATGTGGTGTTTTAACTCCTCTAAGGTATTGTGTTATTTGACCTAGTTGTTTTCTAATGTTATTAATTTTATAATTTAACCGTGTTTCCCAATGAGGGGTGGAGGGTATATGATTGGTGTTTGTATTTATTATGTTATCTTTACATGTGTTAATTTGAATACCTACAAGTTAAAGCTGCACAGTAGATAATTGTATGAAGTTTTTCAAAAGAGATCGAGTTTGTGAGATATTTTGGTAAAATGAAGGTGTTCATTATTTCTACAATTGCCAGAAACTTTTTAGAATAACACTGGCGGGGAAGTGAATGTCTATCATTTGGTTTTAATTTAGAACATGTTTCGAAAGTTAATTTAAATTGGTCTTCAATTTCATTTTAGAAATTAATGTGAAATTTAAAATTGTTGTTTCCAGTTTTGATTAATGTGTCTTCGGTGTTGTAGTACGTGTTTTGTAGATTATCTGGGATGTTAATTTGGTTTTGGATTGTTCTTGATAAATTGTTAAGTGATTTGTCAGTTAATGTCTGGGATCTGTTTGATAGTGTGTTGGTAATTTGTCTTATGGTTGTGATCTTATTTTGAGGTGTTTTGTTTACTAAAGATTTTGATAGACTACTGTTACTATTTTTTTTTTCTTTAGTATTACATGATGCACACTTAACTTCTCACTCGAGATTTATAATAATAGTTCATTTATGGCATTTAAACGAATCATTAGCGTTGACTCATTTTAAGAGAAAAGATCTTGAAAATTATTGTCTGTTAAATTAATATCCTCGTGTGTCCGCAAAACGAAAGAGGTTTAATATTTTCTTGCAGGCGTAATGATTGGTTGCAGCTTGAATTCGAACATTTATTTTCGAAGTGCGCCGAGGATGTCCGAAACAACCTTATTTTGATTTTGTCGTATTTCATGTGTTTTGTTGTATGTGATACGGAGTTTCGGTCCACGAGGTAATCTGTGAATGCATTTTTATTTAATCAATAACTCGAATTAACGCATAATTTAATTTCATTTAAATTCGTTGGTGTTCAAAATTGCTGATAAAGTGCGACATAATTTAACCTCATGTAAATTCTTTGTTATCTGAAATTCTTGATAGATTAGTGGTGACGAGATCACGTTGAGAAAACGGAACACATGGTTTCTAGTGAAAGCTTTCATGGCATTTGCCCAAATGGATGTTTAATTTGTAAACTTCATGAGAAGATCCATTTTTTTTTAATTTGTGATATTTGCATTGATTGGGGGCATTTGATTTGATTTCATTTGTGAAAGTTGGAGAAGGTTTTAGCAGTTGACTAACAGATTTTCCTCTCCAAGATGGAGAAATAAACAATTTTTGTCATCCATATTTTAGTATTGTATTTAGGGACAAACCAAGTTTAGTGAGTGACTAGCAAATCTTCATAGCAAAGTTCGAAACACAAATTCCATTTTTTTTTTTTATTGAACTCCCTCTGATTAATAACGACTACTAAACCGTACTTACCTATGGTAAAAAGCCTCGGACTCAAAGTAGTACAAAACTGATTCCCATCCATTAACCCCATCTGCGCAATAGCCGGCTGATGCTTCAACAAATGTTTAGTCGGAGGAACCATATCCGCCAACACCTCTTTAAACGGCTCCATCACCGAAGTCACCGACTTGTTTTGCTTTTCCGCGAGCAATCTCAACGAATGCATCGACTGCTCCCTCACCATCGTATGCGGACTAGTCACTTGCCTCACCAGCTCATGTGTAACTTCATGCAAAGCCTTCTTCTGCAAATCTCTCGTCGCTTGATCCGACCCTTCCGGCGGTTCGGTCACACACACAATCAACATCTTCTCCAAATTGTTCTTAGCCATATCCAACGCACCACTCGACACCTCCCCCGTTAAATCCATCATAACAAAAAGTAGCGCCCGGAGAAACGTAAACATATGTTCATACACCCACTTCAACGCGCACCGCTCGAACATGAAGTTGATCGCTATACAACCACCGAGTTTAGCATACCACGCCCTCTCATAGCACAACGCGCACATTTTTTCGGATAGATACTCGATGAGTGGTAGTCTGCAGGCCATTTCTTTGCTACCTAGGAGGGTTGAAGCCGTGTCCAAAATCAAAACTAGACCTACGTGACCTGGTTTACATAGTTCTTTTTCTTCGTGGCCCATGATTACAGCTAAAGCGTCCACCAAGACTAACGGGTCTAAAGCCACTTGTTCGTTATGTTTGGGAGTACACGCGAAAGCGCCCGATTGTTGAGCCACAGCTACCATGGTATAATGACGTACCACGGCAACCATGAGAGCCACCACTGGTTGTCGCAACTCTTTAATGGCCGCGGCTACGAACATACCAGTGAGAGCGGTCTGATGAGTTTCTCTTGCTTGTTTGTAGATGCTCTTGTACACGGAACCCTTGACCTGAGGTATGGTTTTCGGGTCTTGGAAACTAGAGTGAAGGAAGAGGTTGATAAGAGTGTTCTTATCATCGCTAAGGTTGCGCGAAGCCGTTAAGTAACAATTGATCACCTCCCATGCTTGTTTTCGGTAAAACGAGTCGGTGTTGCTTTGTTTCAGAGCGTTGAACGCTGTTTCAATAATCTAAGTAAAGAAATTATTTGACACTTGAGAAAATACACGGTTTGAGAAACACTTACTTTCTGCACTGGGAACTCAATTGTCTTATCTTGGTCATGGAATTTGGCAATTATAGCAGGCGGATCGTAATCTGAGGAAATATAGTCCAACTTTTGGGGTTCAATCATCATTTTTCTGTTGCCTCCTCCAAATTTACCTAAAACCCTGTACAACACATTAATATGAACCCGTCAATGTGGACTACAGTTAATCCGGCATCATTTTGGATTTTTTCGGAATCGGGTATAATTATTATTTGTATTTATCTCAGTAACCATGCGTCTGACAAAAAAATTGTAAAGATGATTTTTGTAGGTTGCATCATTGCCTACAACTTTTATTAACAACTTTTCGACGTAACATTAATAATAAAAAAATTATGAGCGGGAATATTAAAAAATTAGGGGACGGGTACCTTTGACTCGAGATAACGCCGAATTAACTGAACTTTTAACAAAATAACGTACTTGAAGGCTACTTGGGCCACCTGATCATTATTCCTCAAAGTTCGCCAAAGTGCTTGCATTAAGTCAGCTCGGACTGGTTGAATGTGTTCATACAAAAAATCGTGTTGAAGGTTATCAACACATAACTCCAAAGTTCTTAATCCTTGACTTATAAGAACGTGTGATCCATTTAACGCAGATACTAAGGGATCCATTAACATTGGTAAGTATGGCAAAAGAGAGCTTAATCTAACGGGGACAGTTAGACACAATTCCACAAAAAGATCTTTCATGTGTTGTTTGTGTAAACCGCTCTGTAGTCGGTTGAGTCCTTCGAGAAGGTTAGGTAGCAATGGTAAAAATTCTTGATAGAGTAAATCGTGGCTGCCGCCACCTATTGAGCGAAACAGAGCTCTAAGTAATAGGAAATAGTTATAGGGTTCTTTTGCACTCATAGCTAACTCCATAGACCTGTTAAAGAAATAATCCCTCTTGACTTAGTACAACTTGACAATTTTAAAAATTACCTGTTAACAATCTGATGAAGATGTGGACGCAACATATTTTCGTTTTCTTGAGGGAACAACGAAACACTCCCAAAGACCAATTTAAACAGTTTTAAATACAAGTTGCTTCGTTCGAGATTCGATCCCATTTCTTCCATTCTTTCTAGAAGGTACTCGACCAAAACTGTTGCAAAAATCGGACTCGTAGCTGGGTTAGCCAATAACGTATTAGGTACGGTTTGTAAAGTGGGATTCTTATAAACCCTCTCTACTAAGTATTCAATGGTGGTAGAAAAAATTTCGTGGAATGTTTGCGGATTCATCATAGAAAACTTAACACAAAAACGTCAACACATTAAACGTCGTCCAAAGTCATTACTTACCACTCCACTAAAATGCTCCAAAACTTCCTTCTCTTCTTTATTTCGCACATTCTGCTGGTTAATACGTTGAGGACCGGCTGGTTGCGGTCCCAGCGACAAAGTATAAATATCTAGAGCTTTCAAAGCCCACTTGACCAACCGCACAAACACCAAGGTTTCATGGGGTTGGAACTGTTTGGTGGTTACCAGTGAAAGAGTTGCGCTGGATTTGCATGCTGAGCAACCCCAGGTGATTGTTTTGACGCCGCAAACTAACGTTTTGACTAAGCTTCTGTAATCGGCTACGTTGTAGTTACTGTTTTGTGGGAATCCGAATTTGGATTTTTCTTCTTTCTGTTGAATGCCCTGGGTTGATGCTAGGGCGTTTTCGAGAATTTCGGCCGGGTTAGGTTTGATATCCTCCAGTTTTACCTCTGGGGTTTGGGGGTTGCTTTGAGTAGTGGTGTGTACTTGTGTATTCTGTTTACACTTGTTGGTTAAAATGGGTAGCTGGATTTTAGCGATAGTTTTAAACTTCACGACGAAAACTTCGAGCATGCGCATCAACAATTCTCGACCTGAAATTTTCCATATTCCACAATTTTATAGTGGTTTATTCGGAGTGAATAAATTAACAAAATTTTTAATGAATCAGATAAATAATGCAACAGAAATATGCAGAAAGGTTTTAACATATATAGTGGTGATAAAGTAATACAACAGAGCAATCATATCTTTATGCATAAACATAGTGAAAAAAAGCGCAAATAGATCTGCAAAAACATTAGAAGCTTAATTTTTCACTAATTAGTAGTATATTGCCGTGGCAACCATATGGCATCAAAATTTATTTGCCGCGAAAAATTCTCACACTTGCGTAGAACACTGGCCGGAACTAATTCAATTGCAAATACATAATTCATTACTGTAATTCAATCACTTTTGATGTAATGAGTAATTGTAATGAATTTCTATCCAAAAAAAAAGGGGTAAACAAAACGTCTAAATCAGCCATGATTCGGTCTCTGTTCCCGGCTTTTATCAGCATTTGATTAGAAATAACATATCATATGTATATCCAAGACACATCTTTAGATGTAAGTGGAAGTAAGTTTTGATAATTATGACACAAATTTCCGAAATAATTTTTTAAATATTGAAAATTACTATTTTGCTATGTCCAGTGTGTTTTTAATATCAATTTTAAAGTTTAGAAATTATGTAATGTGTTTAATTATTAATAAATTTATAAAATATTAAAGACAACATTATTAATATTCTCAAAATTGACGAAAAAATATAGTTTGAGATTAATTATGATTTCTTCTAATCCTAGCATTTTTTAAATCCTAGGATTAAAAGTGAATGTTGCGTTAGTAACGCAAGTTTTTTTCCTAATTACAAAAACGTTTACTTTTAGTGTTGAAATTGTCATTAAAAGTGTCATGTTTTAAGACGGCTGGAGAAAAAATAATGTACCCCTTACAACAAATATCTAAAATTGTCTCATCAAATTTTTCAAAGTGCAAAAAAGTTAAAAGCAATGAGTAATTGAATGAATTACTTAAAAAAAAGTAATTTATAATTATTGTAATGAATTAATATTTTTTACTGAGTAATGAGTATTTGTAATGAATTACTTTTTAAAAGTAATTGTTCCTATCAATGCCGTAGAAGTTGATTTATCTTCAATTACCACTGTTGTTCCCACTACTGATTGCACCTCTGTAAAAATCTCTTCAGTTTCAGAAAGCATCTCCTTATATTTGTAGTCTATATTCCTCCTTCTATCCCATTCGGTGAGTATGAACTCTTTTTGGATCTCCTTAGCAATGTCAATGACTATATATAAACAGACAGTCAACCTACAGTTATTTAACAGTCTCATAGATGGCGCAAGGAGCGATTTCACCGCAGACAGTGTCGGCGATTCTGGTGCGAGTACTGTTACCAAACATCGGCTTTGTTTTGTTTAGCGCGCGCACGTCGCCACCCGCCTCCGCCGTCTTCGTAATGTTATGACTGTTTACATAGTTCTCATTATTTTGTAAATCATTAATTTTACTCTGTGCAAACGTCCGTATTTTTTTATTGGTGATTTTATAATATAACGATCATTTAATATTTATTAATATATTTATAATCGTAACAAGTTACTTCTTTTCATTCAATTAAGTGGTAGGTAATTATTTTATGTTGTATTGTGCCGCCGGGACACCGGACACTGGGAAATTTCCTGGTGGATCCCGAAACATTCTACTTCTGCGCCCCATTGTAATTTATTTAGAATTGCTTATACAGGCATTGGTTGCAGGTGACTCAAAAAAATTAAAGAACGAGTCAATTTGTTTGAAAATTTGGAAATACAACACTTGTTATTGTACCGGATGTCTGGAAAATGGCGGATTCACTCCTGAAACCCCCGTGCATAACGCACGGGGGTTTCAGGAGTCCCAAAAACATTATAAAAAAATTCTTTATGATGTAGATCATGAAAAAAACGTATATACTTTTACGTATGTAAGTAAAGTTGGCAACACTATACGCACATAATGCGTGACTAGCTTACTTTCTGATTTCTTGGTAACCATGGTACTACTTTTCCCAGACTCACCAGTTGATTGTTAAGAGCGTAGTGGAAAGCTAATCCGCCATTTTCCAGACACCCGGTATAATATATTGCACCAATCCAAAGTGATATACATGTTTTTGCAAAAATGTTGGTGACGTCATCACAAAATTTTGTAAAAGAAAAAGTCATGTTAATTGTTAGTGCATAGCACACTGCTTCGCACTTACGTTTAACATTGTATACATATCTTATTTTAACTTATAACCCCTATAAGTTAAAATATGTATACAATGGTTAACAGTAAAAAAAATTAGGAATAGAAAAAAAATAATATTCACAAAATCAAATTCTGTAATTTTTCGAAAAAGCTGGCACCTATTTTTTGAAGACGTCAATGTCTCTGGCAAAACTCAAAATAGTAATAATAATAACATATAAACAGTATGCGGTACCAAAGGACACCACTTTGTAAATTTCCCGGTGGACCCCCAGGTCCTCAATCCAACACTGAATATGATATACACTGCCCCGTAACATTAACGCAAAATTTATGAGGAGTATATTTTTTCTTTTTGATAAATTTTATTATTTTTTCCGATTTGATCTCTAATTCATGAATATTAACTACGCTTACCGGCATGAAACATGGGCCAACCTTTTTCTTTTTTTTTTTTTAGAAAAAGATCCAAAAATGTACAAAATAAAGTGTGATTTCGGATTTCGGCTGCAATACTTTGATGTTGTAATCTGTTTATCCAAAAAACTAAAAAATATGTTTTAATAGAAAATGATTAAAAATTAGCAAACAAAACTGAAAAAAAAAAGTTTCCAAAGAAAAAAGCAACAACAATGGCCATTTACACACTGAATTAATGACACTGTTGAAGAACGTCTATAACGGGTATTTCCCCTATGAACCTGTAAGACTCCTAGGATTCTCGAAGGCATCCCACGATTTGAAGTGTCTATTTATTCTTGTTGAATCTTCTCCCATTCCTCTAAAAGCGTCTAAAGTGCAGGATGCAGGTACACTCATTAATACGCTGATCAAAAAACAACAGCAAAAATAAGCTTAGTAAAAACGACGAAGCACTGTCCATAAAACAATATTAGGTGGTCCGTTTTTCGTACGGGCGAGTGTAGGAATATGTATAACTAGACACGAAAATCTATCCCTTTATCTGTTAAAAAGTTTTTCTTTACTGACAAATCCGAAAAAGTGATAAAATTTGTCTAAAAAAATGAATAAAATTTTGCGGGGCAATGTAGTTATAGTATGTAAATTTCAACATATTATATTTTAGGATTATGTCTGGAAATAAATGTTCTTACGTAAATTGCGACAAGTCTTCAAGAAATAGTCCTGGTTTGAGAAAATGTTTCTTTCCCGTTAAAGATTCTGAAAGATGCAAGAAATGGATTCTATGGGAATGCGTTGCTGTAAGTGAGGATCATTTGAAGCAAAAGTTTTTATGTGGATTTTATGGATCTATTCTTCCTTCAGTCAGTACATTAAAATTGATGTTGACAAGTTATAAAACCAAACTAGGTTACAACAAAAAATTATTTCAACGACTACAATAAAAAGCGCGTACAATGGAAGAGAAAGAAAAGAAATGTATACTTCTATTCGACGAAATGGATATAAAACAGGATCTACAATTTTCAAAAACATCTGGTGAAGTATTAGGTTTTGAAAACATGGGTGAATTTGGTTCAAGAGCTGTACCTGTTAAATATGTTTTAATATTGATGGCAAGAGGAATCTACTGTGACTGGAAACTACCAATTTCATATTATTTTACAAAAAATGGTGTAAAAGCTGAAGTGTTGGAGAAAATTGTAAATAGCTATTCGCTGCATCTAAAAGAAAGTGGTCTGGAACCGCTTGGAGTTGTGTCTGATCAGTCTGCAACGAACCGGAAGTGTTTCAGACTAATGGGTGTTACAGCGGAAATGCCATACTTTGAGCTTGATGTAGAATTTTATTGTATTTATGATGTTCTTCATTTGCTGACAAGTATTCGTAACAATTTAATGTCTGGAAATTACGTGTTGCACGAAAAAATAATTTCATGGTCTTTTATTGAGGAAGTTTATATTTTAGACAAATCTAGCACAACTGGAAGAGCGTTAGTGAAATTGACAGATCGTCATATTAAACCTAACAACTTCCAGAAGATGAGTGTTCGTCTGGCTGCACAAGTGTTCAGTCAAAGTGTCGCAGCAGGCATAAAAACTGCAGTCAACAGCAGACATTTATCAGTGGAAGCAACATATACTGCTGATTTTATATATGTTATCGATAAATTGTTTGATGCGCTTAACAGTAAGTTTCCATGGAGTAAGAAGCCATGGAACAGACCTTTAGCAGATAATAACACAGACGTTACGAGTGCTCTCGGTAAAGGTTTAGACATTATGTCTAATTTAAAAAAGTGTACTGTTGAAGGGAAAATCAGTACTCCTCCTTGCTTTCTTGGAATGATCCAAAGTATACGAGCCATCAAAATGTTACATAATGTATGTAAGAGTGAAGAACTGCCGTACATTTTAACTGGCAGGTTAAACCAAGACCCACTCGAGAACCTCTTGTTCATATACCGACAACGTGGTGGATATAATAAAAACCCTACAGTTACAACATTTAATGGGTTTTTTAAATCTCATACGGTGATTAATTTAATGAAACCACCAGAACAATCAAACTGTGAGATCGATGAAGATTTTAATCTCTTCGAAGGTGACAAAGACGATATTTTCTCTCACCTTTGAAGAGATTAAAAAGTAGCAATAGTGATGAAGAATCTATATCATTATCAGAAGAATCATCAATTCACTCCAGTCCCAGTCAGTCAGAAGCTACAGTGGAAGATTGTTCAGTTGTATATTTCGGGGGATATTTAGTGAAAAAGTTGTTGGACAAATTTACCTGTGAATTTTGCAAAAAAAAATTCTTAGGTACTCGTGATTTGAAAGAACCATCGCAATTGCGAATATTGTATAAAAATTATGATACTGAAAAACAATTAACCTTGAAGGTGCCTCAGAAATCTATAACGAAATTGGTAAAATATTCAATAAGAATAATTGACAGAAACTGGCAAAAATATACTAATAAAAATTTGCTACTTTTTTTTGAAAAACATATTTTTAATCAATATGTTACTAATAAACTGCCGCACATCACTCAACGGACTTAGTGTGATAATCACGTAAAATTTTTTCTCAGACTTTTAATTTCAGTTACTATGCATAAAAAATGTAAATATCTGAGCACCTCTTTATGGCAACCTGCTCAAAAGGCCTTTAAACCAAGCACCAAACTTTCAATTTTGCAGAATTTGTGATCAAATATATTATTTTTTATAACAATAATTAGGTATCTAATATTTCATAATGGACTGGCATGACAGTACGGTAGTGAGGCGGATGTGAACCCAAACACTATCAACAAGCATTCCACTCACTACGGCTCGGTTCGTCCTATAAACCATGAGTCCACAACGTCTGCAGTGCTGGCACGTGTGTGTACTTATGTAATGACAAGTGTACTTACGAGTATGTACAAGTTTTTAGAAGGAATAAAGCTTTTTTTGGTAGAACTGTATTTTTTAAATTAGATTAAGAAACTAATTGTACATTTACAAAAAGTTCACTTTGCTACCAATAAAAATGATTCTTTAACGTTCATAAGAATTTTTTTTATTAGTGTAGAGGTTTAATCGCTCAAACAAATTGAGTCAAATTGTTCCCTTGATTTTCATTGTTGCAGAAGTTGTTAAATGCTGAGCTTCTTTTGCAAAGATGTAGTAAAATACGTTTTTGTTAACACTTTTAAAAGGTTGAGAAAATGCTTTCACTGGTGCATTCGCTGAGGACGTTTGCATAAAAATATGCTGAAATTATAATTTGTTTATAGGAGCAAGTTTTTATAAAAAAATTACAGATCACCAAATGTGATGAGCCCAGCAAAAAATTACTGGGCTCATTTTTAATCAATCCAAGGGCTCTTCGCATTTTTACTTCCCAAACTTAAGCTAAGGAAGTATTATAATCGAGTCCACTGGACGAAGTACGACCAGATATTGTAGTTTTATTTTTTCTCGACGTTTCATCACCCCTAGAATTCGACAAAAATAGGTCCCTGTTTTCGTCTGTCCATCCGTTTGTCTCTCTGTCTGTCTGTCCTTTTTACCTTTAGTTTAACATTACAGACATATCTTTATTTTAACTTATAATGGTTATCTTAAAAAATTAAATTTGCAATATCCTTAGAATTTTTCAAAAAATTTGAATTTATTGTACTGTACTTCAGGGGTGAGGGTATTTCTGTGGAAAGAATCTTTTTAGTACGTTTGTGCATGGGCGTGTTGCAAAAATAGGTACCACTATAACCATCAAATCAATATCTTAACGCATAGAAACGTACCAAAAAAAAAAAAAACAATTAGCTTTTTGCTAAAACTCACAATAAAATTCTGAACATGTCGTGATTTAAAATTTTTTCTAAACATACGAAATGATCGAAATTTAATTTATTCATTAAAAAAATCCAGTTTTATAAACAAATTGTAATCGCAGTTGATTATTTCGGCATCATTATTATGTGTACGTCCTCAACAAATGCATTAGTGAAATATTTTTTTTATATGTTTTATACAGGAAAACTGTTAAATACCAACTTCGTGAAAAAAAATCATATTTAATAATGTTTGCAAAAATTGAAACTAAGGATAAAAAACTTTAGCGGTCCGTTAACTTTTAATGCGATAAGCCAATCGCACAGTTAAGGAATGCCAGTCAAATATGTTTGTTGCGCCACTGCATTCGGTCAAGCGACGTCTGTTGGTCCTAGGCCATCTATCGGTATTGGTCCACAACTAAAAGCGTTGACTGTCTGCACTGGGAATTTATTCCAAAAAGTGATCCCTTATTGGTGGCTTTAATGTTACTTTCTTTGTATCAGACACTAATGAGTATGACAGATTCTCAGTATTATTACAGAATGTTTTTAGTCTTCATAATTTCTTTCAATTTAATACTATCCGTAATATCTCCAACGGAAGTCTTAATCTTATTTTTATTCTAATTTAACTCCTGGTGTTGATAAGTCAATCGATCGTTTAACTGTAGATGTAGAATGATCAACTATTTTAACTTATAAGTTTTACTCAAAACGTTTTATATATTTCTCTACCTTTCTTTGTACTTTCCAGACGTAAGCTAATGAAGTATTGCAATAGGGTCCAACCGGCAAATAGCTATTCTACTTTGCTTTGTCGACGTTTCAAATCCCCTGGAGTATGAGAAAATAGATTTCCCGCTTCTGTCGTCCGTGTCGATTTTTATTAGGTAGACAATCTTTAAAACTACCAATCGTTGTTATTTGTTTAATCATCCCCACCAACAAATTGATGACATCACGCCAACATTTCGTAGAGGAATACGATTTAAATTAAAAAAAAAATCATGTAGTTGTGGTTTATAAATCCGCCTTGATTTTTTACCCTAGACAATCAGATTTTCACAAAAAAATTAAACTGTACAAAAACCCAACGAATCGCTTATTTGATTTCAGCGTTGTCTAAATAAAACGAAGGTCGCGACTCCGACCGCGTTGCGGGTTTGATCACCTCACAGGCCATTTTTTTTCTTACACTGTGACTGGTATATATCACCTATATTTTTTGTGGAAACATTCGATATTTTTTTAATTATACTCCAGGGATAAGGGAAGTCCTGTCTTATAATTTAAGATCTTTTTTTTTCGTAATACACAATATTTCTAAAAAGTTTTTTTTTTTTTTTCATTTCGTCCAGAATATCTTCTTCTTTGTGTTTTTATCTTTCAATTTGAAGTGTTTGTCAAAACTTTTGAACACTGTTAAGGTTAGTATGTTTAATGCTCCAATTGTAATTATAATAAAATAATATCCAAGATAGTGGACCACCTGTATTTTTCGGAATATCCCATTTCAGAACGAAAATTTTACGCCACTGGCCAAAACCTGAGTAACAGATTATTATGTTATAACTTATAAGTTATAACTCAACATGTTCTTCTCATAGTGGTTACACTCTACCAGCAAGTTGTTTTTTGGTAAAAACTAGTGCTATTAAATCTGAAAACTGTTCGTTTCTACCACTTTTAAGATTATTTTTTAAAACCTGTGATATGTTAAGGAAACTTTAAAACTAATCTAGTGACAGGTGACATGAAAACAAAAACGGAGTTCCACATTCTTACGTCTGATGCTCTGATGTCACTAAACTGTCATAAACATGAAAACAAAGCAAGACACTAACACTCTATTATTTAAAGCTTTGAAGTAAATCCTCTTTATCCTTACTTTTATATTTTTATTGGTTGAAAATGATTTTCCAAATAAATCATTAACCTTTCACCATTATCTATCCATCTGTATGCTACTTTGAGTACTGCTTTATCACCGCTTTATAAATATGTTAATTTTGAATATCAAATATAAGGTCCAAAGTGACTTACTATACCCTCACAATATTATTCTTGAGAATGTAATTATTTATTTTTTTATATAACAATGAAAAAAAAATCATTTATAAAAGTGAAACAATTTTAAAAAACACCAAGATCTTACCTTCTGTACTGTTTTCCGCATCCGACCTGATCCGTATACAGTCCACCAAATTCAACAACAACTTACAGGACATAGTTTGAATTCTAAAAACACAAAAACTTAGCCTTTAAACCAGACAAAAACCAACCAACTCACGTTGTCGCCAGCGTATCATCATGTACATTCTTACTAAACAAATGAACAGCTCGAGTGAGATCAGACAAAGGTAATTGTTGCCGTACGTGATGTACTAAGTCAGCCAAAGTAGAGTAAGCCAGTGGACGCAGCGACTCATGCGTGGTCCAACCCCGTCCCAAAAGAACATCCTCATCAAACAATTTTTCCATATGTGGAACAAAACGATTCCTCAAGTCTGTGGCTAGAATATGTCTAGCAGCAATAAGTAACTCTCTTCGGAGATGCGCGACTTCCATTGGACAAAGCATTAAAAGACCTAACATCCCTTGAACCATCATAGCAGAGTGACTTTGAACATGTTCTAGGTAAAACTTGATAATATACGCTAAAAAGGATAAAGTTTTGACTTGAGCTCCCATGAAATCCACAAATATTTCTTTATTGAAAGTGTCAGCTTGTCTTTGTTCGACGCTCGGCTGTAGAGTGATGGTTTTCATGATTAATGGAATGAAGTCACTAACGTCTTGGTGGACGCTTTGTTTGTAAAGTTGGTACATGAGGACGACAATTATTGGGAGTTCTTGGAGCACCTTTAACGATAAGACTGCTTTGGGAATTAAGTAATACTAAAAACAAATAAATAAAAAAATTATTCAAACAGCGGTTTTAATAAAAAACTGACTGCAATTAACGTCCCATCTTTGTTCCTCTTCTCTGTTTGTATACTCGTCATAGTAAAAGTTTCTTTAAGCAAGTCCTCAATATTCAGTTCGCTTAAATCTTTCACTTTGATTGGAGCTCTGGGCTCGAAAATTTTATCCATGTGGTTAGGCAAATCAGAGTAGATTGATTTGACAAATTGAAGAAAATGCTGTATCTACAATTATTAAAAAAAAATAATATAATCATTTCCACCTTAAATGCGTTATTACTTCTGGATTGAACGCTGGACGATACTGCTTATGCAGCTCAATAATAATTTTCAAACAAACCAGAACATTCTCTTCGTTATCTATCTCCAAAAGTCTCAACATTAAAGACAGGATTGATTTGACGTAAGGTCTCAGCAGATCATTTGTCGGTAAACGATACAACATCTCCAGTATCAGTTTTCTAACTTGCTGTATATTGTACTCAGCAATAAAATGCGGTTCGCCTTCTTGCAGTATCTTCAAAAATATTTTCACAGAATGGTCTAGAAAACTTTGATACAAAGATGACGACAGAATAATCTGAAAGTTTTTTTTTTAATAATACATAATAATTTAAATAGAGTATGTTTTACCTCAAAATTTTTGCTTATTTCTTGAGTTGCCTTCAGTTTCAAAACGTCTTTACAGTTGGGGTCACCTAGCATCGTGACATAACTCCGAAACTGGTTCATTTGGGTGGTGTGGGGGTCAATCCCCGTCATGCTTGATTGTGCAGACTGCATCTTGATTCCTTTGATATTACATCCTAAAAGATATTAATTAAAATTTGAAAAAAAATGCAGCATCTGATTGAGCTATCTATTATTTTAAACTAAATTGTATAAAGCTGTTATCACCTTAATTAATCAAAAGTAAACTATGTTTCTCGTTTTTTTAATAACACAAACACTTATGCATAAAAACAATTTAAATCGGGGAAAATGTATTTAAAAACATAACCTTAATGTTACTTCGGGCCGAAAAACAGTAACAACTTTTACTGAATTACAACCAAATAAATAAAAATATATAAATCTTTTAAACTTAAAAAAAAAATGTTTTATACCTGCTATTTATTTCACTTTTTGTTTCTTAAAAACAAACACCAAGAAGTGAATGAATGAATGACGTCAGAAGTTTGGTTAGAATTAGCAAAGTGAATGAAGTAAAGTGAAGTAAAAAACCAGAGACGTGGAAATTGTTGAGACCAATGTACAGATGAAGGCGTAAAAAATGATTAAAATGTTCATAGGTGTAATCAATTTAGTAAGAGAAGTGCTTTAACCTCCGAGTGTGAATTCAGGCAAAATACACACAATAAAAAAATCTCAATCTCACGTTTCTAAATACCTGTTGTCAGTTTATCGACCTCTATGTTTACCTAGCGTCTGTCCACCTAATGGGTACCGGTGATCAAATCAGTGTTTTTGTGTTAACCATTTTTATCAAACTAATAGACATCCCACCTAGAGTTCTATATTATCCCCACCGATAACGTCATCTCAAAATGTTGCTGAGTAAATCTCGCTTGAAATTTATAACAGCATAATATTTATTTTTATCTGCGGCTTAATAATATTGTACCTGTGCATATTTTTAACCTGACGCATATGGGCGTGTATAATTAAAAGTTTTTTTTTTATTTTGCTTTGAACCTATACCGAAGACATTATTTTTTGGAATCAATAATACTAAATGACGAAATTTGTTAGATCAAAAAAAAGTTTACGTATTTAGTTTTTCCGAAATTGTTGAAACACATCTGAAACTTGCAGATTCAAAAATAAAATTCACATTCAACAGATTCCAAAATAAATTAAGCAGTCTTAAAATTTATCTAAGAAACTAAATTTATCTACAAGCTTTGATAAGAAGACACCAACTAATACTGCTTTAGCGATTACAACGAAACAAAATTTTATTTTCTCCAAAAACTAACAACACCATTTTGAAAAATTATTAAACAAATATTTATTTAAAAATATGCTTTGAAGTGGTATTTTAGTAACAGTTTTAGTGTTTACGTCTGTTTGAACAGGAAATCCAAAAATAATGAATGTATAAACCGACTAAAGTGGTATATGTTATTTTCTCAAAAAAGCCCGTATATTTTTTATTATTTCAAAAACGATCTCTTTAATTACATTAAAATTCTTAAACCTAGCAACGCCTGGATGCATTATATACATTACAAAAAAAAATGTTTTTCTTTATGAAAAGTAACTCCACAAATCTGTATACTGAAGAATAAGTCTAAGATTCACACAGAATTTGTTGTGCTCCAGGGGCGGGGGAAATTCTGTTTAAATAACATTTATTAGACAACTTGTTGTAACAAAGTATTATTTGCTCAAAATTATAGTGTAGAGGACAGCGTACATGTCCCAAAAATTTAGGACATAATTTTATTTTTCTAATGTATTAAATTTGCATGTGTACATATGGATAATAATCATATCAATCATCGCTAATAAATGGACGGTCCTCAATATATACTTTATTACATGTTCTGATTGACCACTTGTTTTTCTTGAAATTTTTTAGCATTGCAAGGATTAACTAAAAGTTGCAACAGTATTATTTTTAACATCGGTGTTGCTAAATTTTATGTAAAGATAAAGAGAGCTACACACTTTGTTGTGATATAAATTAAATTAAATTAAATTAAATTAAATTAAATTAAATTAAATTAAATTAAATTAAATTAAATCATAATATAGTCTTTATTAAGAAATTCTAAAATATTAGAATTTTCGAACTCGATATTCCACTGTAATTGCATTTTACTCTGTTTTTACTTCCCAAACATAAGATAAGGAAGTTCCTGTTATAATAGGGTCCAACGCCTACAGATTTATTAAAGTTCCGTCTAAATAAAAGTGAACCAATTGTTTTATTATTTCTTTTAATATGTCAGTATGTCTTAAAAAAATTGAAAATCGCAACTTCATCGATTTGAATTCACGCAAATTTTTTTGGAACGTTTAAGAAAATACTTATTTACAAGTACCTGACAAAAAATTGTCCCAATAATATTAATCATAAACATAAATCTAAATGAACTTTTTCTTGTATCAATCATTGTGAAATGAATTTCTAACCGCAATATCAGCTTTTTCACAAATTAACAAACATAGGTTAAAAAATTGGTCTATAGAGTTTAGACAGTACTTCCCTCGCTGTGGGAAACATGACGACTGCATGCATATTTTTTTTCTTATTACACTTATTTTATTACATGCAATATAATACTAATAATAACAGTGTTGTATCTACAAATTTTAGGAAAAATGGAGTTAACTATTCCTGATTTAATCAATTAAATAAATTGACTCATTCATTAATTTTTTTGAACGAACTGTTAAGCAAATCTAAAAAATATGAATGGAATGATAAATCACAAGTACAGACTCATCATATTATGTACATATATTTCGAATAGGACATATTCAGCAAAATTTTGAGGTGACGTCATCAATTTTTTAGGGGGGATGAGCAAATACATTTTGATTAAAAGTTTACCAGCTTATGATAACTGTAAAACATCTCCAAGATTTCAAAGCATTCGGTTTTGTAGTTCCTGATTAAATAAATAAGATAAATTCACGCATTCATTAATTTTTTTGAGGCAAAGGGTATATGCAAATCCAAAAAATATGAATGGAATGATAAATCACAAGTATTGTTCACCATATTTTCTACATTTTAGATAGGATTTATTCGGCAAAGTTTTGAGGTGACGTCATCAATTTTTTGGAGTGGACAAGTAAATATATTTTGAATAAAAATTTGTCATCCCAATTATAACTGTAAATTACCTGCAAGATTTCAAAGCATTCGGTTTTGCAGATTTCAAATTAAATTGCAAAATGTTGTTTCATAATTTTGATTTTTTTTTCAAAAAATCTGGACGTTTCGGGTAAAAACTCAATTCGGAGTCATAAACAACATGTGTAGGACTATGTTATTTTATATAATTTAAAATCCATTTACTATGTACAATTTTGAAGTGCCGTCATCATATTATTGGTGGGGATGATTAGGCAAATTTTGGTTAGCGTTTTACCATCTACATGATATTCCTAATATAAATACAAAATTTAACAACAATGGGTCCAGTATTTTCGAAGATTATCTGTCTAATAAAAATCCGGGACGGCAGACAGACGGACACACTGACAGACAGACGGCAACGGGAGATCTATTTCTTCGTCTTCTAGTGGTCATGAAAGATCGAGAAAATGTAAAAGTAAAGAGTCGACCGACGGACTCGATTACAATACTTCCTTTGCTTACGCTCGGGAAGTAAAAAGAGTTGGAACCTGGTATATAATATACATTTTCGAAAACTTTTGAAAACTATAGTGACACTTCTTATAACAACCATGAAGAATGAAATGTGAATTTCTACCTTAAAAAGAAATTGTGTCAACTACGTTCTCGATATCCAAAAACAGGAATTTAGTTTATTCTCGAATTTAACCAACTTGTGATTTAATTGATTTCATTCAAATTTAAATTTAAACAACCTTAAAATACCGAAGAATTTTTATCAGTACAGGTTAAAAGGCCCTTCACACCTAGGGCTTGAAATTGAATAATTTCACTACAAAACATAACTATTCACATTTTATCTAAATTAGTTCCATCCTTGTTCTTGTTTTTCCTTGAAATTTCTCACAGGGTCCTCCACTCTCCGATTTTGATATTTCCATCCCACTGTTTTACCATCTTTTTTACCTTCTTTTTTCTTTTTTCCGATTAGTCCTCTGTAAAGTATCATTTTTAGCATTCTATCTCTGCTCATCCTGTCTAGGCTTGGTTTCTTGTAGAAAGTTTTAGTTTCCCTGATTGTTCTTCTTCTTCATTTCTTTCAGATTTATTCCTCCATATATGCTCCTTAATATATTCCTGTGCCACCTCTCCAACATTGTTTCCTCTGATTTCTTCAGCACCCAGGTTTCTCTTGCACATAGGTCTACTGATTGTCTGGTGTTTTCTCACCTTTGTTTTTCTTAACAAATACTTATTTTGACCTCATTAGCATGGATAGACTATCACATTTTTGACTTTTGACTCACCCACCTGTTCTTTATTTCCCAATCTTCTTTTCCATTTTCCTCTATTGTTATCCGTAACGTTGAACGGTGAATAAAATCGGCGTGGGTAAAACTCAAGAATTTTATTTCTTAATAACTCGAATTTACAAGACTGATTACACAGCGATTATGTACAAAATAAGCTCGGCGCAACTTCTCCTGACTCAACTAGCTGAATAACAATCGTTCTCGAAGGTGATCTCTATTTAAAACTCATAGTTTCTTCGAGATTTGTGGCTCGGTCGCATTGAGGATGAATCATCATCGGCGTAAGACCAGAAAGTGCTCGGTTTATTTCGTAACAATATGTTTGCTTGAAGTCTAAAAAGCAGGCGAACGGTGTAAATTCGTAACATGTGGTATCACTGACCAGTTGGTTCTTAAACATGCTTGGTATTCTCCCAGACATTTTTCAGCATGTTTGTTCAGTTTTTTAGACATGTTGTTTTAACAGTTTCTAGCATGGCAATTATTATTTATCTCCTTTTCTGTGAATCGGCACTGTGGACTAGTCCCCCGACATTTTTTCGTCTTCCCAGATTTTTCGATCAGCTCTGATAATAATTAATCTGTCTCTTATGCCGTCTCTTCCCGTTTTTTGTGCTTAGCAGGGCTTACGCAATCCTATCCTCTTCTCGGCAGCGGATTACGCTTGGCATGGCCTCCTTCTACGACGAGCTGATCACACAGATAGTCGCAGTTTCACACCACCCGAGGCAAGAGAATTAAGAGAGTTTACAAGTTGCACTTACAATCATTACTCTGATTACGCAGAGTAACACAATTACTTGTACAACGAGCAGATCACGCAAAGAGCCGCAATTCAACTCTACTCGTGACAAGAAGACTGCCCTGAGCGACGCAATTATTCCCGTCTTACAAAATCGCAGATTGCCTGAAGTAGCGCAATTTCATTCGGACCATGATGTTCATCAGTCCCAATATTTGACTTGTGCATATATACAGAATGATTCCGCTTAAATAACGAATGTATATAGTTTGAACCTAGATACGGTGATCCTATGCAAAAGCGAACATACGTTCTTGGCCAACATGTACACTATGCGTTTTGCTTTCCATCTTCTTTTACAGCATGGGAACGCAAGAGTATTTGTAGTTTTTTGTTTAAACCGAGCAATTTACGATTTTGCGCAGTAAACCCTTAAATTCTGCTAGCGCAAGTCGGTTCTTAATTCATACAATCGCCGTTGTTTGTCACGTGTTTGTTAGTTTGTTACATAGATTTTTTAGGTTATAAGCTATTTATATCACAGTTATAAGTTTAAATTGCATAGAATTTCTAAAAATGGGCTACAGGGTGTGTGTTGTATGCAAAGAAACATCTAATAATTCTACATTAACTTTTCATGAGTAAGTATTTATGAAACGTATATTTTAGTTGAGGTTAAGTTAATCAGTCAAATATTTAACTGAGCTTCTGTAAACTGGCTTATAATAAAAAAATAAATACCCAACAATCGTTTTTGCCTTGCGTTAACTTGTATCGTTTGCTTTTAGGTTACCCAAGAGCAAATATCGGCGTAATGCTTGGATTTCTGCTTGCAAATTAGACGAGACTAAACTCAAACAATCTTCTGTAATTTGTTCGAAACATTTTCACGACTATGACTATAACTCTTTAATAATGGCAAAAAGAAGATTACACAATGAAGCGGTACCGTTTTTGGATCCAGGTGCAGAAAATGCCACTGAAAGTTTTGTGAAAAATGAACAACTTCCTATTGCAGCAGGATCAAGTGGTCTGAATTTCCCAATAAAGAATGAACCCGTTGCAGTAGGTAACGTAACTCTATTGATGGTTTTACAAGTAGGTGTATGTATTAAGTACATTTTACAGCATGTTCATTTATAGAAACAATTGAAACTCCTAGTGCGGATAAACAACAAAGTCACGTAATTGTGGGTAATATTAGAACTCCTCGATATGTTGGTGATTTGGTGCCAGAAGATTTTGCTACTCCCAGAAAAGCAAAAAGACATCTTGATTTTGTGAAAAGAGCCATGGATGACAAAAGAAAAAAAATAAAGTTATTAACAAAGGAGAAGAAACAACTACAAGATTGGATTTCTTCACTAAAAGATTTGCTGGAGCATCTTCGCACAAATAATGTTTTATCAGAAGAAGCAGCTGCAGCTATTATGAGAACAATTTAAATGTGCATTAGTGTGTGTGGAATAATTAAAAAATGTCAGTTTCCTCGTTAATTTTTTCGAAACTTATTTGTTATGTAGGATGTTAATTTAATTAGATCATTATTATTGCACATAGTATACAGTTTGTAAAAAACAACTGAAATCAACATTTTCAAATCCTATGTTATTGAATTTTAAAAAAACGGGGAAATTTAACTATGGCCAAGAGATACGTTATAGACATTTGTAAAATAATAGAGACCATAATTAGCGAAAACAAAAATATTACCAACATTTTTAATAATCCCGATATGAACATCATTGTGTTTCTCATGACTTACTAGATAATCATAAAATACAATTAATGAAGGCCATAGCGGAAATGTATTTGAAAGTCCGCTTGCATCACTAAGCGAAAGTGATAAATTTTGCTTCAAAACAGGCGAAAATAAGAGACAAATTAGTGAAATATATTTTATTTAATAATGAGTAAGAATACATTAATTCACTAATGTTTAACAATAATGTTAATAAATTTATACCATATCTGTACGTCTTTTTTCTTTTTCGTTTTAAGCTCTCAACATTGTGCATGCAAATAAATACAATACGATTATCTATTTATGTTAGAAACATTCCCACATTTCGTGACAACAAAAACTTCTGAATGATTAAGAAAAATTACGAAAAAAGGGAACTCGACAGTCAAATATATTCCAACGATCTAGTCCGTGTAATATTTTAATCTTAACATTATAAATCATTTTGGAGATTGTTTAGAAACTTTTCTTTTGCCACTTGTTTAAAAACTGCAGTTATGATTCTCTTTTATACCATTTTAAATAAGTGCGTCAAATCATCAACTAATGGTAACAGTCGCTAGAATTAGAAGAAGATAACACTAGTATGTAGTGCACGTTACAACGAGTAAGAGAACGACAGAGAATTGAAAGTATGTCGACAATAGTTTCTTGGTAATTTGTGGTTAGCGGCAACCCGAAATACATTATTCACTCATTCCTTGGTTCACACCTTTGATCATATAATAAATAGATACCACCACGCCGTGTTCTTTCCCTAGCAGAGTCTGTGACGACATCCTCCTGTCACACATCTCTCTTGTGCATAGAGGGATTACAATCAAGCTATCCTTGCCTGATCACTATTTGAATTTTGCGCGCTTAAATTTTAGGAAGTATGTCTCAACTAACTTCGTACGAAAGATGTTGACAGCTTGATTTTATAAATAATTCACAGTAGATAACGAAAGGAACAGTAAATTATTGGACTGCAATTGTGATCCTTTATGATTACATCACTTAAAATAGGATCTTTGTTCTAAATTCTAAAATTGTTTTTCGTACAAGAACTCGAAAGAGAGGTTAGAAGAAACATCTGTCAAAAGCGATTTGTTGCGCTGGTGCGGTACAAGGATGGAAGTGAAATAGACATATACAGATGAAATGCATATAACAAAGATGAAGATGTGGTGATCACACAAGGATAGCATTATACTACTCCCCTTGACGTAGAAAACGACAACAGATAGCTTCATGTCTAGTCACAGCTTTCAGTTTGAGTATTGGTATCTATTTATTATATGATCTAAGGTTCACACTTCAATTTGAAAAATATCACAAATCCACAAGTCTGTGGTTTTGAAAACGTCTAAACATAGTGTCACTGTCACGCATTATATTTAAAATAAAAGTTGATGGACATAATTCTCTGAAAATGAGTTGCACGAATCCATCGTGGATTTTTTTGTTGTTGATATTACCTTTGTTGGAAAATTTGTTCCCATCTACATAAAATATTTCTGATAAAATTAGAATCATTTAGCAGCTGTTCTTCAACAAAATTACAAAATGCTAACCTTTATGAGGATTTTCTTAAATAGTTTCCAAAACTAGGATCTCCTTGTCCAAATGTGTAGCGGTTAAAACACTTCACCGTTTACTCACAGGTTAATCGTTTCGTAATTTCATTTCAAGTCTTTTAAAAATTTTATCTGTTGGATGTCTACGTTTAGCAAAATGGTAAAGCATTTTTTGATACTCTTTATAAATTGAGATCATATCCGTTTTCTCGGTGTTGGTAAACGAATATCTTGGCATCATAAATGGCTTTTCCAGCTCCTCCAAGAAAGTGGTTGTTCCAGTGTCGTGCTCGAAAGTGTTTGCCGGGTACTGGGCATAAGATACAAAAATAATTTCATATGATAGAATATAAAACCAGTAGCAGTAAAATTTACTTGAGTAATTAAGTAAACAGTGCGACGTTCTTACACATATCAACGTATTTTAAACTAAACTACACCGCCTACTTCAAAAACAAAAGGGCTCTCCGAAATTCCTTCAAACTGCTTCAAAAACCAGACACACAAGGCGCCGAGATTCTTTCAAACTTCTTCAAAAACCAGACAAAGAGCCCCTAGATTCCTTTAAACTACCTCAAAAACAAATCAAAAGTGGTCCTCGAGATTCTTTCAAACTACTTCAAAAACCAGACACAAGGAGTCACCAAGATTTTTTTTTTAATATTTACGACACCACACGATCCTTTCGCGCAAATGATCTTCACTTTCAGTTGGAACGGCTGAAATGGCATGGGTGAAATCAGTTTGTCCTCAGGACGTTAAAATCCGAACTCTGACTAATCTGTATTATTTGTTTTTTTCGAATTTTATATATGCTTGATTAGAAGGAATTGTATCGTCTGGCATAACTATAGACGAACGGCAACATCGAAATTTCCACCACACTTTCCCAAAGTTAAAAGCATATCGTGTTTTTTTTTTCGGAATTCGAAAACATTGTTAGCAAAAGTTGAAAATAATTTTATTTAATCGTAACGACGACGCCACAGTTTCCCAACACGGGTAGCTAATTCTTGCGGTTTTTTTCAAGTGGAAATATGCAAATTTTCGACCGACCCCAACACGTGCTGTAAATTTGATTTATTGTTTATGAATCCACAGTTCATGTTAGGATTTTAATCGTTACTGACTCTAACAATTTAACAGTCATAAGATTTGTTTAAATAAACTACTTGGTAAGAGATTTCATGAGAGTCGCTTAGTCAGGACTCATCCTTTGTTTATCAAATTATGAATAAGGTTTGTGGATGTTTATACTTAAGTGTTACATTATAACACTTCTTAATTTCTCACACAAGATTGCTAATATTTCATTTACGGCAGTTAAATTAACCTAACGTTGTCCCACTCAGGTGGCGACTGTCCAGGATATAAACTCTCAAAGCTAATGGTTTTAAGTAACCAGTCACTTAGATCAAGGCATAATTTAACATCAGGTAAATTTTTTGTTTGAATCATTGATACAGTGTGGCATAATTTAACATCAGGTAAATCTTTGTTTGAATCGTTGATAAAGTGTGGCATAAATTTAACATCAGGTAAATTCTTTGTTCTGGTAGCAGCCATGTTGAAAGAGCAGTTTCAAACCGAGCACATGCTTGAACTGTAAAATCTCACTGAACAAATTAAGAACATCGTGGGTCACGTGGGGCGTGCATTTTATTTCTTTTCCCCTTAGACATTATTTGCACAGCGCCACAGGATCACATTTCTGAGCGACATATTTTTGACGCATTAACAACGTAAATTTTCATGCTCTGCAGTTCCTCACCTCACGTAATATTTTTGCCTGCACAAGTTTTACTTCACACCAGATCTTTGCTAGTTTTTTTGTTTTGTAAATATTTTGTTGATTAATACTTTCATCATATAATGGTCTGATGTCCAATCTTAATCTCAGATACGAATTCTTTGCTGTTTAAAATTTCACGAGAGTGTATGGCGAATTTAAATTTTGTTTGTTGCTCTTTTTGAAACTTTAACACTTGTTCGGTGGTAGTTTAATATTAGAGTTATAGAAAGTGAACATTTAAATGAAACTGAGGTAAATAACACAGAAAAACGTGGCGGAAGTGGAGGGCGCGGTTCCTAGTCGAGCTGGCGGGATTTATCCAATGTAGTATAGTTTCATTAAGGGAAGATCTACATCAATCAATTTGTGTGAATTTACTCAGTTCGTCTCTGATGCCCTTGATAAGAATTTTCAAGTGGATGTATAGCCTACACCGATTTATCAAAGACATTTGATAAAGTAAATCATTGCCTATCTAAATAAACTCCATTCTTACGCATGGTGTAATGGTAATTACTTGGTCAAATTATATTATTTAAATCTATTTTAGTTGGTAGATGACAGTATTGTGGTGACCGAATTCAAATCAAAGTTTTCGCGCTGAAATTAATTAACAGCGGCGCGAAATCACATTTGAATAATTTGAATTTAAAAAAAAATCAGTCACGAAAAAGGGAATCATTAAACATAGGCAACCGAATAGACATGTCTGGGTTAATGCATGATCATTGGGTTAGATGGCAGCACGTAGTGCTAGGGTGATTTCAGTTAGAGGGTTGGTAGAGGGAAGCTGCATGGCGTAGAATAATGGATTCTGAATGTGGCTGGAAGCCTTTGTTTAACGACGATCAAACGTATTTTTCATAATGATACAGTTGTCCCCAACCCGCGCGATTAATTCTTGCGCCCTTTTAATCGGAGAAATGCGAACTTCCGGTCCACCGAAACACGTGCTGTAAATTTGTTTCTTTGTTTGTAAATTCACCAATCAAGCTAGTTTTTCTTAATACTCAGCTAGAGCAAACACAATTTAACAATCAGGATTATTTAAATAAACCATTTGCTAGAAGATTTCATGAAATTCACTTAGTCAGGAAAAACACCTTATGTTTAATTACGAATAGGTATCTGGATGCATATACGTAAGTGTTACATTATAACACTTCTAAATTCTTCACACAAGATTGCTAATAATTCATTTACGGCAGTTAAACAAGCTCATTATACTGCGAACTGGCTGGAGGGGTTTAAAATGTTTTCTTCCCTTAGGCGCTTATCATCGTTATCATGATTAATTCATCGGGACATGCCATCACAACGCCACAGATTGATTAATTCATCAAGGCATGCCATCACAACGCCACAGATTGATTAATTCATCAAGGGATGCCATCACAACGCCACAGATTGATTAATTTCTCAAGGCATGCCTCCCAACGCTACAGAAAATTTACATCACCTAGACGCTTTTTCCTCGCAACGATTTTGGAATTTACATCACCGAGACGCTTTTTCCTCGCAACAATTTTAAAATTTACATCACCGAGACGCTTTTTCCTCGGAGCGATGATTGGATATTTTTGTGTTTGTTTATTATGTGTTTTGTTGGGGTAACCAGTTCGTAGTATTTTAAACGCTCAAAGTAAATTATTTTTGAAGTAACCAATCACTTAGATCATGATATAATTTGACATAATGTAAACTCTTTGTTTGAACCGTTGATGAAGTGTGGCAAAAATAATCTCATGTAAATTTTGTTAATTCTGCAATTTTCACCTCATACTATATTTCTGAATCTCACAATCTTAACCACAGTAATTTTATTTGTTGTATAATTTTAATGGAACGTAAATTTCATGTTCTACAGTTTTCA